GTATAGTGGTGGTGACACTGTTATTTTTAATCCGCAACCACACGGATATACGGGAGATATTGGGAAGTTGTACACATACTAATGAGCTCGATAACTTTTATATCGCAGTGCAGAATTGCTAGCTATTTCGTAGTTCAGTATATCTTCGTTAGATGGCATTGTTGTAAGTTTTTCGGTGTAAGGGAAAGTCGCTACAAGTTTATACATCTCTTCAACGGACCGTTGAATTTTACATCAATCCGAGACACAAAGGTTTCAAGTCCAAACAACACAAACAAACTGTATAGACGATCGCAATAAAAACTACTATTTATTGTTCCTTTCCTTGAATAGGATTTACTTGCTACCGGGGGTCTTACTTTCTTGTCCCCTCACCTCCTAATTTAAATATAACCCTATTTCCACAAGGTTCCATTTAAAAAGACTTTTTAATTTTAATCATGATAATGTATTTTGGTAATAAATTAGAGGTAGTTTATTTTCTGGTGTTTATTTTGGGTACACTTACTCAGTAACAAACCAGTTTTTTTTAAATATTTATCGGTAATAAAACAAATCTGTCTACCCACCTATGTGGAAGGGAAAGTGAAAATAGCACAATCCTGAATCAAACATAATAAAAAAAAACATAATAGAACAACCACACATCATTGTATATATGTATTCATTTTCTGTATTCAATACTTCAATACATTTCTGAATTATGGTGTTCCAGCAAATGCTTAGTTTATTAATAACTCACATATCTATAAGTTAATAGTAATCTAAGACAACTCCTTTAAATCTATGTACCACAATATTATCTAAACAAATAAATAAAAAATAAATTAAAGCTAGTCCTACAATGTAATTGGCCATTTGTTTCAGTAGATTTTACGTAATTGAGAAACAGACATCAATACAAACTTATAAAGATATATTTTCATAGAAACAACACGACAAACATAAATCCCCACCATAAACGTGAAGGTACAAGCGGCTAACACACGGTGGGCACCGTCCGTACATATTAGTGGCCCCAGCTATAATTTATTTGCCAGAGTAAATAGGATTAACAGCAGGAGAACTGAATACTGGGTCATTTTTTTTTCCTGCGCGTACAAAACGGTTAGCGACGGGCGGTACACCAACATAACTTGATATTCGAGTACACATCCATAGCACGGGAAAACGCCATGTGCCTACATTAATGATTTATCCCCTACCATCTTTCAAATATTGTGGAAAACTTTAAGACCAGTCGTGACAGGTGTCTATAAAAGCTTGAGATTGTGTTACGGTAAAATAATCCGAGACTTCACCAGTTTATCCGAGCTCTCGAACAAATAAAAATACTTATCACGTAAAATCACCCCCTGCCAGCCCGACTCGTAAAACCAACTCCTGGCTAAGGTAATAAAATGTCGCGACCAATCAACGCTTGCCCTTACAAGGATTCCTGCCGATTGGATTTGTACCTCACGACTCCACTGTCCGGAGACAACCGGACAAATCTCACCTCTAAAATGACAGCTCGACGCGTCCCGCTTTGAAATTAGAACATACATACACACCACAAAAGGCTGTATATGCATAAGTGATAGAGAAAACGCGTAGAAACGGTACGTGATAACATTATTCGTGTGAAAAATGTATCGAACGGTACAAGTGGCGAATCTCGAGAGGGCCACATCCGAATAAATAAAGCCGGGGGTGCGGCGCGAACTTGCAAAAAATCCCCATTTACTGCGGTGCCGGTGCGAATATAAAATATTGATCTCAACGGAAATTTATGAAAACATAAAAATGCGTAGGTGCGAAGGAGGCACACCCTGATGGAATACCCTTGTAGATACTTACCGCTGTCTTCTTGATTCGTTTCCGTCTCCATTTCTGAGGGATTAATCTCGCTGGTTATATTACACGTACGTCATTTTCACGCGTAAAAATTACGCTGCCTAATTTTGGAATCTCATATTTATATTCATCTTTACGCGGCGCTCATGTCAAGAAATTCTATTTATTACACGCGTCGTATTATATAGAAGGTACATAGAGTTTCGGTCAGAGAAAATTTTGCAAATGAAATTCCGCCAACAGGGATCTTGTCCGCCGGGAATAACCTCTCCACACCTCGGTTATTGCCCATTTTTTACAAAGGAAAGTCCTCTTTAATACACACGGCAGCAGCCGTAACTCACGCCTTTATTTAGTCACTAGATTACGACTAACAATCCCGCATTATTTCTTGTTCCTTCCGTTCTAAATGAGGCAATTCGTAATTGAATTTATTCTCTTAAAATATCTCGTGGTTGCATTTAGTAGGCGCTCCGCTGGGATTTCGAATTGAGCGATTTCACACTTCACACTTGGAAAGGTATTAGGTTTACCGTGTGATTACTAATCTGGATTATTGCATCGTGCGAAACTGCCTGCTTAAATTTAGTGTTAGACCTAAAGACCTACATACCACTCTATTACGAGAAGACATGAGTAAAATCCTACAATGTTTGGTTAGTTCAAAAAACGAATGAAACCACAGGTATTTCATTTATTCACTGTAAATAGCTTTAATATTATGATCTTTAATTACGTTTGTTCATAGATATCGTTATTTTGTTTACCAACATTTTGTTTTTAAATCTGCATGATACATTTTTAATAGTTTCATGGTTTTGTTTTTGATCTTTTTTCCACAACGGCAACTCTAAATCCGCGCCCATTGCAACTGCGCTGGCTTGTCAACTTGACGTGATGGATGACGTCATTAATGCCTCCCCGTGATCGAAATAAAATGGCCTCCTATTAGGGTTGCACTATGCAAATATGAGACAAAGCTAATCTGCTAACAATGGTACGAAGAAAATATCTTTAACACTTCAAATCCAAAAAGAAACGTATTGCGGTCAGTCCCTAAACACATAATGGTACAAGGATCATCAATCCTTTACGCTTCTGCATCAAATATGTATACATAAACGCACACAACGGTGCCGAACGAATCGCAACATGACACATTCTCAATATAACCCTCATAAAAAAGTCCGATAAAATATGGAGAGTAACGGATAGTGGGGGAAAAACTATTACTCCGGTCTTAGAAGGAATGGATTTAGGGGTCATCGCATTGTGTCATCTTCCATATCGAGGGGCCATCGTTCGTCAATGTAACATTCGGAGCCGTTAGGCTCACAAGATAGATGGGCCTCGGAAAGGCGCGTGAACCCCACGTGGTTTGATCTACAACGGCGCCGTACATTTGTAAATAGATTCTAAACTGGACCATACATCCTCCTTGGAGTATTTCCCAATACATTTCCCGTCCACTAGATTTAGGTATCAGTATAATTTTAACAAAATTACATACATGGAACAGTAATATATATGAGAGAAAAATAATTAATAACATTTTGTACAATTGTTTGTCCCAAACAGCAGTGTTTAATATTAATAATGTTTGCTTTCGAGTTGTTAAATTAATTACCAGATACCCTCATACTAATCTGGCTAAAAACGCAGTCAGAACCTACCACTTTATAATGTACAATAATTGCACATATAAATCAAAATGACATGTATTTAATCGCGGTTACCCGACAACCCCGCCGGAAAAGGCCGAAGGGTGCTGCTCGGTCGGTGCCGTCTTTGTCCAAAAAAAAGGTTAAGAAAAGCGACCCTCGCTAATGCACACGGTACTATATCTATTTGGGTACAAAGGGATCTGAGTATGCTTGACCTCCGTACATGTAGAACGGGTCGAGTTTGTATGTTCCCGCGCATTTCTACCAATAATGGATACGTAAAATGAGGTTATTCTATTCTGTAAAAGGATCAGACCTAAATAAACTACTAAAAATACTTTGTTATGTTGTGTCCCCACGAGGATCTACAGATTTGAAATAGATTTATACTATCATTATGACAAATGTTTTATCAGTAGTAACTCACAGACTGTTTTATATATGTAAAATCAGGTGGCTCCCCTAACGTATTATAGTAAAATTAAGACTAAATTATTGTTGAACTATTTAGGAAATGACGACCTTACTCAACAACCACACATATAACAACGCTCTACTAACGATTATTACATTATGTGCTTTCTTCATATATAATTGGCAGTGTACGTTTCATTATCTGTAATTAATCAAACCCCAAATGCAACGATCCGTTTAAACAAAACCACAGTGTGACAGCGCGCGCACCTGTCAACGTCACGTCAAATCCCACCGCGCCCGCCATTTTATATCGAAATGCAAATAACCTCACAAATCGAGGGTGTAACGCGATCCGTCCCGAGGCACCCCGGAACAGCTGATTTATTTCATACGCGATATGATTTCGCCGCAATTGAGAGCCCTCCGCTCGCCGCACGGCTATATATTATATCTGATGCATCATATGACGTAAACAGTATTTCACAAAGTTTTGTCTCTGAAGGGTTCATAATCAATTACGCAAAGAAAACGCAGTTTTTGTTCGCTGCGTTGTAAGGATACTTGTCTATACAGTATAGACGGGTGGATAGGCCACTCAGTCGGTGTCGAATGCCACTCAAGGTTCAAGATGGCGGGCGCTGCATCCCGCGTTGACAAATGCGCATCAGCCGTCGCGGCTGTCACTTGTTCTGTTTTTATTTATTGAAAGAGGGAGCCTAATTAACCAAAGTTGAGTGGAGATTAAATTACGAAGCGGTAGTCAGCCTCCCTGAAAAATATAAGTTTTTAATTTAATTCTCCGTTTCTTATAAATGATTTTCATGGATGACGACTTCATAATTTAACTCGTGCAGTCCTGCATAACATCATTTTTAATGTAAAAGAGCGCTTAATTTAAGCATAAAATGGAAGAGCGTATCACTTAATAGTCAATCATAATGAGAACATAGATAGTAAACATCGATACGTCGATCGGGTACCAAGGGGATTATCAGGATAGTTATCTGGGTAAGAAACGTCCATCACTGGAGTAATTTGGATATATGCGAATCCCCTCTGGCCTGGTGTAATCGGGTAAGCTCAATGACCCGCGAGGGCTTACAGGAGGAGGCGCGGGGCGGTGGGACGTGGGATCATCAATCTCTATCAGGGTATCGCCGCCGGCGATACTCGCTTCCGTTCCTGAAAAAAGTAGCCACGAAAAATATGACCGCTGTCTCTGGACACGTGACAGTACGACGTCGCTCGCCAATATATTCAACTAACGTATGCTCGACACCCTACACTAGGGGAAACATAAATACGTCCAACACTCTTTTAAAATTTGATTAATGTGCGATTGTTATATATTCTACAAGCGATGAAGTAATACGAGCTTAGATACAATTCCTGGAGAGTTGCCTGATATAAAAAAACACACAAACATCCCAAAAAAAAATGTATCTGAAACTTTCATGATCACCATCATCAACAGCCATTACCTCACCTTGGAAAGGATCTGACACTTTATCGCATCTAAAAATAACGTAACAAGTAGTCAAATATTTTCGTGCTGTTGTGTGGAAATCAACAATACCACCCCTTCTGACAACTAATAACATATCTAGATAGCTAATAATGTATTGGGGATGTAACAAAGTTATTATCTTCCACCATTGTTTACGAGTATAGAATTACACATTCGCACACAAGCAATTACGGAAAACATTAATTTACAACAACCAATCTCAGTCGTGAATCGTTCATTAGCGAAAGGGGGATCGGTAGAATTGGAAACTTTTGACAAAAGTTAAGACGTAAACGGCAAATGAATCTGCATTATTCGAACGGCCCACACCGCGCTGGAGACGTCCCGACGCCCGCTCCTCAGATAAGACAATTAAATAACTATCTCGGCCCATTTATCTGTCGGAGTTTCGTTTTGTTTGTTTCTATTAAGCGTAATTAATGCCTTTGCGGACGGGTAAAGGTTAATGAAGTTGAGCCGCGTTATCTGACATCTGACGGGCACAACTAGAATCAAACGTCTGCAGCGACGACGCGGCTCGCCACGGCGGAGCGATTCCATTGTCCGCGACTAATAAACATTCCTGGCCCGCGGCATCGCTCCGAGACAAAAGAGACTCCTCAGTCTCCCGCCACTGCGCCCGTAACGAGGTATTTCGACAATGCACGTCTCCACTACCGACGCACTCGCGCCGTAATGTCGACTCTTTGCACTTTATACAATATAATCTCGCGAGGAATTTCCCAATTCAACCACCCTTCTAACGTACGCGATGACACCTATGAATCTTAGTCGCACTTACGATCTTGGTGAAATCCATCGACGGGTATCAGTCACGGCCGTAACTGCATTCTTCGGTAGACAGCTAATTTGGCCCCCCCATTTACGTGTAAGTAGAACATCTATCACGACGTCTCGGCATTTCTTCCAATTTACCAAGTACTCGCCTATCGAAAGATTCAATGAATGATAACGAGCCTAATAAATACGGAGTCGGATCCCCGAATGGCTGTAATTAATTTAATGGATTTAGACAAAGAAATATGTACAATGAGATAGTGAGATTAATGAAAGCATTGCATATTGTTGTAAACGTTCAGTGTAGTTTAGATATTAAAGGATGGCAACCCTAGTCGCTCTCGGACGGTTTATTTTTTCTCCATTTACTTGTAAACACTAATGAAGGCTCGCTCGGGAGCCGTCTAACGAGCTCTAACGTTGCACTTTCCGTTTATTATCAAGTCTGTAATCTAAAATCCGCACCCACCTACACAGACTAAAGGCCGGCGCACCACTTAGTTACTAACTAATGAATGAAATAAGCATGCCATGAACTCACAGAAATTACTATAAACCTTACAAAGTGTTACCCACCAATTTATTTTAACTTTTCATTTAAATTATTCAGCAAATAGTCACAAATTCACTTCGAATTGTAATGAGATTAATGGTAATTTATTTTCTAAAAGTAACTTTGTTCTTCGGATGTTTGCTAGACAACATATTAACATAACTGCCCATAAAAAGTATCTCTACAGCCCCGTCTAGAACTACCAGAAGGGTTCCGTCTACTGGTTCTTATATCACAAAATCAGCGCAACATAAATTAGTGGACAGGTCGCGTGACGGACCGACTTAGCAACATCGTCTCCTTATCGTCGTCCGGAAACCACCCGACTAACCTCTCCACTACCAGGGTAAAGGACAAATACCACCCTAAAATCTTGTGCATAGGATTGATTTTCCTTTGACAATACTGACAATATTCTAAACCGAATCACCTAACGTGAACTCTATTCATAAGAACATACGGTCTAAATCTTATTCTTAACAAAAGGAATAGTCAACAACAAATAAGGTAACATTGCTAGTATGTCAACATAAATAAAGCTGAGTGTCCTTTAACGAAGCAGACGTTGACGTCGGAACACTAATAAAGACCTCACGAGACAATGTCGACTCTAAAGCTATTGCATTAAAATTGAGATTAGTTACGCTACCAGTGGGAGGTAGTAAATGAAGGTTCGCATTTAGCGGTCTTGGTGGTAGTGATATGGGTGGACTTCCTTTGTCTGGTAATCTTATCAGTGTGCCAGCCGACCGCCATGCCTTGACATGATACATTACCCGCGCTATACATTTATATTCGACGGCACTTGCCTGCCTACCAACACGCACAAGAGTCGCAGTACAACCTTACATATTCAAACATTGCACGCATTCAACTCCATATTGGTACAACTGTTTTCCAAACATAAACTGGGAAGTTAATCAATCAATTTTAATAGAATGAATGAATCAGTCTATGTACCGAAGAGATAAACTTATGTATACGACATTGGGCTTCGGCCAACCGTGAACTATCGATTAAAATGTACGCGTAATTTCATTACGCAAGCGTTCTACTTGTACCAGGGAGATAGCGGCTTTCCTTGCCTCAACTGCTGAATTTCGTTAATGCCGTCGAATTTTTGGATGACGCTCGCTAAACTTTTCGATATCGAAAAGGAAATTATGAAAAAATTCAATTCGCCCAAGCCGTAATAATATAAAATAGCCTTTGAAAGAGAAAGCTATTGAACATCGAAGACTTTTATAGGTCGTATAATGGACGGATCCTTATAAGACAGTTCTGTAGCATCAGAATGTAAGGTCCACAAAAGCTCTCTTGCTCAATCCCTTTGCAATCGCAAAACTTTGTATAAACCTCTTTCGACTATCGAAAAGTTCCCGATAATGGATTTGTTCGAGCACTCGATAGTTCGACGATGAATGGGTACTAATTAAAATGAAGTCACGACGACGCCGGACCAAGTTCTCGATTGTTTCCCAACTATAAATCGCAGCGCCGGTTTCGCATATAAATATTGCACGGGTCCAACTTCGGTGCTAAATTTAAAATCGAAATTGGGGTATCGGAGCGCCGCGAACATACAACTTAATGTTTTTACCGCACAACTATTTCGTAACTATGAACATATATCGTTACTTTAATCAGCATAAATAAGGATTCTCTTTTATATGCGTGTTCGCAATTCAAGTTAGGATCAAGATTAAGGGGTAAATTCTAAATTGCTTCGGGAATGTTCACGTAACGAGCTTAAGATTGTGAGCACGTGTTGCCACCGCGTCTCCAGCCTTTTGAGATTGCCCAAATGTATCTCGTTCCTATCGGTACGTCTTACACGTGAATGTGTTTTACGTATCATACATCAACGTCGCAGGTTATGAAACTACCTGCTGAGAGATATATAGTTGACAGTTTACACCCGCTGCCATGTGTTCCAATCTCGTGCTATTCCTACGTCTAATACAAATACGATCAGAGGGCGCAGCAGACAGCCCTGTTAATCTCTCCGAGACTAATGGACACCGAGCCCCAAACCCAGTGGCGAGTAAACCACACTTACTCTATTACACGTCAGTTTGTTTCTTTTCCGTTTCCAATAAGAAATCACGTTTGTTCAAGCCGAGCTCGGCCGCAAATGAGCCGAAACACACTCCCTTTATCTTCCAATAAGTAAGCAAGCTTTGGATTTCTTCCGTAGAAAATACGGGTACTAAACGGAAAATAGAAGATCGGATGCCAGATGGCTCGAAAAATATAAAAATAAACGAACCGGAATATGGATAGTGGTCTCTATTTGATTGTTATTCAGTTTTATGCATAGTGTAGTCTCAATAAATAATATGAGATAGTAAAAGCGAGCGCCGAAAAGTCTGGGTTGGCTGTAAAAAATACGGATTTTTGCCGTCCGATGAAGATATTTTGAAAAAGAAAAAAATTGGGTTGTTTCTGGTGCGCAGCGACAAATCCCATGGCGGTATTCAAAATCGCGTTCCCTTTTTAAAGTTGAGACGATTCAAGTAACGAGTGTCGAATTCTACGAGTCGGCTGCCCCGGTGGACCCCTCAGTAGACGAAGTGCCCCCGGAGGTGCGTCGGTAATTACCAACCATTACAGACAAAGGACACGACTCGTCCGATTACCATAATTCCCAGGCCCCGAGACGGGATATAAATGGGCCACATTTTGTAGTAGCACGACGACTGACGTATGTATTAATGACTACGCTTGTCCTCCTAAATTAGGCTTGGGATTTGATGTGATTTAGTTTTTTTATTGGTTGCGGCGGGGCGTTGAATGGATGAACCGGTCGTCCGCTCCAATAGCCACATTTGTGCCTGCGTATCTGGACGTGGAACAAATTGCCTCCTTTATATTGTGATTATGGTTATGTATTTTTTAATACGAAGCAAGAATTATCAGTGTTATAAAGGTGTTTATGTTTAAGTTAGCACACCAATATGCAATGTTATAATAATAATAATAATTTCTGAGACATTTTCAAGACTCAAACGAATTATAAGACCATTTCCTAAATTCATACATTCACATATTGAAACACACAAACAAATATTTGCACTGAGCAGAAGTCGAACACCCAACTCCTAACATTGCAGACAATTTGCAGAAAATTTGATTGCTCTACCGCCCCGGCGATCGTCGTCGGTGGTTCGTGAATATTTTTTAAGTAAGATTACGGATATGGAACGACTACGGTCACTCAATCATTTGTGATAGGTAGTGGGTTTTCGACAGTGGGTGTGGGTGGGACTCGAACTCGCAACCATCCATTCTAACACCAACCATTATGTTTTGGATTAGCGATTGATAGGATAATGTTTCTACATTAATGATGTGTTTGATTGACGAACTTAAAGGTAGTTTAGAAGACAAAGCACTCAAGTATTTAAACAATAATAGTTTTTTTACATTTTAATGCTAAACTTACTAAACATACAATATGCTACAGAAAGGTGAAAAATTGCAACAAATAATTGATTTAGTTTACAATATTACGGATTTTGAATATGTTTTTTCTTGTGCGTGTGAAAAAATTTCATGTAAAATTTATTGATGTGAATGTGTAATTTAATTATATTATAAAAACTCCTTGTGGTGACGGATTAAGAGTGTCACAACCCCTATTCATCCTATGGGTGTCGTAAGAGCCGACTAAAGGAGCAAACTACGCAGGACAACAACACTGCAAAGAGAAGGAAAACTTGACACAAACCCTATACCAACCCGTCTGGCCAGCGTGGCATAGAAGACCAAAACCTATTTTTGTAAGGAGCGGCCGGTGCCCAGCAGTAGACTATGAAAGGCTGTTGATGGTGAAAATCTATTAACAAACATTTATTTTATCGGTCAATTCACAAATTTTCGTGACGGACACCTGTCTGTACATTTAATTTATCTGTTTTACTACTATTTTACTTCTGTTTACATGAAAATAGATTCAAACTTCTTTACGAAGAACCATATTTACAACTAATAAGATCCAAAAGAATTCTTTACGAAGAACCATATTTACAATGAATAAGATTCTAAAACTATTTTAATATCATCTTGGAAATGCTTGATATACCTACTCTGCTCTGTGAAACTACGATGGAACTCATTAATCTCTAATTGCTACGAAAACAATAGTATCAAAGGCAGCTTGCACAAAAGACGTCTGACGATATTGTCGAGAAGTTTAGCATTTTCATTTCGGTAGTGATCGGAGGGCGGAGAAATCGATCGCGAAAAAAACAACACAAAAACCCTTTTAAAATTAATTGAGTTTAGTTGCGGCTACATCGAACGGTACAATAAATTAATTAACGCTCGGAGGAATCTTTAAAATTCGCCAAGGATCAAAAGTTGAATGTTATAGCGATAAGAGGCGTCGGGGTGGGGGCGGCAGATAATGCTTCGATTTTCCATTAACTTGTATTAGCGGCGATGGGAGAGTCCGCCGCGCCCGCGGTTACACCGATCGCTCCCGTTCTAATATATTTTCCTTATAAAGAACAGCTGAAACACGCGATCTTTGATCCATTTGCATGAGCCTATCCACGGTTATTTGTTTACGACCCATTACGGTGGGCAATATTCGCCCCTAATTGAATTTCAACTTGTAAATTTTCGTGGATGGAATTAATTAAATTTTTCCCTGTGCTAATGCCTCCGCTATGGCCGTTGGAGCATACTGATTAATTTTGTAAAAGCCTTTAACTTTACAAATAGCGGCATTTGATAACAGATTATTGGTTTTAAAGATCAAGTTGTGGTTCGTTACCGGCTTTAATCTTGCTCAAAGAAGATATTTTATAATCTGTTATTTTGTAGGTACCGAGAGTGGTTCGTTTCAAACCTTAATATATCCGTTGTAGCCAATATGATCGTATTTTTTCTGCAACGTTTATTAACTTCTGTATTTAAAGGCAAAACAAAATTACCAAAAAACATCCAAGAGTTCTGCCTCTGCCTCGGTTTATTTATTATAACTTTTTGAAATGTTGGTATTGTTTTACAGCAATAACCTTCAAATGTTTAAATTATTCATTAATTTGTTCGGATTCTCTTCATCTTTAAAATTAGTAAGTAACAGCAGTAATACACTCATTGTCACACTAACCATGTCGTTTTCTATTTCAGGTTGTCTACTTGAAGGGTCTCGGTTACCACCTGATGTGCCGCCGCGCAACCCCACTATGTCTCGGTTGAACGGCCGTATCACTGGCAACCCTGCCGATCTGGCCGATTTCGAGCCTTCTTGCCTTGTGCGAACGCCTTCAGGCAACTTCTACGTGCCTTCGGGTGAATGTTAGACTCTTTTTTAATCTTATTAACAAACGCAGACCTCAATACAATCTAACTTTAGATTGCCTTTGGAAATAGAACTGAGATTTGTTAGTTCTTCTTCTTCTTTGAGTAATGTTTGCTATACCGTAGTAAATTCAGAGTAATAAAACTAATGAATAAAAAGATCCTCGTTCAATAATTCTACCACATAATACAAAAAGGTTATATCCAAAAATAAAGAACTGATATTTAATCAAATCATAACGGTCACTTCTGCCGCACTATACATAGGCCTCTCCCACAAAACTTCGTAATGAATGGTAAGGGGAGGATATTGCCCTAATCAAAATTAATAATAGCTTTGTTCATTTAACGAATCACGGTGTTTTTATTTTTTATAAAACAGTAATGGTATGCGAATGCTTAACAATAAATCATGTATTGCCAAGAATGAATATAAATTTTTATTTTATTTTAGGGGATATACAAAAGAATCCGTCTATGGACTACAAGTCAAATTCGTCGTGTAGCAGTCCAGGAAAGCCAGAGAAAAATACATTAGAAAGAATGGAGAGGTCAGATCGACCTCATCCGACATTTGGCACCCCAGTGCCTGTCCTCCCAGTTCGGAACAATCTCCGTTCTACAAATTTTCCCCCAACCGGTTCACGGTTTCACTTTAGAAAAGGATTTTCGTCAAGATGCTCGTGGAAGTGTACAGCAATAGTGTTCATAATACTCTTCATTTTACTCTTAGCAATTTCATCTTATATGACAGGTGAGTGTACTTCTACACATTTTTTTAAGTTCTCCAACAAATCTATCAGATTTTGAAGGTAAATTATTTCACATGAAATTATTTGTTAGTTGAACTACTCAATACAGATTCTCATTATCTTGTTACGATATAATTACTATTTGATTACTTCGATTACTACTTACTACTTCTTTGATTACTACTTATTTGATGTGTTTTGTTTACAGCGTCATACTTTGTCAACTGGGCGTATCAAAACCCCAAGTCATGTATGGTAGTAGTTGGAGAACCCTCTGAAGTCTTTCCAGCATCTAAGGCCACGTCATTGGAATTTGTAAATAAGTCTATTGCGCGGCCGCATCAAAGTTTGCCGACCATAGGCACAGGTAAAGAGGAACATCATTCCCGTCAACGTAGAAGTGTAGATGTAGTAGATGGGCATGCTTCTTCTGTATCACAATCTCTTTCTTCCGAGAATTCTTACAACGCTGAAAATATGCATGATATTACTACGCCTATTGTGAACACTGTTAGCTTAGTGCATGGAGTGGACTCGGAGGCGGTCACCTTTCAACCGAATGAAGACAATAGCGAGGTGCCTAACAATGCTTTTCTATCTGTTAGTGTTGATAACATTTCTGTTAATACTGGTGATTTAACTCTTAATAATAATCCAGAATCTCATACAATTAAGGTGATAGAAACAAGTGCTATGCCGCTAACTTCTCAAGAAGTAACAACTAGTACAACTAAAAAAGTTAGTAGTGTAACGGCTAAACCGTTGAACGTAACTAAAGAGTCGGTGGATACACCACCCGAAATAAATCATAAAATAAGCGCTCCTATAAATGCCATTCAAGATGAAATAGCGTACGACCCTGAGAATATGCAGGGTGATGCATTTCCATCGATACATTCGTTTGGTATCCAAAAGCTTCAAATTTTTAAATTAGGTTCGCAATTAGAACATATTAAGGCAGGACTACATATATTTACTAATGAAACCGTTGAATCAGTGGAAAACCTAAAAAAGCTTCATTACGATAGTGTAAATACAGTAACAAAAAAAGTAGTTGACACAACAACTACAACTAAAACTAGAACAGATCAACCGGTAATAAACACATGGAGTTCTGAAGCGTCTACAACAGATGTAGAATTGTCAACAACTAACAAACCTTTAACAATTTCACAAGAAGTGTATTCCACTGTAAATACATTTACTGAACGCAACGAGCCTGTGACCACAACACCGATCCCATCAACTAAGGATAACATACTTACTTCTAGCACGACTACTGAAACGACAGTAGGCGGAGACCCAACTGTTAATACTGTCGAAACAAAAACCACTGATGTGACTAACCATAAACATGTGTTGATTAACTTAACAATTTCTGCTGATGATGCAGAGAATGCAATATATAAACCACTTTATTCACTGACGTTTACTGTTCCTACAGTTGGTAATACTAATGAAATTCCAACTGTTAAAATAACTCCGATGGATGCAGATCCTACCCAACCTACAAATTTTAATAAACCTATCACATTAGAAGGTTCTACAAAATTCAACACACCCACAAATAAAGAAAATGATTGGGGAGGCAGTTGTGAGTGTTCGTGCCCAGCATGTATAACCAATGCCACTGATGATTTCTATGATACTGTTGAAAACCAAGCTACTTCGGCATCGCCAAAATCTGATTTGACCACAACAGATAATCAAGAACCCAAAAGAATAACCTCTATTCTGCAACCATCTACAACTGAAAATCTGACCCAAAAGCCAACAACTACAGAAACGGTATTTACAACAGATAACGATTTGACCTCAACAACAATGATCTCTTCCGAAACTTTTTCGACACCTGGAAGTGTAGAAACTACTACAGATATAACAACTACAACAGAATCTGAAACTATACCTACAACACATGTGCCAAAAGTTGTTTGTCCAAAAATTGAACCTCCACCCATTCTAATACTGGAAGGTGAGGTTTAAGAACTTCAGTAAGATCAGCGATAACTTACTAACGGTCACCATATTCATTACGGGCTAGGGTTCTTCCTAAACTAGTGTTTAACAAACTAACATGCATGCTTCTTAATTGGGTCGCAAGGTTCTTGGCATAATTATTTTCATTTGCACGTGCTTTAATAATAACTGTATTAGTAATTTAGTATTTCATGTAACTATTATAAGATTCATCGCATTATCTCACGACATTGAACTTGCCATTTATATGTTTGTTTACAAAACTAATAAATGATTGTGTTATAGGTGCGCACACGTTTCCCGCGCAAACATTCCCACCTGACGGGACGACATTCAAACAAATTAATTTAGGTGAAAAATTATCGAAAGAAATCCCTCCATACAGCTATTGGAATATGCAATTCTATCAAACTCAAGCAAGTTATGTGAAATTTGACTACATGATACCCAGAGGGGCTTCCATAGGTGTATATGCTCGAAGAAATGCTTTACCCACACATACGCAATATCATATATTGGAAGTGCTCAGCGGGTTTAAAGCTCGAACTACAAGAACGTCACATGTAAGTATTAAAACTATGACTTGCCCATGATGTTATAGAAATGGGATATTTGCCACATTTTTAACATAGTATTTTAATTCAAAGCCGTCAATTAAGAAAGAAGTAACCCACTACATGGAGCAAGGTCACTGGTTCCTATCTCTGTACAACGACGACGGTGATCCACAAGAAATCACACTCCTAGCTAATACAGCTGATGAAATGACGCACAACTGTCCAAACGGATGTTCAGGTAAAGGAGAATGTCTCATGGGTCATTGTCAATGCCAGCCAGGCTTCGGTGGAGATGACTGTAGTAAAAGTAAGTGTAACAAGTTTTATGATCAAACATTAGTAATTCCTTTTTAATCCAACCTCTAAATACTTATAAAAATGTTTGTAGGTGTATGCCCAGTTCTATGTAGTCAACGAGGTGAATACATCAACGGCGAATGTCAATGTAACCCTGGATGGAAAGGTAAAGAATGCTCTCTTCGACATGACGAATGTGAGGTTCCAGATTGTAATGGCCACGGGCACTGCGTTAACGGAAAATGTTTGTGCGTCCGAGGATATAAGGGCAAATTTTGTGGTGACATCGACTGTCCGCACCCAACCTGTTCTGGTCACGGATTTTGTATTGAAGGATCCTGTATCTGTAAGAAGGGGTGGAAAGGTGTTGATTGCGCAACTATGGACAAAGATGCTTTACAATGTCTGCCGGATTGCTCAGGGCATGGAACGTTTGATGTTGATACTCAGACTTGCACCTGCCACTCACGTTGGTCTGGTGACGATTGTTCTAAAGGTAACTAATTTCTAAAACCAATTTATTAATTTTGATATTTACAAGAAATTATACTATAACGTAAAAATATTACATTTACAGAGATTTGTGATCTAGATTGCGGTATTCATGGTAGATGCGTTGGTGAATCTTGTGTCTGCAGTCCTGGCTGGACCGGTGAATTCTGTACATCTAAACTCTGTGATGCGAGATGTAGTGATCACGGTCAATGTAAAAACGGTACTTGCCTTTGTGTGTCGGGCTGGAACGGTAGGCATTGCACACTAGAGGGATGTCCGAGAGGGTGTGCTGGTCATGGCCAATGCAAGGTAGCCAATGACGGACAGTGGTCCTGCAAATGTTTCGAGGGATGGGATGGACCTGACTGCACCACGCTCAAAGAACAGATTTGCGATGACTCTAAGGACAACGATAAAGGTACATACAACAAAATAGTTAAAGATTAGTTTAAAACCTTAACATAACTTAACCGAATATTATAACTAATGTCTTTCTGTAGATGGACTTGTCGATTGTGAAGACCCTGAGTGCTGTCAGAGCCCAATTTGTAAAGGCAGTCAGCTGTGTGTCTCATCACCCAAGCCGACAGATATTCTCCTTAGGAAACAACCACCCGCGATCACTGCTTCATTCTTTGAACGAATGAAGTTCATCATAGATGAAGGTAGCCTACAAAACTATGCAAAGCAGGAAAACTTCAACGAAAGGTGAGTTCTCGATGTTTGGTGTTATTCGTTAGGGTTAAGTGAATATTAACTGTTTACGATGTCGGCTAATCCTATTCGGACGAGAGCCTTAATATTTGTTATATAAGAAATGCAATGTTGTGCCCCAGTCGATCCCAATGTTTTATTTACATTATAAGAGTGTAACACGATGCTTTCTTTCTTTTCTTACACTTATATGAAACAAAATGTATTTATTTGTAATTATGAAAAAACAAAACAGATTCTAGAAGGTCGACACTTGCATGTGACACACATATGTATATCGGCGTCGCTGCTACTAATATTTCCGAGCTTCCTTGTTTCTAAATTAATATTATTATACATAATAATAATACTAACTCATGTCTGTCATTTCTCTCGGTTTTTCTTACGCTGCGCAGTATGTTTTGGAACCACTTCAATTCGAGGTAAGACTTATATACGTAGGATAGCGTGTTCGTTTGACTTAGCATTTATATACTCGTACAACACATTAATTATATATAAACATATTTATATACATGTCATTGGCAATTAATATATTTATAACTCGTATCTAATGGATGCATGTTGTGCTGTAGTTTATGTATTTAGCTACCTATTATTGTGTCCTGTGACTTTGTGTTCCGCTTTTTATTTAAATGTTTACGGTGAACCTATTTATTACTTAGGTAGACCACCGTTTGTAAAAATTTAATCTTAAAATACTTTCAATACAGTTATGAATCAAATAGTTTAATTTGTTAGAGATATTATAGAATTAGATACTATTCTTTTAGAGTGATCAATCACAATTGTGTCTGTTATGACGCTAAAATTTCTAATTAACTCATCACACCCAACCTGATATAAAATAGAATGTAGATTCGTGTAGAAATACTCATGAATAATTTTACTTCCCCAGAAAGTCCTTATATTAAAAAAAATATATAAAAGTAGTGTTGCCTGAAATGAATTCTGTATTTAGTGAGACGTTTACTTCAACACATAAGGTACGCGTGAGAGCCAGAGTGGACCAAGGATCAAGGATCAAAACAAACTCACTAAAATAGATCTTATAGTGAAAATGAATTTTTGAGAAACGAAAACAAACGAACAGTTTATGCAAAACAAAGCAACAGCAACGTCGTTTGTGTTTATTTGTTATGGATCGTGAGGTTATGCTTGTTTCACTTTTTACGCGGTAAAACAGAAAATGTCTTTTGATTTCTTACAAAATTTCGAAAAGACGAATTAAAAAAAATCTTAAACTTAAAATTGTCTAAGGAACCCTTTAAAAAAATATTTACTGAAATTAATTTGAACCAACATAACTTTCAGTCGATCGGCGGTAATTCGTGGTCGTGTTGTCACATTACTTGGGACTGGTCTGGTCGGAGTCAGGGTGTCGACCGATACGCCGCTAGAAGGCTTTACACTCACAAGAGACGATGGCTGGTTTGACTTGCTGGTTAATGGAGGAGGTGCTGTCACTCTCAACTTTGGACGAGCACCGTTTAAGAGGGCTACGAAGGTCGTCTATGTGCCTTGGAATGAGGTTTGTAACGTGTCTCACGTGATCTAAAATCCAAAAATCTTGAGATTAATTTTATTTAGCCGTTATTTGTCCGTGTTTTAACGGAATAAGAATACGGAGTGTCACCACCCCTATTCATCGCGTGGCCGGGTATTGTAAAAGCCGACTAAGGAAGTAAACTACGCGAGACAACAGCACTTCAAAGAGAAGGAAAACTCGACACAAACCCTATTGGTATTTGGTTGGTACCCGTCTTGGAGCTTGGTATAGTCTGCCAAAACCTTCTTTCTAAGGAAAGACCATGTCCAGCAATGGGCTATTGAAGGATGAAGCAGTGATTACAAAAGCTTAATAAAAACTGAAATAAGTGACACATAGTTTGAAAAAGCAACAATTTTACTGCATAATGTCTTGGTATAAAACATGTGTTCTTTCGTCGACAGTACTAATACACTCGTTAATAATTCAAAGCACTTACAGTTGAAGTTAGTAAGAGGTTTATGTTTTTTGTTCAAAGTTAAAACATGCAAGCCACCGATTAAGCGAAGAACCTACAAAGTTTATGACTCAATTATTATTTTCTTAAGAATACAGATGTTGATGGATTTACTAAAAGATTTTGGTTATAATTCACTTTTATTAAAATTGCAAACACATTTGCAATAAAAATATAATTCGTTCGATTCTTCTATAAAAAAATCTCATATTCACATTCGTAAATCCATCCAAGACATATATATTATGCACGATAGGGACAGTGAAACTTAATATGAATCTTATTTATAAACTATCAGATCATCCAGGCAAATCTTGAACCCCCTGGAACTGATCAGTAACACCTGCAAATACGTTTGAGGCCTACTTTCACTGTTGAAACTTCGCCATCTTCAATTATGATAATTTTGTTTTATCTCATCAGGTTGTGATAATTGACACTGTGCTTATGACAACAATGGATGAGAAGATAAACATGGGCCCACCGCAGGCCTGTCTGGCTCACGACTATGACACCATGAAGCCTGTAGTACTTGCCACGTGGAAACATGGTTTCCAAGGAGCATGTCCTGACAAAAGCGCTATATTGGCTGAGTCACAGGTAAGTTAATCCAAGACGCAATTAAGAAATAGTTAAGGAGGAAATCCCACCAATCACTGTTGGGTATTCAATCTTCCCAGAGTCCATTACCAATAATATTAACTAAGAGAACGGCAAACATTACGCTTCCCGATCAATCAGAAAAGAAGTTGATAGTGAATAGAATAGCTTTGCGTACACCAAGTAAATTTTCACTGCCAATTAAAGAAACCTTTAGACCTTTAGCAGCATAGTTGGTCCATTACAGAAACTATCCTCGTTTTCGCCACCACTAGACACTAGTAAATCTGTTAGATCTCCTGATTAAAAACAGATTTTAGTTATGCCATATAGATTCTTATTAAATTTACATCGTTTTACACAATCTCTTTGTCGCGATGTAAAGAAGTCTAATTTACTTCGACAAGTATATCGGTAATTTGAAGTAAACACCAACAAACTAAATTATACGAACAATAACAAACTTCAGACATTCGAATTGAGCATGCCAACCCATTGCAGATATATTAGTTCTATATTAATTTAGTTCAGAGAACAATGCTAAAGAAGTTTCTGGTTTTCAAATTTAACATGCAAATTATTTATTAATTATTAGGTCATCCAAGAAAGTCTCGAGATACCTGGAACTGGTCTCCACCTCGTTTACCACAGTTCAAGAGCTGCTGGCTACCTCTCAACCATTCAACTACAATTGACTCCTGAAAAGATCCCTTCAACCTTGGCACTCATTCACTTACGCATCACTATTGAAGGCATACTCTTCAAGAAGACATTTGAAGCAGATCCTGTTATTAAATTCACTTACCCATGGAACAGACTGAATGTGTACAAACAAAGAGTGTATGGAGTGACTACAGCTTTAGTCAAAGTTGGTTATCAATACACAGACTGCAAGGATATCATATGGAATGTCCAAACGACTAAGCTAAGTGGTCAAGATATGAGCATATCTGATGTTGGTGGATGGAATTTGGATATACATCATCGTTATAATTTCCACGAAGGTAAGTTGAAGGCTTGGGTTTCTATACTTTTTTCAAAGACAAGAAGTCTTTGTCAGTACAAAGTCTACTTTTGACTGTTGATGGAATTTGCTGAACATACACGCATGGTGCAAAATTACTACTACTAGCCCGTAGCAGATTCAAAGGAGAGAGTGATGTTATTGGTTATGTATGAGACCTACCGCTGTTGCAAGATTTTATCCCATTAAAAACTACATGTAAAGCAGTTGTTGAATTGAAAAAGTTAACAAAGTATAACATGGCTGGTATGCGTTTTAGAAACAACTTAAATTTCTCTCTTAATCAGTTAGGAACCAAGCACATGTTCTATTTACAAATTCAAAATATTAAATATACAAAACATAAAAATACTGGAACACATTATGTACCTACTTTAAACGCAAGAACAATTCAACAATTACCATTCCGTAGTTTATTCACGGTATTTGAAGGATTTTGGTGCCGATACGTTTTACAATACTAAGTACAAAGCCGTGTAATCTGTTAAGTGATTGAGTCGTTTTGCCTCCTCTGTGACGTCGGTCGATAAATTACGTTAAGCTTAGACACGCTAGGCAATGTATTTCTGGATAATGTGGTTACTGTTATTGGGGTACTAAATTAAAAGTAATTACAACTCAATTAGGACCAGTTGTAGAGTTCGTTTTGAGTTTCTAGATACATATATTATAAAACTGTTTGACCAAACTGTTAAGTCTTGCAAAATTTTAATTCGTTACCAATTACACTTACACCATTTAATATGCCTGGGTCTAGAATAATTTCTTCTGGATACTGTGTAGTTGTATATACATGATAGGTCCCCAAAATTAAATATAGGTTTCAGATGGTGATAATGAGTAATAACGAAATAACCTGAATAACGAAAAGCGATGCATTTTTTTTTTAATTTGATTTTCAATATACAAGATATTTTCAATTAAGAATATTGAATTGAAAATTCATGTGTAATATCAAAAATTAAAATTTGTAAGATAGTAGAGTTGTAAGAAAAGGTATAAAGTAAGGTACTTAAGCTAAGTCAGAAGATAGTAGTAGTAGAAGATAATAACACCAAAGATGTTAATGATGTTAAAACTCTAAATTGATTTTAAAAATTCAAAGTACTATAAAAAATGTGCAGCTTGAGAGAAATTTTTCGGCAACTACCATATTTATTTGGCATACCAACAGCATACATACACTACATTCTTATACATATTGTACATAGAAGATAAAACTAAGAAATAAAACTAGGTACACACAACATTCACCATAATAGATAACACCTGACTTTAGAATGATATGAATAAAATTATACAAAAACAAAATGAAACTTAAAACTACTTAAATCTAGATTAGATGTGAAAATTTAAGCTTATTCTACTATTTGTCAGAGACTATGCACTAAAAGTAGCTTTATTCTTATATGGATAGACTAATTATTTTTTTCTATTTCTTCAGGCATTCTTCAAAAGGGCGATGGTACAAATGTGTACTTGAAGCACAAACCTCGCGTGATCATCACTACGATGGGTGACGGTCGTCAACGGGAATTGGAATGCGGTGATAATTGTTCAGGAGTAGCGTCCAAACAGAGGCTCTTGGCACCGGTAGCTTTGACTGCAGCACCTGATGGTTCCATCTTCGTTGGAGACTTCAACCTTGTCAGAAAGATCAGCCCTGATGGAACTGTGCGAACCGTGGTTAAATTGAAGTGAGTTAACTTTTTAAATTTCAGTATTTTTACATTGTCTTTAAACTTAAAACTATAAATTTTAACATCCGTTTCTATTTAGAAAAATGAAGTCAGTTTAAAAACATAATTACGACATGATGTACTTAATGCATTGAAGTAAAAAAGTACTTTTATTGCAATAATAATTGGATTACAATACTTCCTACCGTTTTTCCAGTCACAATCACAAGATACAAAATATCCTAAGATTCGATTTTTTTTTCAGTGCCACTCGAGTCTCCTACCGGTACCACATGGCATTATCACCATTAGACGGAAACCTGTACATCTCGGACCCAGAATCCCATCAAATTATCAAAGTCCGTAACACCGAAGACTTTAGCGATCCTGAACATAACTGGGAAACCATCGTTGGATCTGGAGAAAGATGCCTTCCTGGAGATGAAGCTCACTGTGGAGATGGGGCATTAGCAAGAGACGCTAAACTTGCTTACCCCAAAGGTGTCGCAGTTTCCATAGATAACATTCTCTATTTTGCAGATGGAACGAATATCAGAATGGTTGACAGAGACGGAATCATTACAACAATCATTGGCAATCACATGCACAGAGCTCACTGGAAACCGATTCCTTGTGAAGGAACATTGAGCGTTGAAGAAGTTCACTTACGGTGGCCCACAGAACTATCTATTAATCCCTTAGATAATAGTTTGCATATCATTGACGATCATATGATTCTACAAATGGCACCAGACGGTAGAGTAAAAGTTATCGCCGGCAGACCTCTCCATTGCCCCTCACCAATAACTGGAGTTGACGTTGAGTTGGCAACTTATGCAACTTTAGTCATGCCCCAAAGTATCGCTTTTGGGTCAGCAGGTGATTTATATGTGGCCGAAAGTGATTCTCAAAGAATAAACAGAGTCCGCCTTATCACAACAGATGGAAAGATTGCTCTGTATGCTGGTGCCGAATCGAAATGCAATTGCTTAGAAAGAGGATGCGACTGCTTTGAAGCTGATCATTACTTGGCTTCTAATTCCAAGTTCAATACTATATCAGCTGTAATTGTAAGTCCCGACGGCATAGTCCACATTGCTGATCAAGCTAACTATAGAATCCGTTCGGTGATGGCGAGTATTCCAGATGCGAGTGGTGCAAGGGAATATGAAATCTATTCGCCAGATACGCAAGAAATCTATATTTTCAACAGGTTTGGTCAGCATATTACCAGTAAGAACATCCTAACTGGAGAAAATAACTATCTCTTTACCTATACTGTCAACACAAGTAATGGTAAACTTAGTACTGTAACCGATGCAGCTGGTAATAAAGTATTCCTGTTACGAGACTACTCTACATCAGTGAACTCCATCGAAAATACTAAAGGTCAAAAATGTAGATTAAAGATGTCTAGGATGAAAATGCTCCAAGAACTTAGGACTCCCGACAACTTCAACGTTACATTTGATTACTATGGACCAAGTGGGTTGCTTAAATCCAAATACGACAGCACTGGCAGGAGTTACGTCTACAAATATGATGAGTTTGGACGTCTGACATCGGCTGTAACACCTACTGGCCGAATCATTAATCTTAACTTCGATCTAAGTTTAAAAGGTGCAACTGTGCGTATTACAGAGAACAACAAGAAACCTATTTCGATATTGATAAAGGGGTCCTCTGTTAACACACGTGTTGGTGATGCTGAGAAAAAGACAATAATTTCATCAGACAGCAGTATTTCATCTAGCATGCCTTGGGGTCATGTTATTTCGACAGATACAGTTCCTTATACTGTTTTAGCTGAAATAGATCCCATTTTAGGAGAAAGCTTCCCAATTCCTGCCAAACAGAGGACTGAAGTGGGCGGTGATTTGGCCAATAGGTTTGAATGGCGATACTTCTTAAGAAAACTTCTTAACAATGCGCGAAGCGGAAAGTCTATTTCACAAGTTGGTCGCAAACTGAGAGTAAATGGGGAAAACCTGCTCACTCTTGAGTATGACAGAGATTCTTCAACTGTTGCTGTGTTTATGGATGATAAAGTAGAACTACTAAACATAACATATGATAGAACAGCTCGACCTGTGAAATTCGGTCCAACAAACGGAATTTTTGCAGAAGTTGTCCTTGACTACGATAGATTTAATCGTTTAACTAAATGGAGTTGGGGTGACTTAAATGAAACATACGGCTTTGATAGAGCTGGAAGGCTAAACGAGATAAGATACGGCGATGGATCTTCTCTAGCGTACTCCTTCAGGGATATGTTTACTTCACTCCCTCTAAAAGTTACAACTCCCCGAGGTAGTGATTATCTCTTAGACTACGATGATTCTGGTGCTCTTCAAAATTTGACTACTCCACGTGGTCATATTCACACGTTTGCACTCATGACTTCACTGGGTTACTTCAAATATCAATACTTTTCGCCAATGAACCGACACCCATACGAGATTTTGTACAATGATGATGGAAACATTTTATCTAAAATATTTCCACACCAGTCAGGCAAAATTGTATACGTTTATGACAATAGCGGGAAGCTGGAAATGATTCTTGCTGGTGCTTCTTCCGTGCGCTATAACTATCACGAAAATACCCACCTTGTCAAAAATGTCGAAATTACGGAGGCCGACTACGAACTACGCCAAGACTATAAATATCATGCTGGTATTCTTAAAGATCAAAAAATGAAATTTAGCCCAAAGAGTAATTTAAATAATGCTCATTTCAAATTTCAATACGATGGCAACGCGCGGCTTTCCACAATTGATGTTAATATCAACAGCAAGGAAATGCCTCAGTTGAGAATGAAATATAATCAAAACTTGGGAATTCTTGAAGCACTCAGTGATCTAAGAATTTATAGAAACACCTTTAACCGATCGGTGATGCAGGACACCAGCAAACAATTCTTCACGATAACTGACTATGACGACCGCGGCAGGGTAAAGTCCGTCCTGATAAACATCAAGGCTTTCGACGTATATCGACTTGAATTAGAATATGATTCAAGAAACAGAATAAAATCAAAGAAGACTATGATCGGCGACACGACTTCGAACGAACGAATCAGTTATAATTACGATGGACACCTAATGGAAGTAGTAGGATCCGAAGATGACTGGAAATACGTATATGATGAGAACGGTAATGTGATTGGGGTCATTGAGCATGGAGAGAAACGATACTTGGGCTATGATATTGGCGACAGAGTAGTTCAGTACGGTGATATGGAATACAGCAGCTATGATGGCCGAGGTTTCGTTATAAGACGAGGCGAACAAAAGTACACGTACAACTCTCACGGCCAATTTGTACATGCTTTCGAAAGAGACAAGTTCCAGGCGTGGTACTACTATGATGACAGAAGTAGATTGGTAGCTTTGAAAGACGACAAGAATAATATCACACAGTTCTTCTATGCTAACCCTGCAACGCCATTTTTGGTTTCACACGTGCACTTCCCAAGATCTGGAAAGACCGTTCGATATCTATACGACCAGCGCAATTACTTGACATGTATCGAGACAGAAGATCAAAGATTCTATGTGGCTACAGATCAGAATGGATCCCCACTCGTCGTTTTCGATATCAACGGTGAAATTGTTAAAGAAATAAAACGTAGTCCTTTCGGCAAAATCCTGAAAGACAGCAACCCAGAATTCTACATTCCCGTTGACTTCCAAGGCGGTGTTTATGATTTCTACACAAATTTAATTCATTTAGAAACTAGATTGTATGACCCGGTCGTAGGTCAATGGATGACACCGAGTTGGGAACATTTGGCAAGCAAATTACACTTGCCTACGGACATTTTCATCTACCGGTTCAAGAATAACGATCCAATAAACAAGAATCAGCACATTCCCTACATGACAGATTTGGGTAGCTGGTTACAAATGTACGGATATGATCTGAACAAAATGATGGGGTCTAGGTACATAACCAACATGATCTTCCAACCGAAAGTAGAACTGACTGCGCCCCGCTTGACTCCTGACTTTGAAGTATTGTCTGGATTGCAGTGTATCATTGAAAAGGTATGTACCTCATCGAAAGCTAATCATTTTATCTTCAACAATTAAACTCTATATATATACTAATTTTGTTTTGAAACTGAAGACTTTCTTACCCTCATTTTACCTTATCTTTAAATTACTAATAAAATATCAATGAATATCTAATAAATCTAATTCGCTTAGGAATCAGTATGAAATATTTAATATTATTACAGGTGAACCTGAAGTTAGCAGATATGAATTTCGTACCGACCCCTCTTTTAAAAATGGAACCAATCAAACGAAACCTGCTACCCAGAGTCTCATACAAACGAGGTGTGTTCGGTGAAGGTGTTCTCATATCGAGAGTCGATGGCAAGGCTTTGATCAGTGTGGTCGACGGAGCTAACAGTGTAGTAGAAGACGTCATAACAACAGTATTCAACAACTCCTACTTCTTAGATGTACACTTTAATATCCACGATCAGGACGTGTTCTACTTCGTGAAAGACAATACTCTGAAAATCAGAGACGATATGGAGGAACTACGTAGACTGTCAGGGAAATTCAACGTATCCCAAGACGAGACCAACGATCAAGGACTAGAGGTAATATTCTTTTGGATTATACGTATTTCACACTTAAATTATACTTTTATTAAGTTTTATGAAAGGGTCCATTGAAATTTGAGATAAATTTATTTTTATCAAATGAAATTAATTTAGATTTACTATTAAGTACTCAGCTTTTTACCAAGAATTGAATTGTTTATGAAAGGTCGATAGGATCGTTAGATCGTTACTCACATACAAGCTATATTCGGCAGTTTACAATTTTAGAAGGCCGTTCTATAGATATATAAAATCAGAGGTGGTTAAATAGATATTCGAAGTAAACACAAATACTATAACATCTATTACAAATTTTGTGTTATTATAAAACCATATGAATCGGAAGGAAGCGTGTATTTTCAATAACGACACATAGTTGTACGCGTGCGTGTGTGTCAGGTGCGCGTGCACGCGGTGAGCGCGGGGTCCGCGCAGGCGGTGATGGTGCTGCGCTACGGCGCGGAGCCGCGGGCGGAGCGCGCGCGGCTGCTGAAGCACGCGCACAAGCGCGCCGCCGCACGCGCCTGGGAGCGCGAGAAGGCGCTGGTGGCCGCGGGCTGGGAGGGCCGCGCGCTCTGGACCGAGGAGGAGAAGGAGGAGCTCATCTCGCACGGCGTCGTGGACGGCTGGGTGGCGCGCGACGTGCACCCGCTCTCGCGCTACCCGCAGCTCGCCGACGACCCCGCCAACGTCGTGTTCGTGCGCGACGCGCGCCGCAAGCGCCGCAGGAGCGGCCGCGCCAGGCACCGCTCCTAACTCCCCGCCCCCTGCTCCCCGCCCCCTGCTCCCCGCCCCCTGCTCCCAGCCCTTTAGCTCGCATGCTGTTTATGAGAGGCGGTCGCCCCGGCCTCGACCCGTCGAGAGGGGCGCGTTCGCCGGGACCGAGATCGAGTGAAGTTTTGTAATGCCGCGGTCAGGTTGAGAGCGACCGGAACCCGAGAGCGGTACGCGTCTGAGAGAGGAGTTTTTTGTCGATTCGTACTTAGGTGTTACACGCTCATGAACTTATTTTTACGCTCTCTGTGGCCCTTTTATCGTTGGACCGAACTGAATCTCGAAACAACTCACTACAGGGTACCGAGTCATAAATAAAATAAACATAAATAATTAAAAAGTATAATAATACGACTAACCGAGCATAATACTTATAAACTTGTGAAAACGAAATACTCAATGCGATCACATTTTTACCGTGCATGTTATTTTAATGATATAATTATAATTTGATATAAACGCCTATGCCATAATGAACATCCATGTAGGTATTCCTATTAAATTTTAGCCAAATATTTCGTTCTACCCTACATTAAAATATTTGTAAATAAAATCGTATATTTTATTCTTGTAGTTATTCCTTTTATATTATTAGACCTAAGGTCTCCTACTTCGCAATACTATCACTATTTAGCAATAATTTTATAAATCTCTCAAATGTCTGAGTCTACAAATTAAATGAGACTTATCTCTATATTTTTCGCTTGTTAGAAAACTTCCGCTAAACGGCTTAATGCATTCAATTTGTAGAAATCAGATGAAATATATTTTGGCGCGATATTGGAAGCGAAGCCATTATAATTATGTTATAAAATGTGATAATGTTCTGTGCGATTTGTAGGTACTGTAATATATGTAGGGGTGATTCAGATATTTAAGTAAACATTATTATCAAGCTTTCATATATCGCCAAAATGTGGTGAAATCAGAACAAATCGGACTTGACACGACCGACTTAGAAAGACTGACTAGACTTTCACAAAACGTCGTGGTTAATGGAGTGTGTACTTGTATTCATACTGGCCTACTGCAAATTAAAAATAAAATACCACAAACAATGTTATTTTTTTTAAGTTTGTTTTTAGTAGTAATTTTATCCGTTCGGTGCGACTAAGTTCTAAATAGAATACAGTAATCGCAGTAGCTCGACATCATTAAAATAGACTATATAAATTTAAAAAAGAAAAACTAAAATAACAGAGAACGTTAATACGTACCTTCTGCATGTGTTGTGTAATAAATAATTGAACAGTAGGTTTTATCGTAACCGTTTAGGAACTCTCTTCTTGCTGAGTTAATACAATAGTAATATATTTAGAGACTGATTTATTATTTCATCTACTTTCTTGTAACTGTGGGAAAATACAAGAGAACAAATACAAGTCTTTTCTCGCAGTTACAGTTAATACTAATGCTATTGAGATGCTATTGTGATTCGTAGATTTCAAACGTTAAATCAGCAAGAAGCACAATTTGTAATTAAACAGGTAGGTATTATAGTATATGTCCATTAATGTGTCTCATTTAAAATGTGGTGTCTATTCTGTGTTAGAAATACTTTAAATGATAGTTGACTGAGTGGCCGGTGATAGGATGAAAATATTTTTTACGAAAAAAGTAGATATGGAGGGAAAAAATCAAAATTTGAATCTATCGGTTCGGGTGCCGAAGACCCGCGTCAGTGATATTTTGGAAAATGTGACTAAAAGAAGCAATACTGTAATGTAATTCGTCTTACTCTTTATTTAGTAATCTTAAGATGTATTTTTATTTTTAATTAATATAATAATAATATATCTATTGTGAATGTAGTTATTGATTTCATGGTGATATTTAGAGCGGTATGTTATCTTTTTTATGATGTATAAAGAATTCTAATTTGTAAATAGGTACTTAATTGAGTATGTAATCTGTAAAAATATTGTACATATCTTTACGCTTGAATAATTTATAATGTAACCCCGTAAGGATTTTAGGATTATGGTGAATTGTAATATATCAGAATCAGGAGAAAATGTGTTCGAATCGTCGGGACATAAGCAAGATGTATTAATAAAAGTATTGCTTAAGTTCTGTCGGTTAGACTCGTATATACAAACGTTTCAACTCTTTGGCGGGTAAATCAGTGGGAGTGACAGCTCACAGCTCACAGCCACAGATTATGTACTCCCATTGGCATCCATAGACTACAGCTTCTAGATTACTTTAGAGAGCTTACAGTGTACGACCTTCACACGAAGCATTTACATGTAGAACTGATTTTCTCGTAAAGCATTTAATTTGTAATTAGATATGGTGCATAGACCCCATTAAAATAATCTGAATGTGAATAGATAGTCTACAGTCATACTCTGTTAGTCTGGGAGTGCGTGCTGACGCAAGCATGTACGGATAATAATAGAATGTATTCTAATGGAATATGTAATAAAAACGTAATAAAATATTTAACTCTTTTATTTTGATACTCCAATAATAATGCCGAATGATTACAATCTAATGAATGATTTTTTCGGACATCTGACACAACGCCATCTGGTTTTAAACAAAGCAGAGCTTGTACTATAAAATGAATAATATAATAAAAATATTATTCATCAAGAACAAGAACAAATCCTACAAGAGAATATAACAATGTGTATTGTTTATGGCATACGGGACCGAGCGGACCGGTCACTTGATAGTAAGTGACTACCGAAAGGGATTTTGGTAACAAGTATAGTACATTTAAAGTATTAAACTCGTAACTAGTACAGAACAAATGAATTTCCATACAAATGTCAAATAATAAATAATCTTAAGTATCCATTAGACACTCATTTTATCACTTAAAGCAGTAGTGGCGATATGAAAGTTCAGTTACCAAATAAATAAAACTCAAGTTAGCCTTGTAAAAATATTTTATTTTCCAATATACAAATACTCTAAAAGTGCTTATACACAACTAGTGATATGTCTCACAATAGAATAGACTCAAACAAACAAATCAACAATAAACATATACAAAAATACTAAGACAACAAATATACATCTAACCTATACAATTATTATTTCTACGTAACTGTTGTACAAAATGCATGAAGTAGGTATACTCGTGTATTTGCCTCATTTTGGCGTTTTTCGTTAATAAACTTTTTACAATTTTTCTGTTCGGTTTAATAATATAATAATTTATTTGTATGTGTATACTGTATTCGAAATGTAAATTTTACCTTTTTAGTGCAATTACACCATAGACAATATAAAAAATCGTTCAGTTATATTACAAAAAAGACATTGCGACCCAATAGCAAAAGTGAACTCATAATAAAGTATTATTTAATCTATGGTGAAATTTCTGGTCTCATTGCATATTCAAAAACTTTTTCTGTTTTGCCTTCTAGAACATAATAAAGTATGTGACATAATATATTTAAACATAATAAAATTAAAATTTATCTGCTTCTGAGTCAAGTTTCAAATGCCCAAAAGATCGATAGTCGCGAGAAAAATTATAATTTGTCGATAAGATAAAGACCATTTTTTTGCTACAATCTTCTTGAACGGTAATAAATAAATAATATTAATAATGACATTTAGCGGGTAAGGGCAGCTAAAGCATTGCACTATGCGATGAGTATCGGCGTAACCCTACTCCTAACACAAACATATAGCTTAGCTAGAGTGGAAAACATGAATACTAGTAATGTCTGTTATTTAAAATACAATAATAAGTAATATTTTATGAATAAAATAAAACTAACCAATATACATCTCGGAATATCCTTTCAACATTTCAGACTACTAGATTGACATTTGAATGACAATCTATATGACAAAATAATCCCTTTAATGTGCGGACTTTAATCTTAATATCTGTGTGGTGACGAATTAAGAATATGGAGTATCACCACACCTATTCATTCCGTGGGTGTCGTAAGAGCCGACTAAGGGAGCAAACTACGCAGGACAACAGCACTGAAAAGAGAAGGAAAACTTGAAACAAACCCTATACCAACCCATCGTGGTTTTCTAAGGAGAGGCCCATGTCCAGCAGTGGACTAGTAAAGGCTATTGATGAATGTCCGGACACGCCCTTAAATTACAAATAAACATTCTAAAATAATTCTAAAACAAACAAACTGACAGCTGGTATTTAATGTCAAAGTGACAATGCATTGACAGTTCAATAACTGTCATGTTGTTAAGAAACCTTCTAACAATTAATTTGAGGTGTGAACGAAAATATATAATAATTGTGCTTTCTAAATACCAAAGGTGCGGGTTTAAAGCTTGTGCTAGCAGAAATATAAAGTATATTCATTTAATTTATAGTTTCAAATAGTTCTTAGAACATAACTCTCTCTTACTGTTAATTTACATTATGATCAAAACTTAATATTATTTTGTACCCCCAAAAAATGACAATATCTGTCATTCATCGGGTGTATATTAGAATTGTGACGCATAGAATGGATCCTGTGTGATGTGCTTGATCCTAACAAATGTATATCGGTGGATTTGGATACATATACAATTTATTTGTGTCTACAAATACGGATACGAGTATCTGAAGGCCCATTATCACAATAAAAGTTCGGTCTCAATTCAGGTCCGATCAACTTTCGATCGCACAACTGTCCTAAGTAATCACAGTAAAGTATTCAACATCCGACTTTGACTGTAATGTGATTATATCGTATTGTAACCGAAAATTAAATCGGTAATCTGCTAGTCTTAGTAATACTTTACTATTATACTACGAAAATAACTTTTATGATAGTAGCGAGTTCGAGAGTTGATCGGATCTTAATTTTGGCCAAACTTATGTTACGACAATTGGTTTTCTGTAACATCACTAACTATATTAAAAAAGAAAAACTTACAGGTTGTTACAACGGTGTAGTAAAATCTGAATATTTGAGTATTAAAAACCTGTATAATATACTCACTACGCTTAAATTAGCCTCACTGGCTTCAACAGAATAATTTTGAACATAAACACAAAATAAATAGCTAAGCTTAAAACTAATAGTTTTCAATAAATTGTGACTCAAACGCTTTAGGTCCTGAGGGCCTAGTGCAAGTATATTTCACATCGAGTCGCTCTCGACGGCAAGCGCGTTGAGCATTGCGATTGGTGGAGATTTCTGTGCGGGCCAATCGTAGGCCGAACGTGGCCACCGTGACGATCGAGAAGAAGTGAAATATCCCTCTGTATCCCTCTGATCCTCTAATTATATATATTGTCTTGGTCTTTCCCGATTGGCGGGTAATTATGGACACACAATTACAATATATACATAGATTTTGAAGTAACTCCTTGATTCATGACGGATGGCGTAGTAGTTTAAGTGATCGGCACGCCGTTTACTACTACGCTGAGTGTTGTGGGTTCGAACGCCACATGGAACGACACTTTGTGTGATCCACAAATTGAATCTGGGTGTTTTTAGTGTTCATCTCATGTATGTTTTTAAAGTCCCCCGCGATACAGGATATATTCCTTACGTGGGAGTTGTCTTTTTAAAAATCATAAAAAAATAAAAAATTGAAGTCATTTCTAAAGTAAAAATATGCTGATAAAACCTGTATAATACATTTATATACATAGATATTAATAATACACACTTGACTTGGAAAGTATTGATTTCAGCTAAAACACCATTACAACTTACAACACAACATTGAAAACAGGACAAATTAAGCATACGCAAGCTAAGTCGCGGGACAAATACCAGTTTGTTATAATTTGACTAACATCTGCAATGAATGTATTTAATTTCGTATTTTAAGTGAACTGTAAAATTTTTTTTACAATGACATAATCTTGTATAATTGCTAGAAAAGATAATTTTACAAGACATTAGATTTTTTCATGTAAGTAAGCGTAACATCAAATCTTTAGTTTTCAAGCGTGTACAACAAAATTAACTATGAACTAGCAAAACAAAATTTTGAAAATCGATAAAAGATCGCAAGAAAATTATAAGTTATAAGATCAACCTGCACAACTAACAATATACAAGGTGTAAGGGACATCGTACAGAATACTGAAATAGTGTATTCAGACCATGATTCTGTTTAATAAATACCAAAAAACTGCAATGTAATTAATCAAACAGCTGAAGCGCGCGGGACCTTCCCTCCGGCCGCCATTTTGTGTTAGTGTGCGTAGCCTGTTTGTACGGAATACACATGTAGTTATTACTTTTGTGCGATACCCACGGTTAATGGCCTTAACATTTGACAGCTGATTGCATAAAAAGTTTAATTTTCCGGCAGAAAATTCCAATGATATTCGACTCAGAATGATGGTCTGAATACACTATTTCAGTATTCGTCCCTTACACCGTTTCTAATTCTTATTAACGTTACAATGACAATTACACCTTATAGTCACTGATGACAGAGTTCAATTCAACAGAACAACATATGTAAATAGTCACTCACTCTTTCAATATACAAACACACTACATATACATAATAAGTGACACTATTCTATGGCCCACATGAAGCAACTAACAGCCGTTACAAATCCCTAGTAACATTTAAATATATCTATATAAAACCAACATTCCGCCATTACCTTAAGCAGTATATATAGTACAGTTTCATAAGATTTCAGACTAATAAGCTTGCATAGTATTTATTTATAGTTAATTTAAATTAATAGTAGACCAAAACCTCCATTTTAAGGAGAGGCCTATGTCCAGCAGTGGACTGTAAAGGGCTGTTGATAATAATCTAAATTTATTTTCAAACACAATGAATAAAGGTGAAATAATAAGATTATCTCATGATCATCATTGGTTACATCAATAATTAAGGGCAATGTTGCCAAATTAAAATTTTCATTGTGTTACCAGTGCATAATTAAGAAGTCTTCAATTACATAAAGCTTTCCCTTGTATCGTCATCCTGCCCTATACCAATTTTTTTGTGATCAGCGCAATATGTAACTCTGCAGACGGTTATTTATGGCTGATTTCTTTTATAGCTCGGCCGTTTGACTAATGCCAACATTTCTTAGGAATGTAATCGTTTTAGGCTAATAAGGGAATAGGTAAATTAAGTTAAGGCAAACGAATAGGTGATAGAGAGGATAAAGGTGATAGCTCATTAGAGCCACTCGAGAACAGAATAGCACCACCTCATCGTCCGGTGTCCACTCGTCGACGACAGGTAGTCCAAGGGTGAACGCAAAACATCGTGTGGTTAATGAGTGGAATTGTCCGCGAATAGATAAGTAGTTAGAGGATCTGCGCGTGGGCAAGCGTGCCAGCAACGAGTGGTCATCGAATGGTCCACTCGGCGTCCACGATAGTCAACCCGTGGGTTCCGGAGTTTATATAATGAGTGTATAACCGTAGTACTCTATAAATAGAGGGCTGTTCCACTAGTCCCTACCAGCTGTCCCTCTTGGGGGGACAAGTAGACTACTAACCATTCGAGTCGAGCCGGTGCCTTAAGGATATCATAACTATCGGTATTTTTTTTTATGGTATAAGGGACGAGCCGACGGGTCACCTGATGGTAAGCAACTACCACCGCTCAAAGTCACACCCTTGGAGTCCCTATGAGACGTATGATGATGTTGTTTGTCTATCAAATGCAGTAACATACTTAATGTGTTATTTAATAAAATCAAGCATTTCGTTCTCGCCATATTTTTAAGCTAAAAGTTGTATGAATACATTTTACATTTAACATCAAAGAAGTGCATGAAAAACCGATTAACATTTTGCTTTGATATTAAAATAGGATTCAAGATTTATATGCTGTTTAAGATACGTTATTTGCTTTTAGTTCATAGTTCACCTTATTGGTATTTTAAACAGACTTAAAATTTTCAGAAAATTGGAAACATTTTTCAGTTTGGAATGAAAAGTGAAATTAATATTATAAATTATTTTAAATTGAGAATAAATATCTAAACCTTTTAGTTTTATATCAAATGCCTTAGAAAATGTAATACCAAGGTGTAAGTCGGTCAGTATTACGTTTCGTCCGAGTAGTCCAGGGGTCCCGTGACCACGGAGCGCATGGCGTCCCAGCGGGCGAGCATGGCGCGGTCCAGCTTGTCCACGGCCCAGCGCTGGGTGGCCACGGCTCGGCAGCGGCTCACGAACAGCTCGCCGAGCTCGGGGCTGTAGTCCAGGCACGGGGACTCCGCCGCGTCTCCGTGCTTGATTTGCATCGTGTCCTGGTAATTGTCAGAGATTGAAATGAAACGATATTTATTTCTGCAAGTTAATATTTTCAAATATTTTTACTTACTAACTTTCCTAAGACGGAAGATTCGCTCAGGGAAGAAACAAACCACAGAGGTGTCTTTTTTTTAGTCCGTATATAATATTAAAGAGAAATATGTAAGTGCAGTTTAGGGTCTGGGTTAGCCTTTTGAAGAAAAGACCATAGTATTGAGTCGTCCGGTCCATACAGACGGCATTCGAGCCCCAGCCAATGTGTAGCCTAATCGATTTAGTCAGGATCAACAACTTAGATCACAACACTATCGCCAGCAGGACACTTGAGGAGGTTGTGGAAACACTCAAAACCACCAAAAAGTTATTAAAATATGAACTAACATTACAAGTCTACACTATACTTATATAAAAAAAAATACAATTTCAAATAAAGAAATTGAAAACAAATGAAATGCGAATTAAAACAAAAAAATAAATGTTGTGTGAGCAGCATCAATCCCAAGCAAATTTGTCATCTAAATATTCTGTAATCGTGTAGTAAGCATTTCCCATAGCTTTTGGCAATAACTGAGATTATAAATTGCGCGAATAGCTCTCTTTTGCAACACAAAGATACTTTGAATGTCAGCAGCATTTCCCCAAACAAAACACCGTATGACATTACACTATGAAAATAGCTAAAATACACCAGGCTAGCTGTTTCTACATCGGTTAATTGACGAATTTTCTAAACCGCGTATGCTGCAGAGCTGAGTCTATTCGACAATCCATCAATGTGTGGGCGCCACTGCAATGATGGTCAGAAAGTATCGGGCGGAGGAAGGCTAAAACACATATAAATTAAAATGTAGTACTCACCTCCAGGTACCTCCAGAGCTGGTTCCCTCCGCCCAGGTGACACGCGTACAGCAGCACCGGACTGCGCGGGGCCGACTCCGGCAGGTCCCAGCACATGTTGCGGGATTTCGACCTGGAAACCACATCATCTACAGTTTATCTCTTACGATCATTACAAATATAATAATTCAATGACTTCAATAAATTTGATCTGTAAATACTATTCAATAGCGAAACGTTAGGTTACTTTCCGACGACCCGACGATCGGATGGCGTAGTGATTTGTGTAACGGACTGCTAATCCAAAGGTCGCGGGTTCGATTCCCGCTCAAGTCAAACATTTGTGTGCATGAACATTCAATGTTTGATTTGGTCTGGGTGTTTCTATGTATATTATGTATGTATTTACAAAAAAAAAGTATATACGTATTTATATCAGTTGTCTAGTAGCCATAGTATAAGCTCTGCTTAGTTTGGGACTAGATGGTGTTGTGTATTAGATGTCCGAAAATATTATTATTATTACAAATATAAAATTAATAACAATAATAATTAATAATTATTAAATGTCAGGTTACCTTGGAAAATTTGTGATAAGGTTCGATCCACTTTGTATATGTGTAAATAAAGGTTCAAGTTATACTGTGCCATTACATAACTAAAAATATTTAAAACTTCATTAACTATGGTCAAATATCCACTAAAAGGTGAAGTCTAGTCATTTTAATTTATATCGATAAAATTAAACAAAAACAACACAACATTTATTTATTTATTAAAGGTGATGGTAAGCAACCACCGCCGCCCATGGACAAGTCACAAGTGCGTTGCCGCCCTTGAAGACATTAGACATGTTAGACTTTTTTTTCGACTGAATCATACTTTTTAAAAACTCATTACGAATAAAGACTGGTCTGTTAATCTAGTGCCTAATGGTCCTGAGGGCTAAGCTGGCAGTCGTAGGTTCGATTTCTACCCAAGACAAGTATTGTATGATGAGCTCCATTGTTTCTTCTGTTTATAATAATATTATTTTCTATAATATATACATATTTATAAATATATAACTATATTTATCAGCAGTCTAGTTACCATAGCACAGGCTTGGTCTGTGTTAAGATGTGTCAAATTATTCTCTTATTTCTTTTTTAAAAAAGACAACTCCCGGGCTAGGAATATATCCTGTGTCGCGGGGGACTCTACAAACATACATTAAACGGACACAAAGAACACCCAGACTCAGAACAACAATTTGTGGATCACACATCCCATGGGGATCGAACCCACACCATCGCTTAAGCCACTCCGTGCAGTCATTACTATTCTTAACCCTTTTGTTGAACCCACAACCATTAGATCGCAGGAAGGACGCCTAAACTATTACGCTAGGCTACAATAAGTATATATATTTTATAGTATAACTAGTGGATCCGACAAACATTGTCCTGTACACACGTTTTACTAAAAACCATTTTGTAGTGGACCGAATTGTCAATCTAAACCATCCTCGAATCCACTTGAACACACAAAAAGTTTCATCAAAATCGGTCCAGCCGTTTAGGAGGCGTTCATCACATACATACGTACAGAATTATATATAAAGATTATAATTAGTTGTTCTAACTTGATATCCTTGTGCCAAGAGAATATGAAGTGCTGTTCGCTGTCAGGGTTGGCAGAACAAGGTTTGATGTAGAGCCTCTCGTTCTGAACCCCGCGGTGAGCGTCCACGCACAACTTGTTGTTCATCGCTGGACGAATCTGATTTAAGGGAAAATATAGAATACAGTGGAACATTCTTTATTATTCTTCATATACAGAGAACTAGATACTTAGGGATAGGTCATCATCTCATTCCCGCCCTTTTTAGAAGCTGTACATAATAACTAAAAACATTCATACATACACACAGGACCAGAGCAGACCGAGAGGAGTAGCGCAAAGTATTTTTAGACACTGGAAAATAAACTTTAAAACTATTGCTATAAAGTGCATACATGTTTGAACTTGCACTTACACTAATGCCTGTAATATATCACAAAGCTTCGAGAGAAAAAGAGAGACCGCCTGGTATTTATAATAATTAGCCGCGGCAAAGGACAATGAGCTTTATCACTATAATCATAAGATCGGAAATAGATTGTCTCGCAATCTTGTATACATTTAAAACGTACTCGTGTTTCTCGGAAACAGAAAAGTTCTAATAATGAGAATTTATTAAGATTAAGTTAGACTAAACACAGGCACATCTTCGCCTGTAAGACGTTCAGTTAGAGTCGAAATCAATAAACGCTAACACGTAACCAAAAATTTCATTTATATCCGATGGGATACAATTTACGGGGCCCCCTTTCGAATGGTTACGGGAGGTTATGGGTATTCCGTTACATATCAATATAATAAACATGACAATAAGAATTTTAACTTACACGTCCTTCAGCAAATGGTTCAGGCTCAATGGTTGGATATTTGGCTGTCAAGTCGAACGCGATCTGAAATTAAATACACAAAATATTAGCAAATTATAATAAAAAAATGGTGATAACCCTCTTACCCTATTACTCAGTGAAAAGTAATGAAAGACCATAGCAATAACCATGCAAAGGCTCTCCCACGGTTGACTATATATTATGTAGGTGGCGCATTCATTACACATACAGCGTGTAAAACGGGACGGGTTGGAAAATCCCTTCGGATCTTCGGCTCTTCAGGGACGCAGGAGCCAATGTGGTGTTTCCACTAAAAACAATCCCGACAGCCGGTCTCAGGCACCCTGCCTTGGGGAGGCCCCGGACCATGTTATTTCAGGTCCCCCCTGGATCAACGCCGCGCCTAGCCAGGCCCTATCCCGGGGAAAGAAGGCGGCCCGCTCGCATTTTTGGCCCCGTCGACGGCTGATAATGCCGCCGACGAGACAATTCGTGCCTATTGGTACAGAGATGTTATTAAAAACTACCAAATTGAACACAAATATTACCAATAAAGCTAATATTTTTTACACACAGCATCACATTGTCCGTAATATTCAATACCTTTTTCATGAACCACTTGAAAGGCTTGCAGTTGAGCCGTTTCCGTAACGCTTTCTGTTCGGAGATGTCCCCGGGGTCGATGGAGTTGTAGTGCGGACGTCGCTGGTACAGGAACTTGGCGTACTCGTCCATCCACACCTCCGCCACGCGACGGTAGTTCTGATAACGTAACAAAACTATATTTATAATACACTAGCTGAGACCCGCGGTGTTACCCGCGTTTGTTGCTATAACCGGGGGCAACGCGAAGCTAGTCTAAAAAAAAGTAGCCTAAGTGACTCCTTATGTCATCAGCTATCTGCCAGTGAAATTCCAGTCGAAATCGGTCCAGCCGTTCCAGAGATTACCCGGAACAAATAGACAGACAGACAGACAAAAATTGTAAAAAATGTTATTTTGGCATATGTACCGTGTAAACAGACAGATGCATTTAGTAAAAAGCGGTTATTTTAATATTACAAACAGACACACCAATTTTATTTATTTGTATAGAAGATATACTTTCTAACTTATATACACCCCTAGTCATCCTGTGGGTGTCGTAGAAGCTGAGTAACGGAGAAAACTACGCAGGACAACAGCACAGCAAAGAGAAGGAAAACTTGACACAAGCCCTATACACACCCGTCTGGTCAGCGTGGTATAGTAGGCCAAAACCTTCTTTCTAAGGAGAGGCCTATGGCCAGCAATAGACTATGTAAAGCTTTTGATGAATTAAGACGTAAAATTGTGAAAATCTCGTTTGAGAGTTACTTCAAAAGAATCCTACCTACCGTTACTTTACTACAAAACACACATGACAGGGTAGCGATAGACATGGAAATTATTGCTACTTTTAAATCATATTCATTTGATGAAATGATTGGATCTAGTCGCAGCGATTTCACATGTGATTGTGATAAAATCATACACAAAGATAAGTGGTATTGAAATCAATCAAAATTCTTTTTATCAAAGATTACCTTTCGCGAGTGTTGCGCTACCATAATAAATAGCAGTGGTTTTGTAAATCAGCCACAGGTGTGACGATCCTAATTATAAATCATATGATTTGTCTCATGTGATTGTTTGTGTTTAATCTATGGCTAGTAGTGAAGATACGTACCCTGCCCACGAAGTCCCCGTGTCCCGGGTTGGGGAAGGGCGCGAACTTGCGGTAGATGTGCCCGACGCGCGCGCACGGCACGTCCACCATGCGGCCCCCGCACTGCCACAACTGACACCACACAACACATAGCTTACAGAACCATCGTTTTTTGACGGTTAATATGCATACGACATAATACTATTAATATTATAAGTTCGGGCAGCAATATATGTGAGACATTACAAAATTAATACCCAACCTGTATTATATTTAAACAACTTAGAGGCCGTCCATAAATTACGTTACACATTAAGGGAGAGAGATCGACGAAGTGTGACATTGTGTGGCAAGGGATAGAATAGGTCCTAAATTTAGTGACGTTCAAATCAAATTAATTCACATTTCAAAACCTAATACATACAATCTAAGTTAATATTATTTAACGGGAATTAACGCGATCTCTTATTTAGGGTATTACATACCTCTGGTTTGCCTGACGTTTCGACCAGGTTGCACCGGCCGTGGTCACAGGCTGACTGGCTCATCGGCGCACGCCCTCCGTCGTCGAATCCGTGAAGTAGAAGGCTCTTCATCTACCCGCACATTTTCGATATTGTTTTTGTGTCGCCATGTACCGTCACATACCACACTAACAGTGTCCCTATTCTGTAAGCAAACCGATGAGTCCCTATTCTGGTGTTTAACCGATTGCGCAGAAAAGCGAGGTGGTATGTTTTTTAACACTGGATTCCACGCTGTAGATAATTTAAAACCATCTTCCCGATTAAAAGTTTTATGCTTTTTAATCTCAATCGCTTCACGTACAACTCTTGAGTAAAAGTGACGTTCGGTGGAGAGGACTTGCGTGCGGTGAAATTCAATCCAGTGGTTGATGCCTGCATCGAGTGCATGTTCTGCAATCGCTGATTTGCTCGTCTGTCGGTTCTTCACAGCAGCGATATGCTCTTTGACCCTTTCTGCAATAGTCCGCTTAGTTTGGCCTATGTATGAGCTTCCGCAGCTGCAGTCTATTTTATAAACACCCGGAGTTTGTAGTGGCAATGTATCCTTCGGTGTGCCGACGATGTTGTGAACCTTTATGCCTGGTGTGTATACTGTCGGAATGGAATATTTCTTTAGTACAGACCCGATCTTGTCCGTAACTCCCTTGACATAAGGCATATAGGCCGGTTGCCTGTTCACTTCTGGATACTTGCGTCTTATTTTCGGTTGCTTCCGTCCTCCTTTCACTTGATATCCGTTACCTTTGAGTACCTCCTGAACATGTTTTAGCTCCTGTTCTAAATGTTCAGGGTCACAGAGATCGTAAGCTCTGTTTTTGAGTGAAGTCATAACAGATTGCAAGTGCCGGGGGTGATGATGAGACGTGGCGTGTAGGTATCTGTCCGTATGAGTAGGTTTACGGTACACACAGTGTGACAAGGACCCATCCGATCTCACGGCTACTTTAACATCTAAGAAGGACAACGACCTGTCCGTCTCCATTTCATATGTAAACCTCATTTTGGGGTGAATAGAGTTCAGATGTTGTATATATTGATCCACTTCTTGTTTGTTTCCTTTGACGATACTGAAAATGTCATCCACGTATCGCTTCCATAGCTTAACGGTATTCGGGCCGAGATTTAAAGCCTTCTCTTCAAAATGTTCCATCCAGATGTTGGCCAGTACTGGGGCTACAGGACTTCCCATCGCGACACCATCAATCTGGAGGTAATGTTGACCTTGGAAAAGGAAATAGTTGCCATCTAAACATCATCGGTTTGCTTACAGAATAGGGACACTGTTAGTGTGGTATGTGACGGTACATGGCGACACAAAAACAATATCGAAAATGTGCGGGTAGATGAAGAGCCTTCTACTTCACGGATTCGACGACGGAGGGCGTGCGCCGATGAGCCAGTCAGCCTGTGACCACGGCCGGTGCAACCTGGTCGAAACGTCAGGCAAACCAGAGGTATGTAATACCCTAAATAAGAGATCGCGTTAATTCCCGTTAAATAATATTAATTATCATGGAACGCGAAAGTTTAAAAGTTAGTATACAATCTAAGTATCAGAACGCGAAATTTGAATTATATTATTAATAATAACATTATTCATCGTTTTATATAGTTTTTCAAGTGTTTGATTTAATGTTGTTTTTTTTGTAAATTTTTGATTGCTGTTGATTTTATTAATAAATAATTTAAATGGAAATACAATTAATTATGAAACTGCTGCTTTAGTTTAATAATTTCCAGATGTAAAATTGCAAACTATGTGAAATCACAATAATCATAAATGTTACCAGCTTTTACAAAAAACAGGTTGGCGGTCAAAAAATCATGCAATTCGTGTAACGTAATTAATAGATGACCCTTTATTACTTTTTCACTTATATACGGTAACATTACTAACAGCAAGTTTCTATTAGAAATGTAATACTTTTTCATGGATTTTCTTACTAACACAATTTTTATATTCATAATATTGTTATATTTACCTTAAAACTAAGTTCATACTGTTCCCCACCCCAGATGTCAAGACCAGGATCGTACCCGCCAAGCTCCCAGAAGAACTTGCGCGATATTGCGAATAAACCTCCCGCCATTACAGGGCTCCTGAAAATTATAATTTACGAATAATATTATACTCACTCACCGACGTTGTTCAGACGAAGTTTATATCACGATAATACATTAGTTATATTAATTACTAGCTGAGACCCGCGGTGTTACCCGCGTTTGTTGTTATAACCGGGGGCAACGCCGCGGAGCGAAGCTAGTCTTAAAAAAGTAGCCTAAGTTACTCCTTATGTCATCAGCTATCTGCCAGTGAAAGTCCCGTCGAAATCGGTCCAGCCGTTCCAGAGATTACCCGGAACAAACAGACAGACAGACAGACAAAAATTGAAAAAAATGATATTTTGGCATATGTACCGTGTAAACATACATATGCATTTATTAAAAAGCGGTTATTTTAATATTACAAACAGACACTCCAATTTTATTTATTTGTATAGATAGTTTGTCCGTGTAGTGACGGATTAAGAATACGGAATGTCACTACCCCAATTCATCCCGTGTGTGTCGTAAGAGCCGACTAAGGGAGCAAACTCTGCAGCATAACAGCACTGCAAAGAGAAGGAAAACTTGACACAAACCCTTTACCAACCCGTGTCGCCAGCGTGGTATAGTAGGCCAAAACCTCCTTTCTAAGGAGAGGCCTATGTCCAGCAGTGGACTATTAAAGGCTGTTGATGATTGATGATGAATACATTACTTACTCGAAAGGTTCCGGCATGTTCTTCTCGTCCTGGGGCAGGATCGGCAGGCGTTTGTAGAAGAACTCCCAGTCGAAGGCCCCACGAGCGCCCTCGTCCTGAGCGCGATACTCGAACGTGTCGTACGCAATTACGTCGATGAACGGACATGTCACCGTGCGATAATTCAGAGCTATCGGCTCTGGAAGACAAACGGTGTTATTGTTTTACAAAACGTGATAGTAACTAGAGCAGAAAACTGTATTATACTTGTCTCTATTTCTGTTACATTGTTACGCCTGAAGTGGTAAACCAATTTGGATACTTTTTGGTATAAATACAGGCGGAAGCTTGGATGACAAAATATTTATGTTTTTGTTGCGAAAATGAAACGTGAATTATATGAAACAGGGAATCGAAATTTGTACGCGAGAGATCTCAAGCAGATTGCAGTGAATTATAAATAATTTCTATGGGTTTGTTTTATTGAGATTATCATGAAATGTTGCGTAGGTACACGTTGTTAACGGTAAAAAGACATAAACTACTGGTCCCGATGAATACCGAAAGGATTTACAAGATCTACATTTGGTTAAAAAAAGCCGCGAACAAAGGCTAGTACAGAACACCAATAATTAAGGCAAAAACTCTAACAACAGTACCATTGATGACGCCATTTTCCGAAACCATTACGAGTAATTGGTAACTCACAGACGATTCATTAGCCAAGCTATCATTGTTTCATCATCATCAACAGCCTTTATTAGTCCACTGCTGGACATATGCCTCTCCTTCGGAAGAAGGTTTTAAGTTTTTTATAATTTTTTATTTTTCCCAATCTACTCCTCTTTTCTCAATTTAATTTGGAGCGCAATGAGCAACACGGCCATGTATTTTCACTACTTTGTTTGTCCAGCCGTCTCACTGAAACTTCCTTCTTAAGAAATTTCAAGGTGGGCCCTTTTCGTGTAAGGAACGAATACGGCGAGGAAGCTAGCATTTCATTTTTTTATGTTAGAGGGAGCAGACGAGCAGACGGGTCACCTGATGGGAAGTGACCATCGCCGCCTATGAACATCTGCAACTCAGGAGTCACAAACGCGTGGCCAGCCTTTTAGGAAGGAGTTATCTTCCTAAAAGATAAGTTGGATAATCCATTGGAACAGAAGCATCAAAGAGCATTATTTAATTTTTCAAAATACTGAGATCGCTTCGGCCTTCGTTCGTTTATACATAATATAACAGAACAATGCGATTTGGAGAGCGTAAGCGTTTTGATATCATATTTACGTTTTATGGCATGTAACGATAACGTTAAAAATAACTGCAAAATCCAACCATCATCATCATCAATCATCATCAACAGCCTATAACAGTCCACTGCTGGACATAGGCCTCTCCTTAGAAAGGAGGTTTTGGCCTACTATACCACGCTGGCCAGACGGGTTGATATAGGGTTTGTTTCAAGTTTTCCTTCTCTTTGCAGTGCTGTTGTCCTGCGTAGTTTGCTCCCTTAGTCGCCTCTTACGACACCCACGGGATGAATAGGGGTGGTGACATTCCGTATTCTTCTTAATCCGTCACCACACGGATTAATCCTTCACTCCAACCACCAAAGAGTAAAACAAATATTGACATTGATAAAAAACTGTTTTTCGATCCGATACATAAAAACGGTACCAATTACTTAATTATTTGATATATACATACAGGAAAACCCGGTTTAATACGAACAGTCTTACAACGTATGTCTCATATGGCGTCAACACGCTAGTTCCTTGTGAGTTGCAGGTGGCTAATTTGCCCCCTGTTCCATAAAAAAAACTTGAGGTATGTTTTTATATTCGTCACAGTTCGTCATCCCCCGAGGGGTGCAAGGTTTGGAGCTTCGGTTGCCTCACTCACTTGGTAAAGTCAACAAAATAATTACTTCAACTTCAACTTTTGGTTAATGGCTTTGTGGTAGAGTGTAACCACAATTTCGCCAATGTCATGTATTTGAAAGACAAACTGTCAACGGATTTTATGTAGAGCTGTGGTAGATCCAAAAAAAATATTTGAGAATGAAAGAATAAGAATGAATAAATTGTTATCTTTTACAGGCATGATAAAACTTAAACTAGTAAAATATATATACAGCTAATAATATATATACATATACAAAATAATAAATAACCAGTAAAACAAAAACACATATTACACTGTGATATTGAAATTATAAATTTAATTTTGTTTAAAGTTATACACTTACCTAGAATGTATACAAAAGGAGTAAAAACGCGAGATAAGAGTAATTTAAGGGACGTGGGATGAGGAATATGAGGAGGAATGTATTCATAAATAGGAAACTTAGTTCTAGGACAATTAAAAAATATATGGTTCGCGTTTCCCTCATCAAGCCCACACTCAGAAAATAATTACTCAATACTAGTTTTTTTTTTCCTTGTCGTTGTTTTTTATGTTTTAATCACTGCGGTCGGTCGGTCTTAGTCGGTTCAATTCTGACACAGCACCCCTTCGCATACCGGTAGGGTGACACAATTTCCACACGTAAAAAAAAAGTTCGAACAAAGTACAAACTAAAAACTTCCTGTTGTACAAACTAAAAACTATAAAAAAAAATGATGAAATGCAAAAAAAACCGTATAGGCGTTGTATGACACTAATAAAAAAACATAAAGTAATACATACACACAGACCTAGTAGTGGCGGTAACCAGTTGACGTTGGCCTCTGTATGCGAGTCCAGGAACACGAGGACATCGCCCGTGGCCTCCTTAGCGCCCGCCAGTCGGGCAGTTATGAGACCGCTCCGCTCCTTTAAGCGGACTACCGACACTTTTGGCATGTGGCGGCCCAAGTAGTCGTCCAACTCATGCTTTAGAAATTCTGAAATAAAAAATTAATGATTTTGTCAAACTAGACGGCTAGGGTTGTCCCGATGTCTAGCTCAGTTGCGAACATAATAATGATATTTTTACACGACTTTCCAAAAAGGTGTGTAACATTTTCATGGCTCATTTGTTTGCAAGTTTCTTTATTCCAAACAAGTCCTATATAGGTTTTTGAAGTTATAGGTTTGGTACAGGTATTGTACGGGTGAACAACATCCGTACAATACCTAACGCGTTTTTGACAAGACTCTCTGGTTTTCTTGTTTTCGAATTAGTCATTTTTACGTAAACATAAACAGCCATCGTGTAGGCAGAATGGAGATATGTACCGGGTATGGATGGACAATAAACCAAATCAGGTTAGTAGTCGACGAGGCATTACCGCTTCAGGATTTAAATTTTTAACTAAATCCTATATCCACGCAAACGAAAATAGTAAATAGTACCTTAACAAAAAAGACACACAAAAGCAATAGAATTAATTTCGTTAGTGTTTAGAATCAAATTACAATAAGTCTTAACTGCATTTTTTATAAACAAAATACACATATAACAACGTTAAAAATTTGGTATTTTTATTACTATTCTTCAGGGGAAAGACGTCAAAAGCTGGATATAGGCCCACCCCAAGGTTTTCCTGCCGAGATGATGATGATAATTGCTTTTCTTGTAAATAAATAAGTAGTAAAAATGCTTTTGTCTTTGATAGTCCAATTATTTGATAGTCCAAACTACGCAGGACAACAATACTGCAAAGAGAAGGAAAACTTGACACAAACCCTATACCAACCCGTCTGACCAGCGTGGTATAGTAGGTCAAAACCTCCTTTCAAAGGAGAGGCCTATGTCCAACAGTGGACTGATGGTGATGAGTCCAATTATTCAGGTAAATAAGAACCTATTTGAAATTGCGCTACGGCAATTAAGAGTGGAGGAGTCTTTAAAGGCGCATAAAGCGCGGGAACAACTATAGTCCATCAACGTCGTGCGCGACCGTCCTGCGGGGTGACAGACGGTGGCGGGGACGAGGTACTCAAGATGTCAGCGGGTAGCGGGTGGTGTAGCGGGGAAGGGAAACGCTTCTCTTCGTGTGTAGCCGTGTGCTAGAATGACGCTAGAGTTTCAGTATCGTCTATAATGTATCAACATTTCAATAAACCACTTCCTTTATATTCACGTTGGCACACAATGAAATGTATTATTATAAAGTTTTATGTCCAGTAAAAAACTACGTACGATTATTTTTATTAAAAGAACAAAATATTAAAGTAGGTATTTCTGTATCGAAAATTGTTTCTGCTCTCTTAAGTTTTTGAAGGTTACATAAATAACCTTTTGTTAAGCGAATTTAAGAACTAAATGTGACAACATAGAGTTAATTTTCAAAAGTTATTGCCTGTTCTGTACGGTATCAATATCGGTTTTTTAAACTGTTTTTTCGAAGCAAAACTTTTAATGTACGTACATAAAGTACATATTATTCTTTAGATGTTGATTGTGATACGAGTAGTAAATCCTACATTTGTTTAACAGTAACTGACTTTTATTGAACAGCGTAAAAAAACGATAATTTAATTAATCTTAGCTGTTCAAGCAAAAAGCATGTTTTGTTTTAATCTCGAGGCCAGTTTAGGCCTTCGGTTTTACCAGAACTTGTTTGTAATTTTACGGTTTTTGTTGCACCAGTCATAAGAGTTTTATTGAGAAAGAGTAAACTCAGTTACTAGCCTCATAAAATCAGGTAAAATACGAAAAAGCACCTACTTCAACCACAACATAAACTGTATTTTTAATTTCTTAGTTTTCCACTCTACTTTGTGGTGGTAGTTTTTATTTTTTAACAGGACCAAACGAGAAGTGTATCCCCACATAAAAACGAATTTTCTAAACAGGATCATAAATTACGGAATTTTAAGGTAACAAACATAAATAAGATTGAATCGAATTGAAAACCAATCAATTTTTTGACTCGGTAAAAAAGGATGGCAACCCTAATTCTACGGGAGGAAGGAGAACTATTCTAACGTAAACGTGTCACTTTCTCTATACCTAAAATTGTTTTTTATTTTTATTTTATACCTATACCTAAAATTACTTTACTACTAGGTATTACATATTACTAGTTTCCATAAAGAAAACAAAAAATAACTGTTATCGATGTTTGTTACACTGTTATAATAATGTTTGAAACTTGTAAAACAACTTAAAATACCAATCTGCACTGCACGGATGGCGTAGTGGTCAACGCGCCAATTCCAACTGCACTGAGTGTTGAGGATTCAATCCCCACATGGGACAAAACTTTTTGTGATCCACAAATGACCGTTCGGTGTCTTTGTGTCCGTTTCATGTATGTTTGTTAAGTCCACGCGACATAGGATATATTCCTACAATTTCACGCTCGAACAGTGTTAAAAACATATTCTCAAAACCAGATACTAAAAAACATATGTAAAAAATGCCAGTCTTACTACGCAGCTTTTATACCAAAAAAAATAGTAAAATCTCATGTAATGAATCCTATTCACGTAAAAAACATGCATGTTTTTGTATGTTTTTTACGTGAATAGCATCACTTCACAATCATAGTTCATACGTCGCAGAAAATATGCCACCGGATGGACGGATGGTAAGCTGGACGCTTCACTTATATACGATGGTGGTACACCCGCCACATTACGTAGCCGCCTAAACAGTGAACTCATTATGTCTATCACCAATGTAATGTATGAAAGATGGTTGAAAATTTATTTAAATGATGGCAAAGGATTCTAGACATATGTTTTATTTGCAGAAGAATGCAATTGCCCCCCCCCCTCCCTTCCCTCCTAATGGGCGAAGGATATCTATTGGATATCCCATCAAATAAAAAAAACCTAATGGATCTTTCACCCCGTTAACAAAAAAATACATATGTGTTATGGTTACAAAGGATTAAGAAATAATTAACTTAAAAAAGTGACACGACTTCATTAGACCATAATAAATTGTAATTAACTGGTACCGTCCACCCTTGTTGGTGGTATTTTTTCTTTAAATTTAAATGGTACTAAAATAACTGCACGGATGGCGTAGTGGTTTAAGCGGTCGCCACGCCGCTTCCCAATGCGCCGAGTGTTGTGGGTTCAAACCCCACATGGGACGATACTTTGTGTGATCCACAAATTGTTGTTCTGAGTCTGGGTGTTCTTTGTGTCCATTTCATGTATGTTTGTAAAGTCCCCCGCGACACAGGATATATTCCTAATGCGGGAGTTGTCTTTTTAAAGAAAGAAAGAAAGAAAAGTATACCTTCACGAATGATTTTTTTTTTTAAATCCATACTTAAAAATGTGATAGTGAGTTTGTTTATTACGCTTTCACGCCTAAACCACTAAACCGATTTAAAAAAAAATATTTCACCAATGGAAAGCTACATTATCAGCGAGTAACATAGGCTATTATTTTTCATTCACGCGTGCGGAGCCGCGGGCAAAAGCTAGTCTTTTCATAAATAACGGAGTTCTGAGATCACAAATATTTAACGAAAATACTACCGAAGTCGACTGAAAACTATTTTAATAGTGAATACTGGTCATTATTAGCGCAACAAATTAAATTACACCATAAATTCTCATGCAAAACATAAGTGACACTAACACACACCTTTAGTACTAGCATCGTCGACTAGAAATATTTCTTTGATGAGTTTCTCAGGTGATCTGTACAGCACGCTGAAGGCAGTCCTCAGCAAAGTACTCCAATGCTCGTTGTGGAAGGGCACAACTACGCTCACAGTTGGCAGAGAAGCAATGTACCGCTTCTCCTGACACTTCGAATGCCGTATGTCTGGTAACGAGCGATTTAAAGGGATCAAGTCGCTTAAAGCTCCATTGAAACCGTTTACTGCATACAAAGTTTTTTCCTTTTCTGCTTCAGACTTTGGAAGTGTAGCAGGCTTGCCTTGTTCGCCGATACCTGTAAATTCCAAAATATGTCAGTAATATTCAACATTTGTCCGATTAAGAATGCGGAGTGTCACCACCCCTATTCATCCCGTGGGTGTCGTAACGGGTAAGGAAGCAAACTACGCAGGACAGCATAACAGCACTGCAGAGAGAAGGAAAACTTGACACAAACCCTATACCAACCCATCTGGCCAGCGTGGTATAGTAGGCCCAAACCTCCTTTCTAAGGAGAGGCCTATGTCCAGCAGTGGACTGTTATAGGCTGTTGGTAGTGGGAAGAAATATGTTAGTATGTATATTAGCAGTCATATAGGAAAAAACGCTGTGGTGCTTTTTAGCATTAAAACATGTTTCTTTCTTTCTTACATGCTCTGCCTAGTTTAGAATCAGACGGCCGTATATGAGATATGTGAGGTTATTATTATTATTACTTGAATACTGTAAATAAAAGGTAAAAAGTTGAACAGTGTGCGTCAACAAATTTAGAACACATATAATAGATACACACATATATAAATTTAGAATACATATGGCATAAAACATTTAAATAATTTGATAGTGATGTGCTGTTGACGAAAATAGGAAGGTACCCTGAGTGGGCTAACGCTAAACGTCAGATAATACTCACCCACTCGTTTCCGTTCTTTGCTTATCAAGTTGTAGTCGTGCCAATCAATTTTCTGCAAACAAAATATTTTAACCAACTATAACTAGGAATAGTTTAGGAATCTAGAGAGTGGTATAATGGGCAGAAAGAGAAGGGAGAATAGTGTTAGAAAACGTTTTTTTGCTGTGACTGTGGCATCTTACACAAATATATATTCGTTAAAGAGATTATACGGTTTTAATAAGAGTTGTATTTCGGGTCCATGTTTAACTGAGTTCGAACCCGGGGCCCTTTTTACCCGACTACCCTAGAAGGAAGGTTATGTTTTAAGAGTGTATTTATGTATATAAATTATAAAAAATATATCGCTGGTTCATAAGTTTTAACTATACATTTTCACGAAGTCGGGTTCTTTGTTTTTTTCAATAATTCTTGTTCGACGAGCAAACCGTCTTGCCGTGACGGTGTCAGGGGTCAAAAACTATATACGCCGAAAAAAACTGTAGAAAACATATTATTAAGAATCTCTATGAATGGAAAGCTGTATATGATAGAGTACTCGTACACGCATATATACGTACACGTACCTACACATGCACGCTGAAAATACCTTCAAAATGGAGTACTCCGTTATCTTCAACGAGTATGCTACGCATAATATCACAATTGTAATTGAAGAAAATACCATGTACATACCTGCGGTAACAAATGTGGTTACCTATTATTATTTAAGAAAATAGTATAAAAAGTAATAAACTAAACTTACCTTTAAATTTGCCGGCACAAAACTTCCAGTGTCAACATTCACCCTCCTAAATATCCTCTCTGGGACTTGTATAACTTCTATATTTTCGTTTTCTGAGTATACTCCACTTAATAACTTAATGAAATACAAAAGCATTACTATGGCTGTGATTGTGAGAAGATTCCGCAGCCTCAGCAGGCGTAGAAGTTGACGCCTCGAGAAACTCATTATGCTGAAACAAATTAACAGAATAGTAATATTTACTACCAGCTGGCAGACTTAGTTGGGGATATGGTGGCGGCCTGATCGTATCAAAACGTGATCGGGCCACAACTTGCAGCTTCCCCCTGAATAGGGCCTAGATTTACATAGTCCGGGTTCTCCCTAGAGTTGTCTGAAGCCGCTCGTCGGAATGATTTTAGTGGACACACCGTAAAATCCCCGATTTTCAACCCCGTCACCAAAAAAATGCTTTAAAATCTTAGTTAGCGTAAAAGTTGGAAATACCTCTATCTAGTCTTTTTAAATTGGGAGAGTATACCTCCCAATTTCTATTCCAGGGTAGGGTATACCTCCCAATTTCTATTCCAGGGTAGGGTATACCTCCCAATTTCTATTCCAGGGTAGGTTATACCTCCCAATTTCTATTCCAGGGTAGGGTATACCTCCCAATTTCCAGATACCTATTAAAAAGAGTTTTGAGGTAACAAACAAAAATACATTCGATTTGACAACCTCCTCTTTTTTTTAAATCCATAAAAAATTACTTACATTCACATTTATATATTAATAATTAAAATTTCCATCATGAAACATAGACACTACAGATTTTAAAAGTAGCCAACGTACACAGTATGTAATTAATGACTTTAGTCACGGTTTCCCAATCACCCAAATAAATTGTTTGTTTACATGCTTGTTTGGTGTAAACTTTAATTAACATGATATGATGACAACAATGATAATATTATTAATTTCAACTTTGTTTATATTCTTGTATAGGTATATCATGTAGTGTTTGAATATCTTCTCTGACGTAAAGTACCTCAATTACAACTATACACACCTAAATATTTATCATCATCATCAACAGCCTTTAATAGTCCACTGCTGGACACAGGCCTCTTGTTAAAAAGGAGGTTTTGGCCATATATTTATGTCAGTAGTAAGAATAGAAACAGGCGAGTCGCAGAAGATGGGTTCCATAAACATCGTATAAAATTAGACAAATACCCAGATAAAGTCATGTTTCTTGTATGGGAGCACCTTTAACTTTTAATACAATTTTATATTTTTTTTATAATAATGGCTATAAAAATTATAACTATCTAACTGGATAATGGTTAAACAAAATACATAATAGAGGGCAAACAATCAATCAGTTAGTAAGTGACTACCGTTGTCCTTGGACACCTGCCAACCAAGTCACAAGTGCCACCCTTTAAATCCTCCCCCAAAATCAGGAGGGTTTGGGGTCCGGTAACCAAAGCAGCCTTTAATAGTCCACTGCTGGACACAGGTCTCTCCTTAAAAAGGACTTCTTGACCTATTATACCACGCTGGCCAGACAGGTTGTATAGGGTATGTTTCAAGTTTTTTTTCTCTTTGCAGTATAGTTGTCATGTGTAGTTTACTCCCTTAGTCAGCTCTTACAACACCCACTGGATGGATAGGGGTGGTGACAATCGTATTCTTAACCCGTCACCACACAGATTTTATCTTACAAAATCTATATTTTCCAAAATCTGTAATATCCAAGTTTACGATTTATATTTTTAGTATCTATATCTTTATATCTTTAGTATCTAAGCATAGGATTTCTCTGAAAATGTATTTTCTATCATTTTATAATCCATGTTTATTCCAAGTTTCTCGTTTCACTAATTTATGCTATTGTTATTAGGGTTAGACACAAACAATTTTTAATTTTAATATTATTTGAAATGCTTTTACTAGGAAGTTCTTTCAAAACCATTCCTGTACACGGAACATCTTTTTTCAAACTGTTTTCATTATTTAGTGCCTTTATTAACTTAAATAAGGTGATGGTGTCCCTAGTTCCATCCTGCATAGACTATTAGACTTTTAAAAATAGTTTTTAATATGGTCTAATAATGAGGAATAGTCAAAGAGTGTATTATGTGTATGATCATTGTTACTTTGAAAGTTTTTTAAATTTACTACAAGCTCTATGGAAATCAATGAATCATTTATTATTATTGCAAACACACAATGTAGGTGTTGCTACATATTAAAGATGTTCTGTTATATTTTAACTTTAGGCATACAACAAGATTACAATAAGAATTAATTTGAGCTTATTTGATACATCATAAAAAGACAGAATTCTATTTTCATGTCAATTTTTAAATATTATAGTCATAATAAATAATGTATCACATTTATTTTAACTGCATTAATGGTGGTATATTGTACTCATCACATTCAATTATATTTTGCCCGTTAAGAACTCTGTTACAGAATAGTATGCTTTCAGTTCCAAAAAATCCTATTTGAAGTTGAAATATATATATATATCATACCATTAACATCTAGGTTTTATCTTACTGATAAAATTATTTACATTAAAAAAATCATTTGATTATCTCTTCAGTGATAAAGCATTACATTTAAGCCCTATTAAGCTAATCAATATTGTAATAAAAACAGATATCTACATTTTGCATGGTTTTTTACGAAAATATTGCAAGAAAATTTAAAAAAACTTAAAAAGATTTCTTGGAGTGATCAAACTTATTGTATTGATATAAATACCACAAAAGAGGAACCGATAACGTTTTTTATAAATGTTGTTAAATATTACTTACGATATTTGCAGTTCTTCTAAGACTGCAATTTATTCACCAATTAAAACAATAACAAAAACACAAGATATTTTGATACAACCTTCATGAGAATATACAATACAAGACACGAACACAAACAATACACCACACCTTCAACATGAAACTACTACACCGGTCTGGGTGTAATAAATACACCACACTGTTATATAGAATTACTATTATTTAAAAAAATTATGTTATCAGCGCGACAAGGATCGTTACGAACGTGGATGACATTGACATAAGGGCACAAGCAGGGCTGCCAACAGCTAAATGAACTCTCCACCATTCAGAATCTAAAACCACCAGAAAACCACTGACGAAAAACGACTCTACTCTAATAGGCACTAAAGATGAATGGCGGGTCTCTATTAAAAAAAAAAAACGACGGGTTGCCCTCCGGGAGTGCCGGCAGAAGTGAACACTTGAATTTAACGTTGTGCATTTTTGATATTTTGGAATGGTTAGGGAATAATTTTGCACGAATTGCTTTAATTATCAGTATACAAGTACTATCATTTATGTGGTAGAAAACAACATTTATTTATTGCGCTATCGTACACAAACATGACAATTTACATTACATTAAAAAGTTTATCTCTTAAAAAAACGAACATTCGCTCAAGCGCCCTGCGCCACCGAAAAGAAACTGCAGGAGCAGGCATACATTTTCCCCGGGCCGTAGAAAGAGAGGGGGATACTTCCTCTCTACGCCGCGCCGGCTGTCTACGCTCCATCCGTCTTACGAATTTTCGATCAGGGTCACGTGTCCTGACGCAAGTTTAACATTTTTTACCAATTACAAAAAAAGTGTACAACGCCGCTAAAGAAGTTTTCACTTCAAAAAAAAATTGTAATCAAATTGCACTATCTTGTAGTAAAAAAAACAAAAAAAAATTGACAATTTTTTTTAGAATCTGTGTGTAGAAAGGGGTAGGAAAAAAGATATTAGCATTTGATTTTTTCAGTTACGCACTGCATTTTGTGTATAAAAGTCTTTTTTAAACATAGCTGCATATCATCAACAGCCTTTACTAGCCCACTGCTGGACATAGGCCTCTCCTTAAAAAAGAGGTTTTGGCCTACTACACCATGCTGGCCAGACGGGTTGATATAGGGTTTGTGTTAAGTTTTCCTTCTCTCTGCAGTTCTGTTGTCCTGCGTAGTTTGCTCCCTTAGTTGCCTTTTACGACACCCACGGGATGAATAGGGGTGGTGACACTCTGTATTCTTAATCCGTCACCACACAGGAGCTGCATAGTGTTTCCTTTATTTTATCTACTATTTGATAATTATAACTATATGTGTTCCGTTTAAATAAAAAAAATATATTAAAGAATTAATATAAATAGTCCACTAACGGTAGAACTTTCGTAGCTTATATTTTTATTTTTTATTTGCATCTGCATATATTATAACCAATAAGTATATTCCTTTCCCTTAATTATTACCTATTTCAACTTGTAATGAATTGTAAATTTAAAACCTAAACTAATTTAATCGTTTAGTTTAATTTTTAAACACAGAGCGCAAACATCTGTCAAGAGTTGTCAAAAAAAGCTTTGGTTTTTTTTCAGCTTTCAGTGGCCACTTTATTTATTTTTTGCTTCCATTACAGGATTTACTACAGGTGCATTATTGAACGCATTTGAATAAACGAATTTGAATTCGTAAATAATGCACCACAAACTATATTCTTTATTGATTCACTACTTAGAATTATAAAACTATTATCTGATTACCATATTACTATTAAGTGATTCCCATATAACGACACTTTTTGGTCAGTATTTGCACTACTTGAAAAACATGACTGTAAACTGGTAACACTAATCTGATAAAGGAAATTTATTAAAGCAATCAAATAAGCTTATAATATTTTTCTTTCTTTTCCTGGGGTGTTACAGGCTTAGATGATAATTTCAAAAAAAGTAGAGATTTACTAGAATTTGTTTCCTATGAATGACATTTTAAGACGCTCAAATTATACTCAACTACGAATTCGAAATTGCTCTTTGTCACTAAACATTTTATTTTGTTATAACAAAAGAAAACCATGAGTATATTAATAACTAGTATCCTTTATTAAAATTTAATACGAGTTATACGATTTTTTGGTACCGATTTGTTTTACAACGTTTATTGGAATTTCGTATTTGTTGCAGCATTCTCCTTCCAACTTTAAACCACAGCGTATTCTTATCATAACAGATAAAAAAAATCACTACATTCTATTCCTCTGTTTTTACATATAGTCTCTCAACTCAACATCAGCACTGAAACAAATCAGTATTAAGAGAGTAATACCGAAGGTCGCAAATTCCTCAAATGGCTCTCTCTTGGCCCCTTTTACATCGTTGAAGAGCAATACCTCTAGTAGGTGGAAGTTTCATTGGTTTGAATGATACCAATCTTCTTTTCTCTTCTGCTTCTCAAGTCGGACCCTGAATTATATAACAGCGCTGCCACACTGTCGAATTCATCCAAACTTAGTTGTCGTGCTATTCTCCAAGAAAACAACCTGTAAATAATTTTAAATTATTTTAATCTAGAAATTTGTTTCTTTTTTAATTTGAAGTGGCATAAATCATTTAAAAATAAGTTCATAATCATTTAAAAATAAATTTATAAATTATTGTTTCAACCAGATACTATAAATAGGTTGGTCCTAAGAAGAGGAATGTTATTAATATAAATGATAACTAGGAAAACAATTAGGAACATAAATGCTGATCTTTAACTATATTTTTAATATTCAAATTAAGATTCAAATCAAGTTATGTTGTATGTTTTTATACCTTTTTTTTTTTTTTTTTCCCCGTGCGGAAATCCCGTGTCCACGGTCTGGCCATCGCAGTGGTGGCACTCAGGCGTTGGCTCCTTGCGGATCAGACACAGGTGATCCCCGAAACATCCCTTCCCAGTGATCACCTGCGTCAATCGGTATGGGAGGGTCCCGTGACGCCTCTCGAGCCAATCCTCCATAACAATAAATTTTCAGAATTATCTACAGAACTGTGCACCCACCCGTTGAGATCTCGATTCTCGAAATAGAGAACCATACAATTTTTTACAATAGAACTTGGCCCCGTTTTCATGTTTTTGTTTCTGATGGGACAATTTGTTATTCGTGAACCCCTGTTAAATGGCAGTCTAAAGTAACCCACTACAACTAAAGTCTGTGACAGCAGTCGTTTTTAACTTATATAAATTGTGAACGCTTCGGAAAATTCTCGATCGCTTCATCCTATCCTGCATCGCTGCCTTGACAACTGTTTGTTTTTGATTGGCTGAAAATTTTCATGAAAATCAAAATCTCCTCTAAACAGAAAAAAATTTATTAACTCATTGTAATTTTTAACATATAAAGTTAATAGTATAGTGACATATCTAAAAAGGTAATATTTAAAACAAAATATTTAAGTGACATAATTGGTGTTTGGGAACCGTTTTATTGAGGACATCCGGCAACAGCACAGCATACCGGGGTGTCCGAACGCTGTATTAAATCGTACATATTTTTAATTAAATTAAGTGTGGTACTTATGCTCCAGTTTCGTCGTTTTGTGTCGGCACTTTGCGTGAAGAATTTAACGATTGTAAATCAACCGACGTGTTCTATCACCTGAATATTTTAAAATTTTTCAGATGGCTGTTTTTAGCCGGAAAGTATACCTTTTTGGTGCCTTACTGTTATTATCTTGTACATCGAGTGTAGTTAGAGCTGACGGCGATGATGGAGACGACGGGGTTACCGTGGAGGTTAGTACTTTTAGGTTACATGACCTAGATATAGAACTCAGCATTTACAATACTTGTCTTCCTTTATTGAACAAACATGCGGTAATACTGGTGCTAATACCTCGACCTGCTTATAAGTATCTGCTAAGATGTAATTAGATAATTGGAATCTTATTAGCTGATTAGTCAAGAATTTTATGCATATAATGAGTTATTTGAATCCATTTCTTTTATAACATTTATTCTACTAAAATATCAAAATGACATTGAAACTCATTGAGTCAGATAAATCTCCATTGTTTAAGACTTAAACAACTGAGAACCGAAATGATGTTATGATGAGTTTTATTACATGTTGGCATGTCATTAAGTCTGCCTTATTCTTTTAAAATTACTTTTACTTTTATCCTTATTCGCCACCATCATTACTTCAAGAAATTATGAATGGTATGTATGCTTCAATCAGAGAATTAAACCACTACGCCATCCGTGCAGTCAATCACATATACACACAATATTAGATAGTTTTGTCCACCTAAGGTTTTCTCACAAAGCTCAACACTTCAGAAATGCAAATTCATAAATTAAATTATTGAAACAGATGTACACAGTATTAACTGCTTTCTTTATTTTTTTCTAATTAGACATTTGACAAAGCAACATCTTGTAGGGAGACTTATGTTAATCTATAATTTAAAAACAGACAATGGAAGTTTAACTTTAATTGGTAATCAATTTTAGTAAAATAAAGAAATTAAATGTGAATTTTAAACTTGACGTTCTCATACTGTTTTCTTATTTTTTTCTAACTAGACATTTGACACAGCAATGCTTGTAGGGGTATTTAATCGAATAGGTAATCGTTTTATTGTACCATTGTATTGGCATACAGCATGTGGATGACCAATTATTTATACCACTAGATTGGTATACAGCACATGGTTGACTCAGATATTTTGTTACCTAAAAAATATTGCAGTACGAGTGGAATATGGGTTTAATTTAATGCTGTTTATTTCTTTCATTTTATTTCTGGAATTTCAGTTACATGATTCTCATAAATACATTTGATTAAAGTTGACTGCACTGATGGCGTTTTGATTTAAGCGGTCACGATGTTGTTCCTACTGTGCTGAGTGTTGTGGGTTCTATCCCCACATGGGACAATGCTTTGTGTGATTCACAAATTGTTGTTCCGTGTTTGAATGTTCTTTGTGTCCTTGTCATTTATGTCCCGACAGAGGATATATGCCTAGTGCAGTTGTCTTTTTAAAAGGTAAAACAAAATGTTTATATTGTTAAGTAGAAGTGAGAACAATACCAGTCCCCAAATTGTATCAAAACCATATATTTATTAAGTTTTGCAATTGGTACAGATCCAATGTGCAATGACATCCAATTGGTAGGCCCTGCACCTTGGATGCAGGCAGCACAGGACTCATTGTTGTGGTGAATCTTAAGGGAAGCCTATTTCCATTAGAGGATGTCTGTTGACTGAGATGACCAATGAATTGATTTATTGCCTTTTAAATTCAGTGGACTAGCAACTGTTTGTATTGTTGAAAATTTATGTTTTTTGTAGACTGTAGAAGATGTTGAAGAGTATCACACACCAGAATTAGGCCCCGGAAAATCGCACCTTGTTGAACATTTTGATGATATAAACTCATTTAAAAAAAAATGGGTCAAGTCAGAAGCTAAGAAGCAAGGAGTTGATGAAAATATTGCCAAGTACGATGGTAAATGGGAGGTAAGTTATTTAAAAAATGTAATTTGATCATTTTTGTTATACTGTTCTTCCTAAAAGATTAGATGCGCAGATGCGCGCGCGCAGTTGCGCCCGCGTCTCTGTCCAAGAGTCTGTGTCTATCTATAAAGTACTTGCTGATGATGCAGCTTGTCATTGGTGAAAGAATTTTTAAAATTGGTATACTGGTTTAGGCATGAAAGGGTAACAAACAAACAAACACACTCACTTTCACATTTATAAGTATGGATGGTTCTTTGTATTAAAAGTTTACTTAACTGACATCCTTTAAATCAGAGGCTATAGTTCATTTAAATAGTTTTGTTACTTTTTACAACAGTTTAAAAAAATCTTGACGCCAGCTATGTATCTAAAACAGCAAGCCTTTGAATTGCACTGTAGTGAATACCAAGGCTTGCTGTTTCTATGCATCATGTCTCTACTTTTTTAAAAGTTTGTTGTATCACAATTACTTAACAGCTAACTAATTTGACTAGTTAATTTAGGAATGGTCCTTTTGACATTCGAAGATTGTTTTAGTTTTACCCTAGGTATGAGCTTAAAAAGTTAGTCTATGGCCCTTGCTCTGCACCTATGGAACTTAACATAATGTTACACAGCATATAACATACCTCAATGAATATACTATTCAACACATAAAGAAATATTAAGGTCTAACTGATAGTTACTGAGAGTAAACAACAATTATTATGTAAAAAATTATAGTTTTAAAAAACTAAAAAAAAGCGTGGGGTGCTTTTAACTATTGACAACAGGCACCCAACGCTTTTTTTCAAATTTATTTTCTATTTTTTAGTTTGGTTTTCTATAGAAAGCGTGTTTTTTAGTTTTTTTAAACTATTTTTTTTTAAATTAGTGTATTGTTATCGATCCTCGAAATATCTACAAAGTTTGAACGAATTCTGACCCTTTAAAGTCAGTCAAATCACGCCCACAGGAGTCGGTTACAAACATACAAACAAACATACAAGTGAAGCTAATATAAGGCGTGTAAAATAGATAAAATTTCTAAATTCCAGGTTATATTTTGATCTAAAGAACATTAATTATCTTGGTCAAATTTTCTTGGTTTCAATTTAAAATGTAGCGCACTAATAAATGTATCAAGATAAAAATCATATAGCTGTAGATAATACATCGGTCTAGTCAAATATAACAACCTGAATATATGAAGTTGTTACCATTTGATAACGATTTGCTTCAACTCTTATCTTGATTTCTAAAAACATAGTTGTAAAATTTAAAAATATAAAAGTGATTTCAAAATATAAAAATAAAATCCTTGCTGATTCGGACTCACGACTTTCCGTGCCTCGCGCAGAGGACTTTAAGCCGTCTTTCTCAGTTACCATACGAACATGTGAGGCAATCGTTACGGAACTCTAAAAACTCCCATAACCTCCGACGCGTCGCCGTCACAACAGTTGTGACACCAAATTTTTACGCGGTAGCGTCTCTGCATTTTAGCATTTAGAAGAATATTTATCAAGGATTCCCAATATGTTTATTTCATTGAATATAATTATAAAATAACGTAGATATTGAGGTAATAATGACTTCGCTCAGCTGTGACTGGGTCACTAGTTCAAGGGCGCAACAGTAACGGGTCATAGGTCATCCGCGCGCCGCGGCGTCCTAAGAGATAACAGGTATTCCACAGAACTTCGGTATCACCTAGTACTTGGGTTGTGGAGGTCTGATGGCAGTCGCTCCACGTAAAAAAAATCAAAGTCCAGCCGTGTCGTAGTAGTCTGAAAGCCGACCCCAACCTAGTTTGGGAAAAGGCCCGAACGAAGAAGAAGTTAGAAACTAAAATGATTACATTCCATAAAATTTAATTATGTATGTGAGCGGGTATTAACACAATCACATAATAGAAATACCTATGAATTGTTTGATGTTCCGACCACGTTGATTTAGTGATCTTGACGGAGTCAGCTGTGGCTGATCACGTTTATTCCCGTATACACACATAATATAAGGACATTTAAGCAACATACATTATCACATAAATGTGTATATTAAAAATGTGGGAGAGCCATGCACTATTTGTGTGATACTTAAGACACACTGCTGCACGGATGGCGTAGTGGCTTAAGCGGTCACTTCGCCGCTTCCTACTGCGCTGAGTGTTGTGGGTTCGATCCCCGATAGGACATCACTTTGTGTGATCCACAAATTGTTGTTCTGAGTCTAGGTGTTCTTTGTGTCCGTTTCGTGTATGTTTGTAAAGTCCCCCGCAACAGAGGATCATATTCCTAGTGCGGGAGTTGCCTGTAGAAAAAAAACCTCACAGAAAAACGGTGATTCTTTCGTTGCCTTCCACCTAGTAACTGAGCGGTTATCGGAGGCTAAACCCCTTTTCCCCTCATTCTAGAGAAGATGGGGGAGGACTCAAAGTTTCTCTATGGGTATCGGTAGTCACTTTTCATCAGGTGACAAATGTGACTAAATTTTGATCGTATTATAAATAATTGTTACCCCCTTTCAGGTTCAAGCACCCACGCGGAAGATCTACAAAGATGACTTGGGTTTAGTGTTAACTACAGAAGCTAAGCATGCCGCCATCTCTACTTTGTTAGACAAGCCATTTGAATTTAAAGATAAACCATTAGTCGTCCAGTATGAAGTCACTATGCAGGTAAGATTTATTCACGTAGAAATATTAATCACGCCAACAAAAAGTGATGTAAAATAAAAATGTGTGGGGTTGTGAATACTATTTTCGATTTAGTGATACGTATAGATAGTTAAACTCAGTTGTGCGCGCGGCCCTATGTGTGCGTGGGCTTGTAAATATACAACTTTCATTCGTGTGACAGTGACCCGGCAGTCGGACGACAACTGCCACACGAATGAAAGTTGTATATTTACAAGCACACATAGGGCCGCGCGCAAAACTGAGTTGAACTATCTATATATACGTATACATTAAAGTTGGGTTGTAATTATCTTAATTTAAAATCAAATAACTTAAGTAACACATCTCAGACAACTGTACAATTTTGTTATTAAGATTCTTATAGTTTTAACCGTTCTATACTGAGGCTACATTATATTACTACTATTACTGCTACCATACAAATCTCTACCTCTGTTTGTTGTGTAGATACTGTAATATTTGACTGATACATATAAACCAGAACTATTTCTTGTAGGTAAATACTAGTACAGTTACAATCGGTGTTACTAATTGGCTTATCAGCTGAACGCTCATGCCTATTCATATTTCCATGTAACGCCTTAAGCTCATACATACTTATTTATATGGTGGCATGCCCGCGTGACTTTTCTTGTACTGGGTATATGTAAAATAACTAATCAAATACACAGTAACCTTAATCTTTTACCACACTTTATCTAGATTGGCATCTAGTCCGCAGCCATCATTGGGATAGTATTTTGATTCGAGTTATCCTTAGATATCTTTAAGTTCAAATAAAACAAATTAAAATTATTTTATGTTTTTTTATACACTTCTTTAACTGGCCAAATAAGGTCAGTTGAGGTCCCTGCGCTAGGCTGAGTGTTGAGGCCTCTGGGCCTACGGGTACGCAAGTCGGACTTTTGCGATACTGTAGTCTCTATCCCATCAAGCTTAGTATAAACGCCAACTTAGAAACAAAAAAGTGCTTGCGGGGTTCTAAGTTGAACTCCGTAAAGGCTATGAGTCAGCCAACGTTATGCATTAATTAAAAAACAAATTACTAAATAAAAAGTCATAGTATATTTAAAAAACGACGCACGTAAAATAAAATTGAAATGTTATCTTGAAAATAACATTCTGTTCGTCTACCGTCAAAACAAAGATACCAGTGGAAAGTAGTCGCTTTGCCTATATATTCTTGGCATCTGTATTGTATTTGCCATGATACTGTATGCTAATAGTATCATGGAAAACGTACTTTCATTATGAATCTCCTCAAGAAATCAAGGCAGTGACTAAGTGGTGACTATTTTTGTCTCATATTAAACCAGCTGACGCGCAGGATTGTTGATCTCTTGGGAAAATACGATCCTGGCATCATTTCCCTTCAGATAGTGTACGAGTATAGTATAATAAACTTATTCTGGCATCTGTCCAAATTTCTTTCGGTAAATGCTATGTCATGTTTGTGAATATAATCTTGCAAATGCGTCAAGATTTTTTATTTGTTTACACCGACCAAAATATAATTATACCACAAAGAAAACGTTTTATATTGCTAGGTAATCTATTATAAAATGCATTATTTACTTACTTTATAAATTAACTAGTGGATAGCTGTCTGTTTAATTTTTTTTTTCTTTTTTTTTCAAATTAAGTCTTATATGAAAACTTGAGCAATTTAATCGTTATTATGTTTGTTTTTTTACCTAAAGTAAACGTTAAAGTAAATTACATACATAAAGACAGCTAAAAATCACGTCCAATTTTGTTATTTCATACAAATTAATAAAGAATATATCGTTTTGATATGTAATGAGAATTAATTAATGGGATAATCTGATGCCGTAATATGATACAAATATGTAATTTAATATTAAATTATCACGTTTACGATTCTTTCAAAATAACGATACTTTTGTTTTAAGTACAGTACCACTCAAAGACACAATAGTTTCAAAATTATCCACATTCCGTCTTGTATCGGTCCTTGTCCAGCTTCAGATTAAAAACAATATTTAAAAGTATATAGGGGCTTGTTCAAAGTATAAATATACATATTTTTTCGTTTTGGGGTTCTGTTATTATTCATCATCAACAGCCTTCAATAGGCCTTGGAAAGGTAGTTTTGGCCTACTATACCTCTCTGGCCAGACAGGTTGGTATAGGGTTTGTTTTAAGTTTTCCTTCTCTTTGCAGTACTGTTGTCCTACGGAGATTGCTCCCTTAGTCGGCCGTATTTATAACCCTTTACCACATAATTACTCTGACAGTCTGTTAGTCAAAGAGTAAATCTGTTATTATTAATTCCTTCAAAAGTTACATATATCAAGTAATAATATCACTAACAGTTCAGAACCCTATCCATACCAACATCTCTCGTACTTAATGGAATCATTAATCAATGCGATCTATACTTTACACACTTGCAGGAAGGTCAAAATTGCGGTGGTGCGTACATCAAGCTGCTTTCCCGCGGCACGAACACCAAGGCCGACCTACGAAAGTTCTACGATCAGACCCCTTATACCATAATGTTCGGTCCGGACAAGTGTGGTAACGACAACAAGCTGCACTTCATCTTCAGACACACCAACCCCAAGAACGGAACCATTGAGGAGAAGCACAGCAAGAAGCCCACGTGAGTTACACAAATTTTTCAAAATCAAAATTCATTTGTTAAAAGTAGGCTAAGTGCCAGCACATTTTGAACGTCATTGTTTACATAAAGGCAGTCGCCCAAAAAAGTCCAATCCGTCACCACTTTAATAGTGTTTTAGGTCTGAAGAAGCGGTGAAAAAACTCCCCAAGCAACACATCTGTCCTTTAAGTTTCAATTGTTATATCTGTACTCGTGTATTAAGGCGGTCTTCTCTCAAAATTCTTTTTTGGCGACTATACATATGAAAAGTAATTTATTACTACTAAATTATAATGTATATTACCTCTAAAGACTTATTGTAACGATGTTTGTATAAACACCTTATAGTTGGTACTTAATTCGATTCGAATAATTATTTAAGTATGGGAAAAACAATAGACAAATTATAGACTATGTAGAGCGGAGCAGTAACCATAAACGCAAGTGAAACTCCGAATAAAACCTTAGTTCATAAAGTCGAAATACAATACACCAACCATTAACTTTTTTTAAATATAATTCTAGTGCGCGTTTGGACGACATCTACAAAGACAAAGAGCCGCATCTGTACACACTTATCGTACGGCCTGATAATACATTCAGTATCTTAGTGGACAACAAGGAAGTCAACTCTGGGTCCCTGCTAGAAGATTTCACGCCGCCAGTCAACCCGCCAGAGGAGATCGACGACCCTAATGATAAGAAACCTGAAAACTGGGACGAAAGAGAGAAGGTAAGGACTTAACCCACCACTGGGAAATAATTGTCATAAAAACTTGATGAACAGATTTGACGTCAAGTATTGGAAGTCACCTAACTTTTACCCTTCTCAAGCTAGGGAACGTACCCAAACCGCATGACTCAATTTTGACTCCCCTCCCACCACTTTGTGACCAAACGAAGTTTGGTCACAACCCCTATGTTGGCATAGACTACGGGTCCCCTTTACTATTCACGTAGCAATTCATAATTATGGTTTCTTGATTGCTATATATGAAATTGATTCCATGAATAAAATCTAAAAATTACCCCCCCTGTGGTTAGACGTGGTAATTTAAAAACCCACTCATGCTTAAATTTGTTGTTTGCCTAAGGAATGTAAATATAATGTTGCAAATGCGTGCGTGTACTGTTGATTAAGAATACGGAATTTCATCACCCCTATTCAACCCGTGGGTGTCATAATAGGCGACTAAGGGAGCAAACTATGCAGGATAACAGCACACAGCACTTCAGAGAAAAGGAAAACTTGACAACAACCTTATAGCAATCCGTCTGGCTAGCGTGGTACAGTAGGGCCAAAACCTCTTTTCTAAGGGCTGTTGAGTTGATGATGTGTCTCTAAGGACACCCGATGAAATGTAGCAAATGTATTGGCGTTGGTTGCGGTAGAGTAACTTTAACCTTATAACACCAACTTAATGTCGGTTTTTGTCCAACAGATAGTGGACCCAACAGCTACAAAACCTGAAGACTGGGATGAAGACGCGCCAGCACACATCGTAGACCCGAATGCGGTTAAACCTGACGGATGGCTCGACGACGAGCCCGAGATGATTCATGGTTTGTTTGTTTCATAGTTGTCAGCGGTGGTACGAAATTAAGATGATATGCAATATGAAGACGCTATTTTAAGGTTAATTCCATGGTTATGATAGAATTTAAATGTCTTCATCGAATTGTGTCAATGGACTTTAGTCAAAATTTTGTGTAATTTAATTGTATGATTTAGTCTCAAAAGTATCATCAATTTCAATGTACGTAATCGTAATGACGACCAGATGGCGTAGTGGTTTGAGTAACGGACTACTATTCCAAAGGTCGCGGGTTCGATCTTGCTCCAGTCAAACATTTGTGTGCATGAACATTTAATGTTTGATTTGGTCTGGGTGTTTCTATGTACATATAATAACTATATATTTACAAAAAAAGTATATATGTATTTATATCATTTGTCTAGTACCCATAGTACAAGCTCTGCTTAATTTGGGACTAGATGTTGTGTGAATGTGGTAGAATATTATTATTATTCATTCACGAAATTGCTACCCATTTCACTTCTTATTTTTATGATACGGACCAAACAGGAAGTATATCCGCCCAATTAAATAAAATCTATCAAATTGGTTTATAAATATTGGACGTCTGAGGTAACATCTTGTTTCTTCTCGTTTTTTTAAATTAGGTATAACGCTATTTTTAAATAGTAATGTTAGTCCAAATCGTTGGAGCCGTTCCGAGATACTAGAAATAAATATAGTTACATATATTGATAATTCAAAACCACATGTTACCTTGAAAAGTAAAGTTTTTACTACCGTTAAGAATAGATTGGCGATAGCAATGTATGACGTCACAAGTCATATACTCGCACAGTGACCGTTACGTAATGTGCAGACCCCGAAGCCACGAAGCCCTCGGATTGGGACGAGGAGATGGACGGCGAGTGGGAGGCGCCGCTCGTGGACAACCCCGCCTGCAGCGCCGCTCCCGGCTGTGGCACGTGGAAGCCCCCCACCATACCCAACCCTAACTACAAGGTACATATCATCAAAAATACTATTCATTACTTTTGTCTGACTGTCTACCCTACTGATGAAAATGAAGTAATAAGAATCACAAAATGCTTGAAAAATAAATCTAGTTATAGCATTGACGACGTTCCAGCGAATGTTGTTAAATTTTCCATAAATTACACCGTAGACGGTGTACACGTCATAAACGTCATGTTAGAAACAGGTACATTTATAGATGACTTGAATGAAGCTTTCGACTGTGTAAATTTTGAAATTCTTTAACTCAATCACATAGGAAATAGAGGTACAGCCAATAAACTAATAGAATCAAAATTAAAAAAATAGAAAACAAGCCACAGTCATTGAATCTTATGATAGTGATTCTAAAACTCTAGTCTCTCTTAAATCAGGCTTTAAAGAAGTACTACTAGGTGTACCACAAGGGAGCATACTGGGGCTGTTGTTGTTCCCTATTTATATAAATGACCTTCCTAATATAATAAAACATTTATGTGTGATGTATGCAGATGATGCTACTATATTTTTACCTCATGAAAATTTAAATGACAAAATATGAAACGGAAATAAATAACACGCTAAAAATAGTAACCACATGGCTAAAGTCTATGAATTTGAAAGTTAATCTCACTAAGACAAAACTGATGCAATTTAGAAATTATAAAAGAAGATTCCTACTTTAAATGTTTATGAATCTAATATAAAAATTGACGAGGTCCCACAAATAAACTTTCTTGGTGTTACTATCGATCAGCACTTAAACTGGAAGGGACAAATAGAAAAAATAAACAAGAAATTACTTGTTTTTAGCACACCATTTCTGTGTTTGCTGAAACAACGTTAAAAAAAAAAGTTAAAAAAAATACAGATACCGCTAAGTTAGCCTATTATGGTTATGTGTACCCTCTTCTAACGTATGGGGTTAAATATTAGGGCAATCCATCTAAAATTCAATCAACATTCATTTTACAAAATCGCAATGTTTGCGCACTATTTATAAAATGCGTAGCTGCTTTACGATCTGTTTTTTCTGAAAAGGGTTTCCTCACACTTACAGGAATTTATATATTGGAACTGTGTATTTTTGTAAAATGTAACATGTCTTCTTTTAATTTTAAATGTAACTCGAAACGTAATATACGCAATAAATATAAATGCAATATAAACCTACCTAATATTACCAATATGATAGACTACAAAAGCACATACATTACAGCAATAAGAGTATTTAATAAGCTCCCGCTAGAAATAAAGATATTAGATGGAAAAATGTTCAAGAACGCTTTTAAAAAATGGTTAATAAAGAGTGTGTTCTATAATTTGCAAGAGTATTTTCTCATAAAATAATTTGCATGCTTTTTAAATTAATTGTAATCTTCCATTTTCTTTTATTAGTGTACTTTAAAATTGCAATGCCCGATTGGGTAGCTGTTGAAACTTTACCTACTACAAAACATCCATATATGTAACACAGTTTTTTGCAATGAATGTCTTTGTCTGATATTATTAGGGATGGAAATGGCATGTATTTTATTCGCCACTAGGATTAGTTTTGCTTAGCATGCGCGGTGAAAAGTAGCCTATGTTACTCACTGATTATGAAGCTTTCTATTAGTGAAAGAATTTTTCAAATATTTTTAGTGGTGTATACAGTAGGTGGCCAAATTATTAGGGACAGTATCGAAATTTTTGAATTTCCTAGTTTAATTAGATTTCTGTAGTTGTAGGTCTCTCATATATTTTTTCTTTGTATCTGTATTCTATAAGGATCACAAAAACTACAAAAAAAATATACAAAACTGATTTATATTCTTCGTATGAGTATTATCAATATTGGCAAAAATAAATAAAATATTTTTTTATATTTAGTGATGCCACCCTTTGCTGCAATAAGAGCTTCTATGCGTCGTGGCATGCTCTCGATACATTTTTTTGCATTTTCCTGGAGTTTGGAGTTGTGATGCCATTCTCTGATGAGAGTTTCAATCAATTGTCGCTTAGTGGTAATCACTTCTTTCGCGATCGCCCGTTTGGTAAGCTCCCACATGTTTTCTATTGGATTCATGTCTGGTGAATTCCCTGGCCAAGGCAAAACAGAGACATTTTTTTCAGCCAAAAAATGCAGTTACACTTCTGGCTTTGTGGCACGGTGCTGAGTCATGCATAAAAATGTATTCGTCATCATCAGGGAACCATTCATTGAACTGCGGCAATAATCGCGTTTCTAGTACTCGCTTGTATTGGTCTTGTTTCATAGTCCCTTCCACGATGTATAGGCGCTCCATGCCTTTAGCTGAGATGACAGACCACACCATGACACTAACCGGGTGTTTAACCTTCTCTACAAGGCAATCAGCGTGAAATTTCTCACCAGGACGTCGTCTTACAAAATGACTTTTGTCAACCAAAATTTGGAAGGTAGATTCATCGGAAAACACACCTGTAATTATTAGAATGAATAGTAGAATAAATAAATAAATTGTTATTGACCAATTGCATTATACAAAATAGTTACACTTACTGGATTCCAGTCTGCAATAGTCATAGATCGATGTTGCCTAGCCCATTGGAGTCGTTTCTTTTTCATACTATCGGTTAGGCGTGGTTGTTTGGCAGGCTGCCGTCCCATCAGATTCTCTTGACCAACCGCCTCGGCATTGTCCTCCCTGAAATCTTTACGCCCTCTTCGTTTATCATAGTTGTTAAACGAGCAACGCCCTTTTTACGATTTTCGAGGCAGATGTTCCTGATTTTTCGATCGGTACGAGCTGTTGTAATCCTTTTCCTGCCACATTTGCCAGCACGATTTGCTTCAAGAGGCTTTTTACTGTCAATTTTTATTTTTATTCGATTGACGACAGACTTTGAAACCCCAGCAATAGGTGCTATGTCTCTCTGGGAATGTGTGGAGTGCAGTAACAACGTTTGTATCTCTCTACATTTTCTTGGAGACGTGTTCAAAGTCGTACACATCCTAAAAAGTTTAAAATTTTGGGTTATCGTGTCGAACTATTAATAAAATATAAACTCATAGACAAAACGTAGCAAAACTATTCTTATACGGAGCATTACTTACCTTTTGATTAATGAAGCCACAAAAGTCGGTTAAAACTAATGAAAAAATAATACCTAGACAATACAACAATAATACCGAAAACCGCGCTTTTTACGGGCAAAGAAGAAACGTCACACAATTAATAAAAAACGCACGTATTCTGTGTTGCCATTTGACAAAAACAATAATAATGATACCAGTAAATATATCAGATACAATAACCGCTTAAAAACAACATCATTTATTCAAAAAAATATAATAAACTATAAATTACATAAATACGAGCACTGTCCCTATTAATTTGGCCACCTATGGTATGTGAAAGCGTAATAAACATATTGAAGATACAATAAATATAGCTGGATAGCATGAAAGTGTTTTTTTTTTCATGATAAAACAGTTATTTTTTGTAACTGATATATAAATAGCTTTGTTGTAAATTACCATTTGTGTATTTCTCGTTTTTCAAATCAAACTAACTCGAGAAAATTAAAAGCTTGTCAACATATACTGTTATAACATTTACTTTTATACAAAACCCAGCATTTTGATAATAGAACTGTCAATATAATAAAATGTGGTAACGCAGGGTATCTGGCGCGCCCCTCTGATCACGAACCCCAACTACTTGGGCAAATGGACCCCCAAGCGCATTCCCAACCCTCACTACTTCAAGGATGAGCATCCCTTCAAGATGACACCCATTGTAAGTATTGATATTTAGTATTTTTGTAGAGTTCGATGGCTTAGTAAGTTTATTATAATCAAATATATTAAAAATGTGAGCTACAGTAAAATTATTGTGAAAAGAATCCGTGTTGTGACGGATTAAGAATACGGAGTGTCACCACCCCTATTCATCCCTCGGGTGTTGTAGTAGCCGACTAAGGAAGAAAACTACGCAGGCCAACAGCACTGCATAGAGAAGGAAAACTTGACACAACTAGTAGGCTAAAACCTCCGTTCTAAGGAGAGGGCTATGTCCAGCAGTGGACTATTAAAGGCTGTGAAATTTTAGAAGTAAATTTTAACCTAATTCTAATGTGTCGTATAGAAATAAATTTTCGTATGTTCATATACACACCAAATTAATTAGAATTTTAATAATAAAGGTATTTTTCACTAAAGAAAAGTAAGTTTCTAAGTTTAATTTGTAATTATTTGTTTGTCCAGCACGCGGTCGGGTTCGAGCTGTGGTCCATGTCGCCCATGCTGCTGTTCGACAACCTGATCATCACGGACGACGTGGCCGTGGCCGAGGAGTGGGCGCAGATGACCTTCGTGCCCAAGCGGGCCAAGATCTCCAGGGACTCGGTCAGTAGTTCACTATTTATAAGCTTCAACAGTTCATATATTATATGATGAACTTTTAAATATGACATCCCTTGAGTGAAAGCTGTTATTAGTAATTCCGTCTTTTTCAAAAAGGGGATTTAATGGGGTATTAGGATATATAACATACGATTTCTAGGTCTTTGTACTATCCGTGGCATGGATTTGGTTAGAACCTGAAATCACATCGACCGGGTTCTCTCCAGAGTAGAGAAGTTTTTAGTGTAAACACCACATACTCCTGGCTCCTGCGTCCTTAAGGAGCCATAGATCTGAAGGGATTTTTCATCCCATCAGCAAAAAATATCTTATGCTGTTTACACTTTTGCATGACAAGATGTGATATACTAAATAAACACAACATTTCGTCAGCTATCCCACATTAGCGCAGGCTTTTCTAAATTTCCTTAAATGGGAATTATCTATGCCATTTATTGCAACACGGGGTAGTCGCGATAAGTATTGTGGCCGAACGCCATATTTACGCGGCAGATAAATGGTGACTAGGAAAATTACTTCATCCTTTATAAAGAAAATATGTATATGTAGTAAATTGGATGAGTGTTACAACCTTACTCTTTCGCCTTAATTCCAACAATCTCGTCTTTTCTTTCGATTATCGGAATTTATAGGTGTGAATTATAGTTGGCGGCGAGCGTGTTGCGAAGCGCGCTCGCTTCCAGGGAGCAGAGGGAACATGGGGTTCCCACACGGGGGGGGGGGGGGGGTCGTCGACCTGTTGTTGTAGATGGCCCGAGGTATGTCGGGGCACCAGGGACTTCCTTTCTAGGGTATACCTTTCCCGGTTCCCCGGCTATTAGTACCCGAGACGGCGTGCGGTTTTAGTGACAGGTGGTATGCGAGGGGATTTCCGCACGGAAAAAAAAAAAAAGGTGTGAATCATAGTGAATTAGTAAAGTAGCCGTGGGAGAGTTCGGCAAGTATAGATCGGCTCGACCGGAGTTATTGTAAAAAAGAGCTACACTAGGAATGTAAATCCTGTGTCGCGGGGGACCTTACAGACATACATGAAACGGACACGAAGAACACCCAGACTCAGAACAACAATTTGTGAATCACTCAAAGTGATGTCCCGTGTGGGGATCGAACCCACAACACTTAGCGCAATAGGAAGCGGTTAGGCGACCGCTTGAACCACTACGCCATCCGTGTAGTCGTTTAAGTCGATGCGTGTGTCACACACAAAGTAAAATCAAAAAATAAAAAGTGCGAGCCGCACTCGCCCACCGAGGGTGCCGTACAAATTTGTAATCGAAAACTATACATCATAAAAATAATGAAAAATCTGTTTAAGCATGTCTGTTATGACACGGTTAACTCAATTCAAAATTTGAACCGCCGTTCCTTGCATAAAGATCCTTTTTTATGATTTTATTACAAATGTATAGCTTTCAGATTTTTTCCTATATTTGTAGTATAAGACGGTATTACTTGCCAAATTATAAATACTATAAATTTTGATGCCCCTTGAGAGTGTCGAAATATACGTTTTCTTGCGGTATGAACGGTCGTATATTTTTTTTACGTTAACTTAGAAGTTTATTCTTTCACAGCTTCAAGAGACTGTAGATCTGAGTATATCGTTTTAATTTTAACTCAATACCTCCACGCGTTCCCGAAATAAAGGTCTTGACAGACGGACAGACGTACCGATGGGCGGACGGGTAAAAAAGTGATCCTATAAGGGTTCCGTTTTTTTCCTTTTAAGGTACGGAACCCTAAAAAGATGAAAAAAGTAGACGATTGCTCTATATATGAAAGATGAAAAAGACGTAAGCGTCGACGCGCCAACTGAAGTGTCGTAAAAAAGTCTTGTTACACATTTATCGGCCTTGCTCCCATCCGCTCGCGTGTAACGCGCGATGAGGAAGTTCGTTACAAAATCTTTATGTTGAATGGAGAATTTTAACTTCTTGTAGTATTCTTTTTCTAGTAGTATTTGGGAGGCTAAACGAGCAGACGGGGCCTGATGTTAAGTGACCACCGCTACTCATGGTCGCCTGCACCTCAGAGTATATACCATAGATAAGCTGAAGTTACCGCATTGCACAGCAAACGTTATGGGGCCGCGTGTTGCGCGCTACGAAGTACGCGCCGGGCTACTGGGCGCTCTACGCGCTCTACGTGGCTACGCCCGTGCTCGCCTACGTCGGCTGTCTCTACCGGAGACTGCACGAGGTCCTTCCTATACCTACCTAGTCATGCTAGCTACGCTACGAATATGCCTTAGGTTCTTGAAAATATGCTATAGTTAAACACAGTATCGTTTATTACCCTCGATATTTAACTATTGTTATACCTGTGTTTACCCGAAACTTGTTTAAACTAATTGTCCAATAGATATGTGATGCGATGTGGAGAAACGTGTGTCTTGTCCCTCCAGCACAAAGAGACGATCCTCCGACCAGGCGAGGTGATCATGCCTAGTGGGCCGCTTCCCCACGGTTTTTGTATCTAATCCACGTGAGAATTATTCATATCGCGATTCAGGATTAGCAGTTAGTCCGTAGTTCGGTGTGTCTTCGTTAGATGGCGCTGAAGTGTGTTTTCATTGCATTGTATGTGAAAGTATCGATGTGGTGCCGGATTAAGAATAAGAAATGTCACCACCCCTATTTATTCCGTAGGGATCGTAAGAGAGATCAAACTACGCAGGAAAATAGCACTGCAAAGAGAAGGAAAACTTGACACAAACGCTATACCAACCCGTCTGGCCAGCGTAGTATCCAAAACTGTCTTTCTAATAATAATCATATAATAAAAATCTCTTTATTTTGGTATATCCATAATTTGTTAGTATACAGATATCCATAATTTGTTAGTATGACCTTAACAACTATGTTAGTACTAAGGAGAGGCCTAAATTAAATTATATTAAATACTGTTGAAGCGATGTATCTTAAAGTCGCCAAATTTTCACCAAACGCAGCCTTTTTAAAGAAAAATAACAGCAAGACTTTACCACGAAAAGAAAACTAATATAAAAGTATTTGTGGCTCGACCGATTTTAATGTTTTTTTTTGCAACTATGATAGGTATGAAACAGGTCTAAAAATATTTTTACCCTCCTACACCCACCCCTTATATTTTAGCGGTTGCCGAGTCAGCTAGTTATATTATAGTAATTTAACAACTTTGTATTAACTTTGTCCCTTAACATGAGTTATGTAGTGTAGTAGTAGAACGCTAGCCTGTAGCAAAGCTAAAATCCACAGGACTCGGTACTGGAGCGTGGTCTGAAGTACGCCGGGGAGAACCCCTGGATATACGCCGTGGTCATCATTGGTACATTCATCATCGTCGGTCTCGTTGCCTACGCCTGTTTTGGACCTAAATCTGTAAGTTTTTAAATGGTTCCTACTTCAAACCAAAAACTTTTAACACAATAATTTGATATTCGTTAATTTTTACCTCTCCCTATAGAAAATATACATAAAAGGGAATGAACAAAAAAAGTATTAATTTTTTCAGTTATAACCAAGTTTAAAACTAAGGTTTTGTATTAAAAAAAATTACACAAAAATTATTACCATATAAACAGAATAAATACATTGTAGTATTATAGTACATTATTACTTATGATCCATAAACAGAATATTTAACTAAAACTTAAAATTAATAAATAATATGAGAAAACTGCTGACGTTTAAAATTTCAATGGTATTACTCTTGAAATTAATAATTCTAGCAGTTTTTTCACTCCCTTGTATAGATTATGACTTAGGTAGAATTGTTCGATTAACAATATATATTATATTTTATTATTTATTATATTTTATTTATTAAAATCAGACTACCTTTTATAAGTGCTAGCACCTTTTAATAATTAAACTCAAATCTAATAGTGGGAACTATTAGATTTGAGTTTCATTTAAGTTTTAGCTTCAGTAAAATCTTTCATACAAGTAAGAAGTAACAAACTTTAATTAATTTAGTTTTAATGAACACACAGGACTCAGATGTCGATGCCAAGAAAACTGATGCAGTTGTAGAAGATGATCCTCATCAATCTGATGGTGATGAGGATGTTGTTGAAGAGGAGCGGCCCAGCAAAGCGGACCTTGAAGGGCCAGGGGATGCTGACAATGTCGAAGCGGAACCCGTCACCACTTCTGAACAGGTAATAGACTTTATTAAATGAATGAATTTGATACCCCTTAGGGGGTTCGATTCCCGGACCGGGCAAAATTTTACAGGATTTTTCTGAGAGAAAAAAAATACTGAGTTACTCTTATAGACAGCTACCTGGTAGTAAAATATTATATAAATCGGTCCAGCCGTTTTGAAGATTACCCGGAACAAACAGACAGACAGACAATAAATATTATAATATAATACTGGTTTTTAGGCATCGTGCAAATAACCGTGTGAGCATGAAAAAAAACCCATTAATTTGACATTCCAAGCAGACACTTCAATTTTATTTATTTGTATAGAGTATACATATTTTTGCCCACGACTTTGATCATGGTTAAGTTGTGTTTTACTCTTCGTGAATATTAAACTATTTATCTTTCAAAATAAAAGTGATCAAGTGACTTCTTAAACCATCAGTTATATACCTGTGGAATTCATTTCATCCGGCAGAGAGATTAGGAAGAAACAGACGGACAAAAAACAGACAAATAAATAGAAATTTATTATGTAGTACTACATAATGTGTAAATCTGTTGCAATTCCGTGTGGTAACGGATTAAGAATACAGTGTCACCACCCCTGTTGATCCCGTGGGTGTCGTAAGAGCCGACTTAGGGAGAAAATTACGCAGAATAACAGCACTGCAAAGAGAAGGAAAACTTGAAACAAACCCTCTACCAACCCGTCTGGTCAGCGTGGTATAGGAGGCCAAAACCTCCTTTCTAAGGAGAGGCCTATGTTCAGCAGTTCACTGTTATAGGCTGTTGATGATGATTAATCTGATGCATTTAGTAAAATCTACTAATATGACATTACAAACACTTAGAAAGAGAGAAATAACATTTATATCCATACTTTTTACTTTTAAATTATAAATGTGAAAGTGAATTTGTTTGTTACGTTTTCACGCCTAAACCACTAACCCGTTTACACATTATCAGCGAGTAACATAGGCTTTTTTAACCGCGAAAACCGACACGGGGGCGGAGCCGTGGGCAAAATCTAGTATTTTTATAATATTACAATAACAATGTCTCGGTATGTTTGTTACAGCCGCGGCTAGACGCAGGCGACGGCGACGGACAGAGGAAACGCAAGCCTCGCAAGGAGTAACGCCTCTCCACAGTATTGCTGGTGTGCCAGCCCGACACTACGACCACGTCATAACCGGATATTTACATTGGCTACTTTAAAAATAATCCGTTTTTATAACTGAATTTGTTTATTAATTTTAAAAAAACAATAGTCGTAATTCCGATGATTAGTCTTTCTTAATTCAACTTTTTAGTCATTCGTAATTCCATCTTTTAGTCATTCGTAATTCCGACTTATACTGAGTGTTGTGTAAACATAGTAATAAAATAGAAATAATAACTGACGTTGTCATAGGGTATATGGGCTAGGGTATGTTTGACGTGTGTGTTATTTAATAGCCGTGTACATTGCGTAGCGAACATGTGTATTACGTTGTGATTGGGGCACGAACACATTTAGGGTTCAACGTTGACGAGTAGTCCACTTAATCCCACTATCGAATAACTCTTGAATATGTTATTGACAGAACATTCTCGAAATGATATTAATAAAGTACCTTTTATTGCATTTACTTGTAGTTGGATTTTACTCTTCAACGTTACACGACACCACACATTGCTGCACGCGTTAACATCTGTGTCAATAACGTTTAAAAATTTGAACAAACAGCGTTCAATGTATTTCTACACAATTTTTGTACACGGATTTTGATGCGTGCTTATGTAAGTATCAGCCTTATAATGTGTAAAATAAGGTTCTTTTTCTTTAGTACTGAGTTAAATAAACTTGCTCAGAAGTAAAAGAGCGTTATGTGATTGTAACGGTATGGATACAATGCACCTTTGAATATTGAGCTCGGGAATCTGTTGTATATGTGTAGGATATCTATTAAACAGATTAGTTGTAATCGGAACATGGCCCAGTAGGTCCATTACACATAATTAAACGTCTAAATGGTTTGTAATTTTGTTGTTTCTAGTGATGTGTCCGATCGTTAAAAATGTATATCCGTAGATATACTTGTGATCAGCGTCTAGATCCGCGAATCCTAACGGATGTAAACTATATAACACGACATGTTTAGACTTCATTTGTTTATGCAATAGTTGTTTTAAAACTCATATCACAAAAATTTGAGTTTCATCTCGTCAAGGAGAGAGTCGAAAAGTATCTTATAAATTTAAGTAATACCATGTTACCGATAACCGATACCTGTTACTCGATATCCGGTACATCACTAGTTATACAATCTGTAACATCAACTTTGGTACTATCAAATCATTTGCTTTCATGGTTTGTCAGTAAAAAAAAAATCCACATAGTATCAGATCTACATTTACAGATATATTTAAAAATTAGTTTCATGAGCACTGTTAATAGCGTGTGTTTAACCATAGGTATAACTACTTATTTTCGTAGTAGGTAAAATGTGCCGCCGTGATATTTATTTACCCGATATTATAAGTATTATGTGGGTGTAGGGGTAAAATAACTGGCTCTAAGGGTATATCCGTAGTCAGAATTACCCCCAAATTAATACATAGCTAACAATAAGTAGACGCCTGTGTGTTAAAACTTCAATAATAGCTCTAAGTAAGTTTTTTTTAAATTATATAAGACCGTATTTTTTTCTACACTTGAGCCGAAACTAATATTATATATTTACTGAACTGATATAGAATTATCCGAACAAAAAACATGTACTAAATAATAAGTTATTTAAATAAATAAATGACTTTGAATATACGACTCGTTAATTTAATGAAAAAATATCGAATATATCATCTTGGTATAGATATAAATTATAGCTGCTCTGCTAAAATAATTTATTTCAACTACAAAAAACTTAAACTTAAACTTAACTTAAAGCTTTCTTCTTTTTAAAATAAGATTAAACTAGAGGTTCAACATCCAAAGAAGAGACGTGATCTTAGTTGTTACATTAATTCTTCTGTTTATATTAAAAAATTTGATACAAATAGGTGCGGTCAAATTGTAGGACTGGTAATTCGAGTGATAATTTCTAAACCTATTCTTGGGTCGCAATCCCCAGGCGCTGTCAACGTCACATGTGTTCCCCCCGGTACAGTGAATCCATGGAACGCTAAGAAATAGGTCTAATATAGCCTAACTACAAATACTTGATTTCATCATCAGCCTATCGCAGCAAAGAGCGTCAACTATCACATATTGGTACCAGAACCCTAGTTCTCTGTCAAATAAAGTCGTTTTGATTGTTAATCGATTGGAGAAACACCTAACGTGCGGTACGCTCGAACTTTAAACTGGTCCACAATTCCAACTTATCACTTTCAAAATAAAAGAAATGTATTACAAAGCATGTTTTCTTTTTTTTGCGTTTTGCGATGTTTGTGACCGTATCTTTTGTAACATCTGTATAATATATTGACGTGTAGCCTAGCTCAATATCAAAATGTTGCGTGCTAGCCTTCTGCTGACGTTTTATTCATGTAGGTATTAAAGCTAATATATATAGTAATAATATAATATTAGTTGTATCTAAGATTGCCTCGACTTTTATTAGTACTTATTCTGTATTTACTAAATAAAGACTTATTCATTTTTATATACAATGTTGAATTAAGGATGCATTCACGGTGATCTTGACTGTTGAGCTAGAGTTCGTGGGTTCACTTCCCAACCAGGGCAGGGCATCTAAAAATCTTTGTTTTTCGAAGTATCTAAGCATGTTTATCTGCGGTCTAGTTATCATTGTACAGGTTTTTTGGGATCAGATGACTGTATTAAATTGTTATTATTTTCCAATTAGTTCTTGAATGAATTGTTTACTAACTAAGTAGTAAAAACAAAAAGGCAGAATTACATTTAACTCAACAATCTGGGTCTTTAAAAATACAAGAAATTTTTGTAATCGAATAAGTAGTATTAAAATTCCTATTTAACCAACCTTTTAACATTTTTTTAAGTTTACCATAAAAATAATTATTTATAAAATTGTTCAACAACTGAAAATTGAAATCGTCCATTGTTTTTTTTTAATTATGTGGATATGTCCTTAACCTTAAGCATTGATTGAAGGCCGCCGACGAAGCATGTATGTATTATGTTTAGTAGAATAACATATTTTAAACGTAGCTAAATGGGGCCAAGAACGGTTCTTTTCTCAGCCCAAGAGATAAACCATAACTGCACTATAGCAGGACTGACATTATTGTATGACTGTGGGAAGTGGAGGGAGGTTAGGGGGAAGGCAGCTGTGTATAATGAATTTAGAATTTATTTCCTATAATACACAAATTCCTAACTTGAAATATGGCTCACCTTCAGACTTTTTTGTTGAAATAAGAAGTGCACCAATTTTATAGTTATAAAGCACCTTTTTTTAACGTGGATCGAACAAAATATTCATGTTTTTAGTACAATTGTTTAAAAATTAGTATTTTTTTTCATTCATCACTTACTATTTTGTATGTACTACCAAAGATCTGTGTCCTTTTCGCTTTTATTCTTATGACTAACAGAAAATTTAACCGTTTACTTAATATTTTACAAAAACAATTTTTTTAGGTACAGTTAAACAAAAAAGTAACTCACTAACTTATTATGTAAATTACTATATACACATTCTGTCTTAATTCGAATAAAAATTCATGAGGTGTATTCAAATTAAGGGTACACGGTTTTACTAGCATATGTATTTTAGCGATGCCCGACAAGCTTCGTACCCTACGGGGTCCTTATCAAAGTGCGAAGCTGCTCGTTGCGGTTGCAAAGTATCGTATTTCCTTAATTAACATTGTCTTAAGTTAAATAGTTGTGTGCGTAATATATAAATATATATATATAAAATGTAGAATTTTAGATAATACTTGGATTAGGTAGTTTTTTTTTTTTATTTTCCACCTTGCTGTTTACAGAATAAATTTAAAGATATCTGTATATAACTTGTCAGCTATGTAATAAACGTTTGTGTATTAAAAATGTTTGTGTTAATAATCCTTTATTACCTGATTGTCCTCATTCAAGAGAGTATATTTGTCGATTTAATATCGTCTGATATTCGATGGTTAACATGTGTCGATAGGGACATCCATCAGAATGTAGGTAACTTAGTGTTACCAGTATGTTTTCCTTAAGAGAAAAGGTTTGTGATTCTCAGATATTAAACAATATAATTTAGTGATATTAAGAAGTACGTTCATAAATAAAAATGGAGTAGTTTTATGATGTTGTTTTTTTAGGTAGCAACACTGTTCCTGGGTTTTATTTTAAACTTAAGATGAATAAATTACCATGAATTTGCAAGAAATAAATGATCATTACATTTAATATAATTCTCGTAACGTAATTGTTCATTGACACTGGCAGCTACATTAGTTAACCCTCACTGGGTTATTTGATATCAAAAGCTACTTGTAAACAATGAATGACAACAACGTAATTTGAACGTAATATGATTAGACATCGGAGTAAATACAAATAGCAGAGGGCCCAAGCAACTGTGCACTGTGATTCTAACTAGGTCACTAACACGGTACACCGGCGTGTGCGGAAGCTCTGACCGCCCAAAAATAGGCGCGCCTCTAGAGACCCTCAGAGGGTGGAACTGTCCCATGGGATTTAGAGGTGGAAATGAGTGGGGTAAGGCTGTTGGTCGTCCCAGCTAGAATCTCCACGTACTGGCTTTGGCACCGTAGAAGCGCTCCAGGTAGTCATCGTCGAGTAGGCACAGGACCGTTTCCTCCCGACTGACTGATATTTCTGATCACGTCTGCTCAGGGAAGTACCAGCAGTCGATCGCTAGGAGTGAATTGAATTACGCTCCATGGCTGGTGCGCCTTACAGTACCTCATGCCGCCCTGAGTGTGATCTTAGGAGGACAGGGTTTCCCCTTCACTCACCACGAAGGCGAGGTGAGGGTGGACGAAAGTGGTGCCCGCGCTTTTGTAGGGCAGGTGCTATTTTCTATCATCATCAGGTCATCTACACAAAAAATGTCGTGCTGGGTGCCGCAGGCGTCGATGTTAGCGCCGCCGGAACCGGAACCGAAACCATGGTTGCGGCCAAGGTACGGAGAGAGAGAGTGCATAAAACTCTGCCACCTACTTCTGCGAGCAAGTTATGCTCGAGAAGGAGTGGGTGCAGCGGGACTTGAAGAGGCTTAGAAATCTCCAGAACCGCTAGGCTCCAGCAGGAGCCAGGTTCTGCAGGTGGCTCAGGTCGCTGAATGACTTCCGTCCTGCATAAGTGCAGGTCTGCGGTGATAGGTGAGGCCATCTGTCACCAAAAAGAAAAGAAAGGTCGTCTTAGTAAAAGCTATTATCTGAACTTTGCTATTTCAGGTGCAGACACACACCGTGTAGTTTAGGTAAGTCGGTTCTATTCTGAAACACCGCCCACCCCAAAAAATTTGAAGAAAATACTCTTTAACAAAGATCCTGCATAGAAACTCAGGGAAACTGCACCCACTGCTGGGTATAGTTTATAGCCCGTTGCACCCTCTGCTGTGTATAGGCCTCTTCTCTATCACTCCACTCCTGGCGATTATGTGCCACCCGGATCCATTGCTCTCCTGCCGCCCTCACAATGTCTTCTAACCATCAGCAGGTAGTCTGCCTCGAGGCCGGCGCATATCTCTTGACCAACATTCGGTAACTGCCTTAGTCCGTCGGTCGTCGTCCCGCCTTAAGCCTCGCAATCCGTATTCCCACATCCTCGACTTTGGACACCGACACTTAATTAATTGTTAGATATACTGAAATACAAAAAGTAGGTATGGTCGTTAATTTTTTGTTACTCTTACGATTCTTTCCCCGCAACACAGTATTTATTCTGTTAGAGGTAGGTAGTTAGGTGTTATCTTTAAAAGAATCAAAACGACCGCCAAAAACCGATTCTTAGGGTTCCGTATCTCAAAGGAAGAAAACGGCACCCTTATAGAATCACTTTGTTGTCTCTCTGTCTCTCTGTCAGGGCCCTTTATCTCGGGAACGCGAGTAGGTATTGACTTGAAATTAAAATCATACACTCAGGTCTACAGTCCCTTAAAGCTGCTAAAAAATTAAACTTCTAAGTATGTATGTTAATACAATGGAAACGTCCGCGTATGCAAAAAAAACGATAAATTTTGATTCCCGAACGAATTTTAATTCCCTAAATGTTGATTGACGAACGATAAATTTTGAAGGGTATTTCCCGTTGACCTAGAACTCTGAAATTTGGCAAGTAACATCGTCTTATACGAGTACTACAAGCACAGGGAAACATCTGAAAACTATACATTTTTAATAAAGTTTAAAAAAATATAGTACGATTTCACTTATAAAACACAATAATCTAAGTTATTATAGATTTTGTAAATTGAATGTCGGGAAAAGCTCGGCAAAAACTGCGAGACTCAATTCCTGAATAATTTAAAATATGTACCTACTTTGTAATTCCGCACAATAAAATGGAATCCTCGTTGGGCAAGTCCAACTCGCACTTGTCCGGCTTTTTTAAATTCAACTCAGGTATTTTCATCGTAGTAAAGACAGGCTAGCAAGGATAAATTAAAAAAATATCTTATAGAAATCTAGAAACATAGGTGAATCGAATTTCGATTATCTATTTAATGCGTATGCCATTTAACAGTTTGCATTTATTGTCTATCAGATATTGTGTTTTTACTTGGCAGGTACTTAACACAATGCCTATTTTGACCTGCAAAGAATGGAATATACATTGAAGAATCTTTATTGCCTAACCAACAATTATTGACCCTTAACGTTATAATACACAACTCCCTTAAATACTATCTTTATTCTTATCAATCTTATAAGTCAGCACCGCATGCACAAAATATAATAATTATGTTCACCACAGCACTTTTCAAGTAATAGGTTTATTTATAATGCTACTTCAATAATTACCTAAATTAAAGTTAAAACATGATGTTCGTATTTCAAAGAGGTTATCTTTGAAACACGAACATAAACAAAGTTTCAATTAATAAAATACATTCTCATGTCGCTTTTAAAAGCATCGCTATTTAATCAGATAGCCTAGTTTGTTGCAACGGCGCGACATGGCGGCACTGAGAATTCATGCATACGCAGTCAAAGCTCCAGTGAGGCATGTTGTGGTTTATGTTTTTCGGTGCAGTGTTGTGCCGGGCCCTCGGCGCAAAAACTAGGCCGCATATTGTTATCATCTTGGCAGATGATTTGGTAAGTATTTTTAATTTTGTCATAAATTAATCTGTATGTGTTTTAAAGTTATTTTTTTTAAACATGGGTACGCTAGATTAGTATAATTGTTAGTTTATTAAAAATATAAAATTCAAACTGAAATTTTGGTATAAAATAGTGGTCTTACATTCCAAAACCCCCTTTGAGAAGTGGAAAATAAAAGTTTGATACTATTCCAAATGATACATACCTACGTTAATTTCAAACAATGAATGGCATAACATTATAAATTAATATTTAATATAAATTCCCTCATAAATGTAATATTTCCACTGTGCAATATATTTGTGTAATAATAAAAAACAAATGTCTGCACCTGTCATTACTTTCTGATGAATGATTACAATACAGCCTTCATTTTTAAATACAAAATTATTATGTGTAATATAATTTGTACACATTTTAATCCTAAAGAATCTAATTCGTTTTCGGTGCAGTAATAAATTCAGAATCAATTATGCAGGATTGGCTTATTAACGTAAATATAAAAACTTATGCTTTCGAGTGAGTTTTAGTTACTTTATTTTATTTGAAATAAGTATTCTATTATATCTCTACTGCTCTAAAGAAATTGTAGTTACATTGTTTGATACAAAAAATATAAAAGAAAAACAAAAAGTCAAATTCTGATCGTTTTTGTATGCCTTCTGAAGTCCCCCCTCATCACTTGTTAAGAAAACCAACAATTACTAAGTAACAAAACAAAACAAAATATATATTTTGTTTGTATAACTAACCTATCAACTTAAGCACTATTGTTAGTAACACTAAAATACTAACATAAATATGGACCTTTGTCTGATATAAACAATTTTTTTTTTACTTTTTTGCTAAGTAAATCAGCGTTGCAAGAAATCGGTCAGGGCTCTTCTATATCAGCAGCTTGATTTATATAGAAATTACACGAATTTCAACTCAATTTCTGTACCCAGCTGTACTTTTATGTCATAATTATGTTTAACTGTGCCAGTGACACTGGCCCAATGCAAGAATGGTGCCGAGCCATAATAAAAAAAAACTGTGCCAGTGCACGTTTTGCACTTAAGTTCCCGCCAACTGCGATACTGCGCTTAGGATTTAGGATCAATAAAGATGACATACGGAAAAATTTATGATGAAGGAAAGTTCTCTGTCTTAATTGAGTTATTATTAATTTCTTTAAATTTACTGATTTAATGTGCTACTTCAATTTACTGTTTTTAATACATCCCTTATGGCATATATAAAGAAAATTTAAACTTAACTACAATTTCATATTCTTAAATACGGCAAACACTATTACTTAATTAATTAGTATTACATACACTAAATAAATACTAAATATTTATTTAGTGTCCATAACTTTGGTCATTATATATGTAGTTACGTAGGTCGCGTCATTTACCCGATACGTACTCGATATCACCTATCATGGAATACGTGTAGGTCGTAGGTACGTATCTTATTTACACCTTTTTTTTTTTCCGTTCGGAAATCCCCTCGGATACCACCTGTCGGTGGCATGTCGGACTCGAACCGACTAAAACCGCACGCCGTCTCGGGTACTAATAGCCGGGGAACCAGGTATACCCTAGAAAGGAAGTCCCTGGTACCCCGACATACCTCGGGTCATCTACAGACGAGTAGACGGCTCCCCCCCCCCCCCCCCCGTGTGGGAACCCCATGTTCCCGGTCTACTATCTTATTTACACCTGGTATATTTACACGAATAGACTACTATATAGTAAAGCTTTCTGGGTCATGTTCAACTCCTAACTTCTTTGTTCACATAAAGTTCAATAAGTCATCATTCAGTACGAGACTTTCGAATACGAGTTTATCGCATACTACCGTATTACATTTACCGTACGCATATACATTACTACCGTAGCTATATTTTATTTACAGATAAAACAAATAAACGCACCGTACATATACCATACCGGTATATGTACGGTGCGTTTATTTGTTTTATCGCTCTGTGGTGAAAGTTTTTGGAACGAAGTTCCTTATCGCGCGTTACACGCTCTGAGCGCATAGGAGCGAGACCGAAAAATGTGTAACAAGACATTTTGCCGACACTTTAAGTTTAAAGCGGACTGCATAGCAAAACGTCTACCAAAAAGCGAGAGGAACTTCGTTCCGACCAGGGTTCCACAGACCCCTTTTTTTTTTAATATTTGTTTCTCTGTGTAACTTATTGGTATCTTTTCCCTTAACGATTATTATTATATTTTACTATTTCCACCAAACGAGGACGAGAATGGATTGAATTGGTAAATAAAAAGCAATTCTCTTCTTGTCGTGATGTGGAAATTGAGTCAATGTTCATTCTTTTTGTCCGGAGGCATAGATAATAACATACTAAGATTATCATCATCGTCTTCATCCTTCAACAACTGCTGAATAGCTTTTTCCTAGCTATGGCAAAATTTTCGAACATATCGCACTGCAAAAGGATACAATCGGCAAGCTATGGGTCGCCCCGCAACCGTCGACCATGGTCGCGCGAACCGAATGCTACCCAGTATATTACAATGTACTCTGTGATGCTACCTTAAGTTTAAACGGGCACAGATTAAGTACCGTTTGTTGACAATTGCGTTTTTTTTTTTAATTGAAAATACTAAAATTGAATATACTTAGGAAATATATAATGATAAAACACCTTTATTTATTAGCCTTTATTGATAGCTGTGATTATTTGTTTGTAAGTCGAAATTAAAGTAAGCTTCGTTATTTTTTTAGAAAATTGCAATCGCAGTAGTACACAAGTACCTGGCGTACACAATGAACGAGTGAAATAGGGTTATGAATTTTGTTGGCTAGATATTAATAATTCATGGCAATACAGAACAATAGGTAACCAAAGTTCGCTGTTACACGATGGATAATTGAAACATAACATATTTAAAAAAATTCGTCCATACTGTCGTACTACTTATCTTCGTACCAGACAACTATGCAGTGCATAAGTTCATTGTTGATACCCTCGGCCTTCTACATCACTTTATTACGAAAACTTCTTTGAAAACATATGTCTAGACATGATAGACATATTTTTTTTAGTTAAGAGAATAAAATCTACAAAAAAATAACATTAAAATGTCTGTGTGTGATGTAGTAAAAATAATTGGTTTTATTCATGTTCACACGGTTATTTGCACGATACCTATGCTTAAACCAGTTTTGCTCGTCAGTCTGTTTGTTCGTGTAATCCTTATAAGGGCTGATTGCCCGGTCCGGGAATCGAACCCGAGGCCTGATGTTATAGCCTATAGCCTTCCTCGATAAATGAGCTATCCAACACAACAATTTTTCAAATCCAACCTGATGTTCTTAAGATTAGAGCGTTTAAACAAACGAAAAAAAACGAACTCCTTAGATAATAGGATTAGGTATAGATATCATGGCAAATATATCAATAACTGTCATTTATAACGCCATTTAAAAGATAATATATTACAGTCCGTCCGTCTCGGTCGGATTGATACCAGCAGTGCTATTCTCTAAAAAGCGCTGGCACAGTGTCGAACTTCAAACTAAGTTCGTTTGATGTTCGACGCCACAGTGCTGCCATAGTGTCGAACTTCAAACTAAGTTCGTTTGATATTCGACGCAACAGTGCTGCTACAGCGTCGAACTTCAGACTAAGTTCGTTTGAAGTTCGACGCTGTGGCAGCACTGTATGCAAGGCTGTTTCCTTAAAGAATAGCACTACAGGGCATCACAGAAAACCACTGTTATTGTGAAAAAAATACGCACTTGACTTTTAGATGACCAGTCTGTTCGGTTGCTCTCCTATTAGATAAAAATACCATAAGTTCGGTACCTAAGTTTTCATTTAATTACCAATGAACTTACTAGCGTTATTACTAAATTAACTTAACATTTAAAGTAATATTAAGCTTCGTGCGTCGCAAATTGTATGGATATTGCATGAATTGGGTGAAACGAATCAATAACCCTGACCTCCGCACGCCGTGCCGGCGCCAATCTCATCCTAGTTGGCCTGAATCCAAGAAAATATACCTACTCAAGGCTAGTTGTTTTTCAGTAGGGGTAGTAGGGTGAGGGGTAGGGTACTTATATTTTTGATTGAAGGTGTTGGAGAATGAATGGATTATTTATCGGAGTCCATCGATCCCCGGTCGATGCATGTATTAGTACCAAATTCTACCCCAGGACCAACTGATGACTATGAGAATTTGAAAGCTGAGAAATTAATTTTACATATAACGGAATCTGAGATAGCTGTATAAAACTATGCTTTCTGCGGCCCTACCTTGGCTGGTACCACAGAATAAAGTTTTTTTTTTTAATGGATGCCACTAGTTTGCAACATGCCATTAATATGCAGAACAAACCGTGTGGGTGATAGCACACAGCCTTGTGGGACACCTAATTACAAGTCATTTAACAATTACCGCTTTGGGATACTAGAATTATACAGAAAATATGTTTGCTCTTTCTAGGGCTTCAACGATGTGGGTTTTCATGGCTCCAATCAGATCCCGACGCCGAACATCGATGCGCTGGCCTATTCCGGAATGATACTCCAGAATTACTACGTGACACCGATCTGCACACCTTCCAGGTCCGCACTCATGACTGGAAAATATCCCATTCATACTGGTGAGGAAAAATACTAGTTATTTATAATAAATATTATTTATTTGCATTACACAATTTGGTGTTACATTATTCGTGATTGAACCCTCTTTTTAAGCAAGTAATGCCTATGTCCACAAATGTAATGTCTATGTCGCTCTTTCATAACTAAATATTCATTTACGTATATACGTATTGTGCATTATATACATACACCCTCACACAAATTATGTGTAAGGATGTATGTGTTTTTGTGCGTGAAAGTGTATAAAAATGTTGCTTAAAATAATAATAATAATAACTGCCCACATCAAAAACTACGCAGAGCCTGTACTATGGCAACCAGACGGCTGATAAACATCCTTATATATTTCTAAGTTCACACATATTGTGGATAAATTAAATCAGACATAAAACAAATGATCGTACTTATGACACAATTATATTTCTTAGTGAGAATCGAACACCACGACCTCTAGTTGGTCACGAACCACTACATCAAAAGGCCAGTCCAATACGTATTTAATGTAAGAATTACGGCCCCTGTGACATTCATTCTGCTTCGCTTTAAACGCAGTTCTGTTATTTGAGTAGATAATTTGTGTGCAGTTTGCCTTGCCTGTTTAATTTGAGTTATAACAATACCCATTTCGAAATCATGCTAGGAACTCTACTTAAGTATAATAATGTCGTTAATATTGCGTGGATAAATATTGCACGTCATAAAATCATTTGAAATCCGTCTAGTATTGCAAACTCATAACGAAATAGTTTTTAAAATGCCTAACACCTCTTTTTAGGGTTCAGTAGAACCTCCTTTTTTTTTTTTTTTCCTTGCGGAAATCTCCTCGGATACCACCTATCGGTGGCATGTCGGACTCGAACCGACTAAAACCGCACGCCGTTGCCGGGTACTAATAGCCGGGGAACCAGGTATACCCTAGAAAGGAAGTCCCTGGTGCCCCGACATACCTCGGGTCATCTACAGACGAGTAGACGACCCCCACCCGTGACAGTAGAACCTCCTATAGTTTCGCTATGTTTGTCGGTCTGTGTATTAATTTGTCCACGCTTCAGCTTAGCGACTATTGTAAGTCAAGTTGGTTAGTTCAGTCAAACTCAAACTCAAAATATCTATATTTCATAAAACTTTTAAAATTATTTGAAATCGTCTCTTGTGTAGACTCTCAAGTTATAGATCAACACACACAATAGCAACAATCTCTGTTTTTCAAATAATTAGCAAACTAAATATATACGTATTGAAAATCTCTTATATGCCAGTGTCTATAACCGCCCATTTCCAAGGGGTTGAGCCTCATGAGAAGAAACCTACCTATCTATTGAAGCAGCTATCCAAAAACTTTGTCATAAATTGATACCTTACTAGTGAACTAAAAACATTTTACGAGTACCGTAACCGTATGGTTACTGTACTCGTAATATGTAGGTTTGTAGATGTAGGTTTATGTACTTGTAGCTTTCTACTAAAAATGTTGTATTGATATCAATACTACATTTTTTTATTTCCTTAATAAATAGGGTGATTATGCAAACGCTCACAGATGACGTTGACAAATCGGTAAAATACAAACTCGAAACCACCCAGGACAAGTAATAGTGTGATGAGCACGATCATTTGGTGTGTGTGGGTATAATTTATCTATAACATGTATGTATTTAGAAATATTTAAGTACCTTTATCAGCGGTCTGATAACCATAGCCTAATATCTTAAAGTACTGTAGCCATACCATATTAACATGGCAAATCGATAGTCTACTTTGTCGAATTACTATATATGTACATATATCAAGTTAGTTTTCGCGCGCCTTTATCAAGAATCAAACTATCTCCACACCAAATTTCATCTGCATCGGTTTAGCGGTTATTGAAGCCACATGCAAACTCCTACCCCCCCCCCCTTTCACTCCCTTAAAGGATGATTTCTGGGATAAAAACTATCCTATGTCCTTTCCCGGGACTCTGACTATCTTTATACCAAATTTCATCTAAATCGGTTCAGCGGGTTAAGCGTGAAGAGGTAACATACAGACAGACAGTTAGATAGACAGACAGAAACACTTTCACATTTATAACATTAGTATTGATAATTGAATTTACCGTGGGTGATACATACTTCAGCAGTGCTATTCTCTAAAGAAACAGTGTTGCGCACAGCACAAGTTTGAAATTCGACGCTCCGGAGGCCAGGAGGGGTCTGGATGTCTTAATAACAGCAGTTCCCGGATCCCTCCTATTACAGGTGCAGAGTGGCACACCTTGTGGTATTAGTCGGTCCGATTCCGACACACCTCCCCGCCGCAAACCCCCAAGTGGAGTAACGGCCCGAGGGGGCTTCCGCACGTACAAAAAAGCGCTGTCCACAAGGCTGTTGCCTTAGAGAAGAGCACTGCTGGACATAGGGGCCGCTCGACCGGAGTGATACTTCGGCCTCACAGAAAAGCGTTATACAATTCTGTCTTTGCTTTTCACGGGATAAGTGAGGGCACCGGAAGCCCCCCCTAAATCATTTTTTTTAATAACCCCAGACATCTCACACAAGGCCGTCTGATCCCAAACTAGGCAGAGCCTGTATCATTTCTAACCAGACTGCTGATAAACATATTAAATATATACATATTATAGATAAATCACAAACAGACACAGAACAAACGATTTCCACGAGATTTCGATTCCGATTGTGCTCATGACATAATTATTTGCCCTGGGTGGGAATCGAATCCACGACTTCTGGCTTAGCAGTCAGTATCACTAACCACTAGACCAGCAGGCCCGTCTCACTCAAATGACGGCATGGCACTTATGTATCGTGAGGTGCCGGAGTCAATGCGTGGCGATAGTCAGTCATCATAAGCCTATACCATAAAAGACTAGGTACTACTAATAACACTCACAAAGTCACTTAATTCTAAACTAGCTGTTTATTTTATGTTTGATTTGGTCTGGGTGTTTCTATGTATAATGTGTATGTATTTACAAAAAAAAAAAAAATATGTATTTATATCAGTTGTCTAGTACCCATAGTACAAGCTCTGCTTAGTTTGGGACTAGATGGCGTTGTGTGTATGTTTTAGAATATTATTATTATATTATTCCGGGTAATTTTCAAAACTATTTAACCGATTTGGTTAATATTTTACTATCATGTAGCTGTCTATGTGAGGAGTGACTCTGGCTATTTTTCCTCTCAGAAAAATCCTATAAAATTCTGTGCTATACGGAAATCGAATCCGAGGCCTCATGGCCTGCAGTCGCGTACCGTACTACATTACTAAAGCATCGCTTTTCAATTTCCACGCTAGGCTATAAATATTGATTTTCAACGCTCAATATATTTGGATGAAAGTTTGGCAAACGGATAGATTGTATCCTGGATTAAAAAAGCCAGTCAGAAAAAAATGGGGTTGATGTAACTATTGTTTTTTATCCTTCCACAGGAATGCAGCATACCGTCATATTTGGCACAGAACCCTGGGGCCTGCCTCTCTCGGAGAAGCTCTTGCCTCAATACTTGAAGGATTTGGGGTATAAAACTCATCTTGTTGGCAAATGGCATCTCGGGAATTACAAGAAAGAATACCTTCCATTACATCGAGGGTACGTATTTTATTTTTTCATCATCATCATCATCATCAACAGCCTATAACAGTTCACTGCTGGATATAGGCCTCTCCTTAGAAAGGAGGTTTTGGCCACGCTATACCACGCTGGCCAGACGAGTTGGTATAATGTTTGTTTCAAGTTTTCCTTCTCCTTGCAGTGCTGTTGTCCCGACTAAAGGCTCTTGCGACACCCACGGGATGAATACGGGTAGTGACATTCCGTATTCTTAATCTGTCACCACACGGATTTATTTTTTACATGTCGTAATTACTCCTTAATTCGCATAGTTGAAACGCTTCCAATTTTACCGTTTCTGCGATAAACAAACCTGTACAAGAACGTTTCTGTTTATATGCATGCATGCATTACATGCGAAAACAAAAAGTAAATCCAAATAGAAATCGCTAGAAACAATCACTATTCAGATCAGAAAACCCAAAAAAGCATTGAGATGAGTGCCCTTGTGACTGTAAATCTAGGTTTTGTTTTTCATTATCTACCTATTATTCAAATTCGCTTGCCACTTAAATGTCAATTTCCTTTAGTGTTACCATTAATTCCTAAGTCTGTTCTGAAACAAGTAACGTACGAAATAAAATAAACTTATAAGTTTATATTATTTATTTTTTATTCATTCTACAGATTCGACAGTCATCTCGGTTTTTGGACAGGCAAGATCGATATGTACGATCACACTAACATGGAAAAAGGATCGTGGGGTTATGACTTGCGAAGAGGTAGGTGTTTACTATTCAAAATTATTTTATTGCCATAATAAACCTAACACAAAAATATGTAAGGAGTTTGCATACATATTATTATTATTATTATACATGTACATTTTATACTTAAAACTAAGGTGTCTTCACTAAAATTGCTTTTATATACTTACTTATTTTTTAACTATGCTTATATAGTTTAAGTGGATCTTGTTATAAAAAACACACAAAATGAACGGTCTGGATGTTATGCCTCTCTTGATTTCCTACCTGAACCTTTCTATATATTATTAGAATGATTGATGTTTTAAAATTCCTTTAAGGTTTGTGGAATCTACCAATCAATAAGGTCAGCGCCGTGGACTATTGCCTGACCCTATACTGAGAATAAATGATTCCTGATAAGAAATTTTAAATTATTTATCTGGTATGATTAAAAGAAATTAGACTTTACCCAGCATAAATAGAGATGAGTACCTATTTCTCGAACATAAATGTCATAATTCTCGTAACTGTTATGTATTCTGAATCTTGTGTAGATTTTTTCACTAGCTTTTTTACCAATAGGTAGAAAGATGAATACATCCTGCATTCCTACAGCATACTAACTAGTTGTCGCCCAGAAGCCTAAATTCAAACATTGTCTCATATTATTTACATAATTACTAGCTGACCCGCGCAACTTCGTCTGCGTCTCTCAATAGTAATAAATTTTCTCCGTTTTTTAAACATTCTTCATTGGTGCTCCGCTCCTATTGGTCTTAGCCTTCCTCGATAAATGGGCTATCTAACACTGAAAGAATTTTTCAAATCGGACCAGTAGTTCCTGAGATTAGCGCGTTTAAACAAACAAACTCTTCAGCTTTATAATATTAGTATAGACTAGCTGACCCGCGCAACTTCGTCTGCGTCTCTCAATAGTAATAAATTTTCTCCGTTTTTGAAGCATTTGTCTTTAGTGCTCCGCTCCTATTGGTCTTAGCGTGATGATATATAGCCTATAACCTTCCTCGATAAATGGGCTATCTAACACTGAAAGAATTTTTCAAATCGGACCAGTAGTTCCTGAGATTAGCGCTTCAAACAAACAAACAAACAAACTCTTCAGCTTTATAATATTAGTATTGATAAGTAAATGACGACAGATGTTTAGTAGACATTTATGTATGTAACGGAATCTTCGAACGTGATTTTGACCCACTTCAAAACGTCGAATTAAATTGAAACTTCGAACACTTATCCAGGAGCGATGACAATATAATTATTTGATAAATTTGGCCGATTATCCTGATCAGGATCGTCAGGATTACCAGTTTTTTCTGTACCTAAAAATACGGTAGTGTCTTTTGCTACTTTCTAAGACTGTGACCTACGTGTGCTGTGACCTACTTGTTACTTTTTTAGTCTTAATAAAAAAATAATCACTATTACTTATTGACTAAACAAGACAAAATAAATTATAGTTTAAAAAAAACTTAAAACGCGGTTTTGTAACTCATCATCAAAACATTTTATCGTAAAAAAGCGTGAGATGCTTTTTATAATATTATAACTTTTACCAATAACTTTCAATAAAATATTTTTACGATTGATACGACACGCTTTTTTACGATAACATGATTTTTCTTTTTGAACTTATAGAAAATTACTTGCTACTTTTTAGTTCGGCTAGTTACAAAAGCGTGTTTTTTTTTATTTTTTTAAACTATAATTTATTTTTATTTATGACTAACGTTTGTCAATGACTACACAAAGGCGAAAATGGTATTTCACTGTTTTGTTTTATCTATTTATGTACATCTATTATATACTCGTGTCAGTTGATTGAAAAAAAATGTTGCAATTTGTTGTAAGTTTCGTGATAAGATAATGACGTAGAATGCTAATAATGAACATGCAACACTGGCTCATTCACAATATTATTATTTTATCGTTCGTTTTTATTTTTAGATTTCGCAATGGCCGATGACCTTTTTGGACAATACGCAACAGACATATTTACCAAGGAAGCTGTTAGGGTAAGCAAGGAAATCTGACTCGATTAGCAATCTATGAAGATATTGAATGAAGGATTTCGTCATTACTGTAGTCCATTGATTACAAACGTTAAAAAATAAAATACAAAATATATGTACTATAAAGAGAACTCTTACGTTGTAGTCTGTATGCTTGCTCATGACGTTAAAACATAAACAATCTAATTTCTAAAAAGTAAACCTAGGTATACCTACGTAGTACCAGGGATTTCCTTCTTAGGGTACACCTGGTTCCGAAGCTACTGGTACCCGAGACGGCGTGCAGTTTTTAGTCGGTTCGAGTCCTACATAACAACCGGTGGGAGGGGATTTTCGAACGGGATTTTCGAACAGGAAAAAAGGTATACCTACACAGGTTTATGTAAAAGAAATGTCAAATAAATTAAAAAATAACCATGTGGTCGTTATACTGGAGAAGTTTATTTTTATGATTAAAAACAACATATGTATACGGCCAGTTTTATCCTTGTTCTAATCACCTCTTCGATGTTCAATTATAGTAGGCCAAAACCTCCTTTCTAAGGAGAGGCCTATGTCCAGCAGTGGACTGTTAAAGGCTGTTGATGATGATGATGATGATGATGAATCACCTCTTCTCTGTCGCGTGTCACTTCTGAACACGATTACATTCTCAAAGAGGCTAGGCGACATGCATTCGGCCGGTCATAAAAGAAACCAGCCAAAACTTCTTGTAATAGTGGACAAAAGATGATGATTACAATTACATCGATATTATTATTATTATCTGATGTTTTATAAGGATTCTAGGATGAATTACTGAATAAGTGGTTCGTTCCTGTTCATGTGTTTTTGGTTTTATTCTGTACACCAAATACGTTAAAAACATCTTGTCGTCCCGTACCTTACATATATTTTGAAGAAGAAAATTCTTTTAGGTAAATTGAGGTCCAAGTTAAAAGATAATTAATAATCTCTAAACGTTTCTGTTGATGTAAATAAGTGGGAAAAAGCTGTTCAAATATCGTAGTGCATTATAAGTAGGTATTTATTTACAGTTAATTAAATCACACAACGAGAGTGACCCCATGTTTCTAATGGTGTCACACTCAGCGGTGCACAGTGGCAACCCTTCTGAGTTTATAAGAGCTCCGGATGAACTGGTTCAGAATTTCTCCAATATTGAAGACTACCAACGGCGGAAATTTGCTGGTAAGAGTTAAATCGCGTTGCATTACAACAAGACATTCCTATAGTCAAATAATTGAATACCGCTGTTAGTAGTAACCAATAATTATCAGGTTTGATACCGTAATAATCATAATCATTTTTTTTTTGTTTTCAACTTATCTATTACAACGTGAATGTACTCCTGTTTCTTTCATGTCTATTTCGAATGACCTTTAATATTTTTAAAATATCTAATAATATTTGAGGGATATTATCAAAACGTAAAAGTAAATCAAAAAAAGAAGAGAGGAAGAAAGAAGAAAAGAGAAGGCAAACTTGAAACAAACCTTGTACCAACCCGTCTGGCCAGCGTGGTATAGTAGACTAAAACCTCCTTTCTAAGTTGAGGCCTATGTCCAGCAGTGGACTATTAAAGGCTGTAGATGATGATGATAATGATCTAAACAGATGGTGGACGGAAAAATGAAAATTAGATTTGTAGTTCGTTAATCACATCCATCCTGCATCTGTTGCAGAAACGACGACATTATAATAACATTAATTATTTACATTTTTTTAAGTTAATTAAATAAAAATATTTACAATACCAACATGAATGGGATTTAAAAGGATAAAGCTGACACGATCGCTCTCGCGTGGCTCAAACCCGGCTAGACATAATCAACACCTGTCTACATCCACAGCAGTGATGTCAAAACTCGACACGTCAGTTGGCAAGGTTGTGCAGTCGCTAAAGAAAAACGGCATGTTGGAGAACTCCATAATACTGTTCAGCACTGATAACGGAGGCGCCGCAGCAGGCTTCAATAATAACGCCGCATCCAACTATCCCTTGAGAGGGGTGAGGCTCAGTAATTATAAATATTCAGTATAATTATCATGTGTGTTGCTTAAGAGGTAACCTTTAATAAAACTTTCTCATTTATATCCATGATAAAAACAGTAAAGCGATTATCAGACACCCTATCATAATGTAGTATTTTATGTGAGAATCAGTATGAAATGTTTGGCCATTTTTAATAGCAAATATATAATGGCCTGAACGTGTTGGGTTCCATTATTTAATTTATGACTATTTATTTTAATATTTCACAAGTGGAACCCAGAAAACAAATATAATCCATACATCCCTCATTTTTTTTAAAGGCCTAACCAACGATACCCGGAACTATGGAATAAAAAATCTTCCCCCATTTTACGTGTAGGAGATGTTTAAAATGATTTTGTAAAAAAAATCTCATTAGGTACATATGAGAAATTTAGACAAGACTACAAACGGGCGGGCTTTTGTAGTGGGCGAACGAGAGAGAGAGAGAGAGACGGACAATGCAAAATCATAAGAGTTTTGCTAGGACTACGAACTACGTACCCTTAAAAGCTTCTGATCAACAACTGAGCAAGCAGTTGTTAAAATAGTAGGTAGGCGTTTCAAACAACTCATCTGCTGTTGACATGATAAAATTATAATAAACGAAGTATTAAATATACATTAAATTAATAAAAAATAATTAATGAATTAATGCGTTATTTACTGAATTAATCAGTTAAATTCCACAAGTTGCTAATAGTCGTGGATTTTTGTTATCCGTAGGTAATGTTAATCTGTTTTTTTTTAACCGTAACAAAAATCTACCGCTTTAATCTTTGAAAATGTAGACTTGTATTTCGAGCAGGTGAAGAATACCCTGTGGGAAGGTGGCGTGCGCGGCGCGGGGCTGCTGTGGATCGGGAAGGGCGTCACCGCGCCGGGGAAACGCGCGCGACTCTCGCGCGTGGCGACGCAGCGCTTGCAGATCGCGGACTGGCTGCCCACCCTGTATAGTGCTGCCGGGGGGGATGTTAGGTTTGGTCACTTCTTTTCAATCCTTAATCATATCTTCATGCCTGACCCACTTAACTATTAGCATGAAAATTCAAATTCGCTTGCCTAGCTAGGCTATCATCGATTAACAAATGTTATTCTCATGGGATATAGAATATAAATACAACATGAGCGGGAGCAATCTGCCTAAGTTGTGATTTCCTATAAAACTCGAACCCATTACCGGTCAAATACAGTCTCTAGATTCTTACTACCTTTTTTATGGTCATCCTGGGATGTGCCTCAATCATGGCGTACGGCAGGGAGGACTCCAGAAGCCGCCGATGCGTTCCTGGATATTCCCCCGACTGCCGAGGTAGGCCGCCACGGGGTTTAATGGGTAGTCAGGTACTCCGGGAGTCCCACACACGTTCACTGTTCCAACGGAGAATATGGTGCAAAAAGCACCCGCGTTAAAAAAAAGTTTCTTAGTACCAGTTATTGTTTATTTGATTGTGGCGTCGTTTTTACAGCGTTTTTGAAAATCTGGATGGAATGAATCTTTGGGATGCGCTATCACAGAATAAAGAATCGGGAAGAACAAGCATAGTACATAACATTGATGACATCTGGGGTAGTGCCGCTATTACTGTCGGTAAATGGAAAATTCTAAAAGGTAACCGTAACAGGTTTTTAAAATTCTTCACAAGTCATTAAATATCTTCTTTTCATTTTTGTTTTTACGATCAATTTTTTTTTTAATTTCAAATAGAAATAAAAACAGAGTAAACTAGAGCCCCAATCTTGCAATACAGGCAACGAGAAAGATGTATTATAGATAGTTCCCTCTATCTCTTTAAAGTCGAGCTCTGTGGTTGGTTGGGGAAATTTCTAATCTCCAGCCTACTCCACGATCAAAACCATTCTTACTTCACGATAGCCAATCGCAGCTTAGCTAAACAGAGACAGAGGTAACTATCGGGCATCCATCTCTCTCGTTGCCTGTATCGCATCCACTTACTGGCAACTGTTCCGCATGTTCTCTCTATGCTTATATCTATATGATTTTTATTTTTTTGTTGTGTGTTTTGTAAATTGCTGATAAACTATTACCTACCTACTTATTTCAACCTTCAAATAACATTGTAACTTTTGCCAAATATAAATAACTTTTTTCCATATTATAGGTACTAACTACGGCGGAGATTGGGACGGCTGGTACGGACCCAGTGGGAGGGAAGGGGCATATAACTTGGATTTAGTATTGATGAGTGAAGCTGGCGTTGCTATCAGCGACATGGGAATGATGCCGTCTAAAGAAAAAATGACTGAAATCAGGTAAAAATCGATAATCCATGTAATGGTAATATTTGCTGTATCGGATCTAAGTTATCACCTTTAGTTTTCACCTATACAACCTATATAAAATTAGGCTGTAGGAACCAATTATTTTTTACGTATTTTGCATGGCTAATGGTGGAGTATAGTGTCAGAATTAAAAATGTATCAGACTAAATGATAAAATTGTACGGCCATGTTCCCAACTATCAAAAACACAAATAAATTTGTCAGTTTTTTGCCACAAATCAATCTAGTTTAAACATGTCCGGTACTTAGTGGAGATGTTAAAGAGTTAATTTAAAATTTTATCTTAATTTTCCAGAGATGAAGCCACAGTAAAATGTAACGAGAGTATTCCAATAATTTCATGCAAGCCGTTAAAAAAGCCATGTATTTACGACATCAAGGAAGATCCTTGCGAACGACAGAACCTGGCTGAGCAGTGAGTTGAAAATATTGTTTAATTATATGTATAGTATATTTACTTCCATAAATAAAATACCTCTGAAGGACAACTAGGTACCTACCTGCGGCATTACCATTCTGTGATCTCCATTAGCAGAACCGCATCAGATTAACAAATAGTTTTCTAAAATTATTATACAATTGACACTCATATCCTGTATTTTTTGGGTAAATGCTTTATAATAAGTGCCTAAATAGCAGTAAATTTACCGTAACGCTCAAATACTTGAACTGCCACGGTAATCAACAACTTTTCAACCAGTTTTGTAATCAAATTCCGCAGATTTCCTGACGTACTGCAAAGAATGTTGACTGAATTAGACAAGGTGAACAAAACAGCAGTACTTCCCAACAACAAGGACATCGAGCCTAGAGCAGATCCCAAGTACTGGGGCCGAGTGTTCACTAATTTCGGCGACTACCTACATTTAAGTACGCCTTGCCTTTGTTAGCTACAGACTGAGCGATATCCTTTAAGTGGGCACAAAGCACCCTATACAATTTATGCTTATTGGCTATTGATTATTAAGCTAGTACAAGGAATTGCCAGGTTATGGATAAAAGGATGAGTTGTAATTTAACGTATATTTAATTAAGTCGTTGCATTTTGAGAGAAACTAAAGGTTCCTTAAAATATGTAGGTACCTAGATTTCGTCATAAATATTTTGCACTGCAAAAGAGTACGAGATATATTAGGAATAGAAGGTACAAGACAGCTATAACGAACTTCGTATGTACATGAAAAAAAGCCGTGTGGTGTCGTGGGACACCCGACAGGAACGAAGTTGTGACGATCGAGTAAAACTGATTCGACACGATTTTTAATTACAACGCCATCTATGAAAGCGGCTATTACCTACATATTTTTCACTTGGCTTCTAATTAAAACAATTTATAAATTTATAGATGGCGCTGAATGACTGACAAGTGACAATTCAAAATAAAAAGTGTCATTACAACTTTTGTGAGAATTTTTTCCGTCTAGCCCCCTTTCACAACGCGCGATAAGGAACTTCGTTCTAACAAGTGATCAGTATTTTGTAATGACATTTGCCATATTTCATATTCAGATGTGCCAAATTAAAATATTTTATGTAAAAACTAAGGTAAAATGTAAATATGTCCATTTGGTAGTCAGTTATGAAACATAATATAAAAAAATGTAGGTGCACTTATGTTTTGTAATGTAAATCCTCACTGTCGAAAGATGTCCGACCAACTTTACTCGCGGTACACATGGCCTACAAAACTCTAGATCCTAGCCTTTATTGTCTGTAATCCGTCCATATTTACGTACAATTTGTGTGAATTCTCGAAGATCTTAAGAGATTTAGGTACCTACCTAAATCTACGTTGAGACCAAAGTGCTCACTTTCTCATTAGTCCAATGATGATCTTAACTTAGCTACCACTAGGTGGTACTAGACTACAAAATATGCTTTACATCGCTAGCTTTTCCTCCACAACAATAAGCCGCAGGAACAAAACAATTAGTTAAAATAAGTAACTAATCAAGGGTCCTAGTGTGAGTTTATTTCACGTCAACTCAAGTGTCACAGTGACCGCGTTCGGCGTTGCGATTGGCCCGCACTGAACTCTTCACCAATAAACCACCAAATAAACTCACACTAGGCCCTCTGGAGAAAATAGCAAGTGATTCGCTTTCGCCTCCAGAGTATCTGACTCAGATCACCGTTCGACCTTTATCGTTCGTTCATTGTTCTCATATTTCCAAGGCGGAGGAAATGCCTACTCCCTTTCGGTTTTTTATAAACATCTATTGAGGAGGGTCAGACCAGACAGATAGTATATGTAACATGTAATGCGACGGCTCAATTTTTTCTGCTGAGCTCTCTGGGTATTTGAGGGACATGTGGAGATACTGATTTATTCAGTCGTGAATCACATAATTCCTCCAAAAGATAAATGTGTAACTTGGACTATAGGAACAGGTCGTATCGGCCCACAACCGTTTCTTATGTTTAATTTAATATTTAAGTTATCTAATATTTGTAAATCGGTTGTAACGAAGTACCTTTAAGTAGGTATTAATAAAACTATTTTGAATTATTTATTATAGAACATTAAGTACTTATAAATCTGTTGTAACAAAATAATTTCTCGAAATACATATTCTTATATGTGTGAAAATGAAAATTGTTTAATCATAGACATATTAAGAAAATACCAATAATTTAAGTACAAAAATAACCCTTTCTCGCATTGGGGGTACTTGAATAAGATTTATTTCAATCAGTGTTGCCAACATATTGTAGGTTTTCGAAATTACTCTCGTTTGCCAAGTAGTTTATAGCGGTAATTTTAACAAAACAATTTTTTTCTTATATGTCCAAATTTACAATCATTCACTCCCATCAAATCATATCACTTCTATTATTTATGAAGTTTAAGTACTTAATACGAGACAAAATAATAATAATTAAGAATTTCTAAAAGAAATAATAATAATAATCATTTTATTGGACTAACCATTACTCATTGCTTGTTAGTAATACATAAAACTTATCCTATGTTAGTAGAGACAATTTACAATATTAGTTAAATTAAGAATTTCTAAAATAAATAATTAAGAATTTTTAAGATTTTATAATTTCACAACCCGTAGTTTTTACTTAAATATAAATTACATGAATTTAATTACTTAACCCGTATTTTCTTAAATGAAATCAGGTATCATCTTTGGAATGGCTATGTTGATTTGTACCGGATTAACTCTTAAATTAAACTTAAAACTCGTAACAGAAGTAGTTAAATTTAGGAATTATTTTAGATATTTTAAAAATGAAATTAAATGTTGGATGATCTTAAAATGGAAACTGCAACCCTCACGGAAAAACTCAGACTTGTCTGCGTGTAAACATATGTATGGTTAAAGGTCAAGACATAGTTGTATAATATTTTAATATTAATATAAAATTCTAATTATAATTTAAATTTTTAAATAGTGTCATGTATCATTCCAATGCGAGAAAAAACGGTTTTAACGGATTTAAACTTTAAAAATATAAATAATCTTTATTGGCTCTTGCTCTTTTAGTTCTGACTCCCGTTCGCCTGGATCCATCTGACTTCCTTTTTTCAGCTTTTTTACCAATTTCTTCCACATTAACAGGGTTGTGACTGCCACTTAAGGGGAGGCCAGTTTCCTTCTCAACGTTGGCCATTATTACATCTCTGTACTCCTGCAGTGTTTCATCTTGGACTACCTGAACCGCCTCTGGTTCAGGCTCCACAATTTTGCCTAACGTGGTAGCATTTTGGAGGCTTATCTTCTCCATAGGGCTTAGGACTTCGCCCACAGGGTCGTGTTGGCTGCTTTGGGATAAGGTCTCGGCAATTAAACGATCCACGATGTTTGGCTCTTCAGCTTGGAAATATTTGGACATGACTTGTTTAAGTCGGTCTGGGACTATTTGGTGCGGAGCTGTTACACTGGAAGTAGTTCAAAATATATAAATGTTCAACGGCGGTTTTTTTCTGGCATCTACTCAGAATAGGTCTAAAAAGAGAAAAAAATCCCTTTATATTTGTTGGCCATAAGCACATGGTCCGCCTGATGGTGAAGAGTTATCCCTGTTTAGACATGGCAACAGTATTCCATGTGCGGTTAAACTTTCACATTGTAAATAAAAGTTGTAGGCGGTGGGTTGTAGTAAAAAACTGTCTTTGGCTATGGCTAAGTGACCGCGAAACAAGGCTTCGCTCGATATGTCCACTCCAAGGATATGACACTTAGCTAGGTGATATGACAAGACAATATTGGTTTCAATTATGTAAATATTGCAAATAATATATAGTTTAATGTAGTTTTATATTTACACAATTTTACTATTGAATAAATGTTTGCAATATTTAAACATAAAAATTACTTAACGTATTTTAATAGAAAAAAAAATTAACGTCTATACAACAATAGACTAGCGTCAAGGTCGTCAAAGTGTAGACATCGTGCAAACGGAGTTAACAGAATGTTTGCACAACATGTACATAGATTAGTCGACGAATTTAACTAGTAATCGACTCGTCGATAAACGTATAAGCATATTGTCGATCCTGTTTTGTTAATAGTGTATTAAATACTCGACGATCCTCTACGGTAGTTTTAATAAATACTGTGGTACACGGTACAAGAGACAAGCGGTTAGTGGGTAAAAATTCCACACTATCGGTCTCCAACAATTCGACAGTTGTTTTTTTTTGAAGATTTTCTTTGGATACAAGAAAAATAAAAAACGGCGTGAGGGGTCTATGGATCCCCGGTCGGAACGCATTTCTTTTCGATTTTTGGTATACGTTTGCTATATATACGAAATATGAAAAAGATGTGAGCGTCGACGCGTCAACTGAAGTGTCGGAAAAAAGTCTTGTTATACATTTTTCGGTCTCGCAATCCGCTCAGAGCGAGTAACGCGCGATAAAGAACTTCGTTCCAATAAATAATAGCGACGGTAACTTACTCGGTGGGCTCATGAAGCTGTAGGATGGCGTGCGAGTGCAGCAGCTTCATGAGCTTGGAGGCGTTGAGCTCTGAGAGCTGGAACTTGTCGGCGACGCGCGCGGCCGACAGCGCGCCGCCCGCGCCGCACCACTCCAGCGCGCGACGGAAGATGCACAGGCACTGCCGCACAACGACACTTACTTACGAGTACTTTACACTCGTCGGATAAATAATTATATAAACCTGCGGTTGCAATCGCGTGAAAAGGATTCTGTACCGTAAAACGGTAGTTGAAGAGTTTTTTCTCTCTATTTTTTTTAACCCAAAATGTACGTTAATACCTACGCACAGTATTTAATTTTGTAAAATTGATTTTTCTACTTACTTTTAATAAGTTTTATTGAAATAAAAATAAAAATAAAATCAGACATGAGGGAATTTAGTAGGTATGAGACCTACTTTTACTCGGTCTAGTAAATTCGAAGCACATTGTTCTTACAAGGTCACGTTTTCATTCAGATTTACGGAAATAATTATTTTTACAAAATTCGTCTCATGGACCTTCTAAAACTCGCAACACTCCGTACAACAGTATTGTGTTACATACCTCCCTTTTGTGTACCCCGAGCGCGGCGAGTCTCTGGTCGGTGGGCTCCCGGGTCGGGTCCGCATCGGAACACTCCGTACAACAGTGTTGTTTTACGAGCCCAGCACTCTCACGGGTTATCCCGTAGCAAGCCGCGTGCTGTTGCGTATTGCAGTACCTTATGAATACAATACAAAATACTATAGAGCAACACAGGTCACTGGCGGAGGGGACCGGAGGGAGTAGCAATAGCCTCTCTTTGCGATACAAAATACTCTATAATTTCTTGCGGGGGGAGGGGGGGGGGGGAATCTTCACAACGCACACATTCTCAGACTTCCATAAAAAAACAATCGGCTGTCACTACGGAACTCACACATAACAATTAAACACATTAACAATTTACACACACCTACACACATTCTGTGTAATGACGCACTACATTGACATTTTGCAAGCAACCATGGCTGTAACAACTATCGATACGCAATATCGATAAATTCGAGAAGTCGATAAGGAAAATCAGGTTTAAAAAGTGAGACAAAGGTGAAAATTTATGTTATATAGATAGGACTTTATTTATCACTACAGAAATCATAATAGATATTACTAATAGTATTATCTATCACTGGTTTTTGACTGGATTAATTTTATATAAATATGTCGAATACATTTCTATAGGTTAGATTTTTTCATTAAGAATGTTCCTTCTATTGTTCGCCAACACTTAAAAGTCAGAAGTCTTGAAATGATCTGAGCAAATGACACTGATTCTTGTAGGTATCCAGGTAAGGTATCTGTTATTACAGAAATAATTTCATATAGCTCCTAAACTCGGATCTTTAGAAAACCTGCAGTAAATAGCTCCTCCTAAACCTGCAAGGTTTAGCTCTTATCTTCGGGCCCGCATGCAGCTGGTACGCTCCGGCGAGCCCTCGTCTGACTGGTGTGACCTTACTGCGGGTGTTCCCCAACGTGGCGTTCTATCTCCTCTACTATTCTCAATTTTCTTTTTACAACAATGTTCTCTTTACAACAATGTACACATGTAACTGAGGTAAGTAGAAAAGTCTTTAATACCTATCATTCCCTAAAGCGCCTTCAAAAGTTTTTCCCTTTCAAACTAAAATCTGTATTTCACAATCCCTTCTCCATCCCTTATAGACTATGCTGATGTCTCCTTTCTTGACGCTACTGAAGAACTATTAAATAAGCTTGAACGGTTGCAGAATTTGTGTATCCACCTTATATTTGGAATAAGAAAGTATAATTCGCAGCAGAGCACGCGCGCCCCATTGGGAGCACAAAGGGAACATGGGGGTTCCCACACAGGAGGAGGTCATCTACACGCCGTGGAGTGGCCTAAGTATGTCGGGGTACCTTGGATTTCCTTTCTAGGGTACACACACCTGGTTCCCCGGCTACTGTTATCCGAGACGGCGTGCGGTTTTTGGTCGGTTCGAGTCCGACATAATCACCCCACCGGTGGGTGATATCCGAGGGGATTTCCGCACAGTAAAATAAAAAGGGGTACGCCTGCGTATGGCTACTCCCTACCGTGTTACTCTATGCAAAATACTAACAGTACAGAACATTATAAAAAAACATCTGGTGCTTCGGATTTGTAACATTTCAAAATTATTCATTAATGTAAAAATATTTTGTTTGATGGGTACGCACGTACGTATTGTTACTTGATCTTGCGTATAAGGCGATTTTAACCAGGACGAGACTCAGGTATTTAAGTAGGCTTATTCTGAGAGTTAGATTGTGTGACTCTAGCTTTGTATGTAAGCTGTTCCCTGGAGACCCATAACCTGTCCTGATCGAAGTCAGATTCCTTAAACTATTGTCATATAAAAAGATTTTTGTAGGAAGAAAATACATGAAATTCTCGCTTAAACTTAAAATCGCCTAAAAAATGTTAAATGGGACTACGAGTATTTACTGACGTCGTAAAGGGTTTGGAAGAAACAACAAACATATTTAAATATTCCGAAAACTCACTGGCACGTAAGTAGTCCGTGTGTGTCATCGTCGGTATCGAACTTGTTGCACGCACACAAAATGCGCGTGTCTGTGGAGTCGGAAATGCTCTTCAGAGCTGAGCCTGCAATAGCGTCACGTACGTCAATGGAAATATAATAGTCTAGGTCTCCATCCTACTTTTAAGCATTTCAAGAGTAGTTTGAATGAAAACTATAATTATTAAGGCTATGGTTGTTTGAAAATATATAAAAAGTATTTACTCCTGCGGGAAGGAGTAACTACGGATACTACTTTAATGCATGTATTGGGAAACACACGATATTTCTTTCGAATATTAGCAGTATCATGAACATAAATAAAAATGAATGGATAAATATGTTGCTAAGTGCAAAACTATTAAAATTGTGAGCCGATTTGGCAATTTTTTTTATATACATTTTAATTAGTAAGTGAATGCATTAAAATTAATTATATTTATAATTTCATAACATTTACGTTTAAATTAAAATTTTTAGTCGAAAAAAAATGTTTTAAAAGTTGCTGGGAAACTTGTGCAAAACATCTTATGAATATTTTGACGAGACAAAGTCTGTTGGGACAGCAAGTATTTCATATCCGATATATCAACGGCAAACGAGCAAACGGATCACCTGTCACCTGATGGTAAGTGACTACCGCCGCCCCTGGACACCTGCAATCCAGTCACAACACAAGTGCCTTTTGAGTCTTCCCCACACCCCTCGGAAACAGGGGGAGGGGAGGTTTGCACTCCAGTGACCTCACTCAATCGGTGAACACCAACGAAAGAATTGCCTCATCCTGATATTTTGCAGCCGGCCCAGTATTTTTACTACATAATAGATTTAATAGACCTCTATTAAAATAGTCTAGTGGTCTTTGTCAAGATATTTCTGGCAATCAAAATATTTTTTTAGCAGTAAATATTTTTTAGACTTCGACGAATGAAACTCACCATCAAAATCGTAGCGGTCCTCTTGGGAAATAACTGGCACATTTTGTGATGGCTGAAAATATTGAAGTATTTTAAGATCTTCTGGAATGGAAGCATCCTAAAATAACTTACGTACTACATGGTCAATGTGCTTTTAAAAGCTCACCTTGCAAAAAAAAACAATTTATTAAGCTTAGTAATCAATATGTGTGTATATTTTTCTAGATTAAAGATAGATTCAACACTTCTATAATTTTTCCCTATTTTAAAGAATTTTTTCAACAACTGGTATAATTTATGCACGCACATTTGGAAAACAGAATAATGTGACGTGAGTGAATAGGGTACAGGCAAGGAGAATCATCTCTGTGTATGAAAAATGCCCGTAAAAACGCCTAGACTAAATTTATATTGGCTTAAATAATAATTAGACACTGTGTACTAGACTGCGAAAATAGTCAATAAGTTTTACAGACAATAAATAAACGTGTGACAATAAAGTAATAGAAGATTCTATTCTTTTTACATGAATTGCGCAACTAAATTTTAACATTACCCATTGTAATGTTAGAAAAAATGTTTCCACGTACGGTATTAATGCTGCGGAGATTTAGGTTCGTCTAAATGTTGTAATAATGTTGTTCCTTTAGTTTGTTACCAAATAATGGGTGAGCACTCAATTAGCACTTAATTATATGGCATTAATAAAGTCCGTGTGGTGACGGATTAAGAATACAGAGTGTCACCACCCCTATTCATTCCGTGGGTATCGTAAGAGCCGACAACAGCACTGCAAAGAGAAGGAAAACTTAAAACAAACCCTATCCGTCTGGCGTGGTATAGTAGGCCAAAACCCTAGGAGAGGCCTATGTCCAGTAGTGGACTATTAAAGGCTGTTGATGATGAATAAAGTCAGAACATAATTAGTTAGTTAAGTATGTATAATGTTTGTGGTTAGGAATCCTCTTAATCGTAAATAACCCTACCTCACTTTTTAAATAAATACCGCAGGAGCACCTTATTAGCACTTAACATAATTAATAGTTAGTGAAGACAGCAACAAAATGTTTCCAAGATTTAATCTTAATCCTGTAGTGATCATCGATCTTTTAAACGGTCATAACAATGTATTGCTGATGTTTTCTTTCACATACCAGTGAGCACTTAATTAGCACCTAATTCAGGAACGTCATAAATCTTTGTTTGATCACAAGTTTCGTTTTTTTTTTAATTATAATATAGTAATTTTGGAATCAGGTATCTCTCTAACTTTTTCTTCTTTTATGTTCAACTGAATCATTTCTGGTTTTCGAAAGCACTTAAGCAAGTTTAGTACTTAATTATTAATTTCATCATATACTTGATTTGAACATCATTTTAACTTTTGGAAGACTTGATTAGTACTTTTGTTTTGTTAAAATAGTGGAGGAACGTGTGGCATGTCCCTCCAACACAAAGGAAGGATCCTCCGATCAGGCGAGGTGATCATGCCTGGCGGGCCGCGGCCCAACAGTTGATGTTGGGAAGTTGTATATATGCTAATCTGCGAGAGAAGTCTTCATATCGCGATACAGGATTCATCATCATCATCACATCAACAGCCTTTAATAGTCCACTGCTGGAGATAGGCCTCACCTTAGAAAGGAGGTCCTAGCCTACTATATCATGCTGGCCAGACGGGTTGGAATAGGGTTTGTGTCAAGTTTTCCTTCTCTTTGCAGTGCTGTTTTATTTTTCTTGTCTTTGTTGCTGACGTAACAAATAAAAAAATACAACCAAATTTAATGATAAACCGACGCTTTTCGACGTGCGTCGCTGCGTCGGTTAAAATATTCAACATCATTGTTCTACAAAATAGTTGGTAATTTTCTTAAAATGCTATGTTATTTGAATAAAGCCTGTGATGTTTTGCCAAAGATTTAAATGTACACCGACTTTAATCTAAGAGATTTATTAAATTTTTGAACATCTTTGTGCTATGATCGAAAAACGAGGTCAAGAGGGAAAAGAACGAAGAATCATCGAAACTTACTATAGCTTCATGACTAGATCCGATGCTCGACCTGATGTAACAACGAGTGGTCAACTTGTGGAACGGAGTCTCCACATACCCTAACTTCACACTTTCAGGGAGGGTCGGCTCTAAGTGGTCCTGATTTTCTTCTGTGCTTAGAAAACCTGGGGCTTGGTAGCCTTCAGGGGCATCTATAATATGGTTTTTAGAAATTACCAATTGAAGTATATACTATACTTGGTTTCCTTGTTATTAACAACTTCTAACCAAACAAAATTAAATGCATACTTGATACCTTCACCCGTTCTAAATCAATTTTATATAACTAATGTTTTTTTCTTTGAATAATTGGTGTACAATTTAAAAAATGCATTAAAAATGTTTAAATAAAAATAATAATTTTACAATCATGTGTGATGTGAGCAATATATTCCACGGTGTGTTATATACACACACAGTGAAAAAGGAGTAACTTTAAAAAAAAGTATCACGGACTTCAAAGTAGATCATGATGGAATCCTAAAAAACAAAATTCTTTATTCCTTAATTCTCCTTCCTTATAGGTGATATACCTTATTCAAATTTGATTGGGATAAACGAAAAGTATACCCTTCCAAATAAATAAAGAATTCTTCGAAATCGTTTCATAAATGACTCAGTTTAAACTACCTTAACATATAAAAAAAAAACGTATTGAGAACGTTCTTTTCTTTCATTCGCCTAAAGAACATGTGGGTACTATATAAATCGCAATAATTAAAAATATATATAATCTCACTCACCTTCATTGTAATACAACCGTAAACTGACGTCATAGGATTCAGGAAGCTCATCCTGGCAGGATTGCATGATCACCACACATGCCCTGATCATAAGCACTGTCCTCTCTCTAACATTGTCAAAGGAATATCGCGTCGACTGTTGGTTCTTACCCCTTCCCTTTGAATGAACGTTCATAGTTACCCCATCAGAATTGTAGTTATATTCAAAAATGTGATATTCGACGAGATTATCAATTTTGCATTCACCATCATAGAAACATAGAACCATTTGGTGAAGCTAAAATTAAAGTTATAAAAATACTGTAAACATGCAGGAAGAGATCTCTAGAGATGAATAATAGAAAGATTAGTGAATTTTATAAATTCAGATGTTCGATGCACGCAGACTCTTCTGGCAATAGGTCTGGTGTCGGAGACACCGCGTAGCAGTCCGTTAGACTCCAGAATAATCGCCATACGTTCATTAGACTTGCCTTGCAAATAGTTTTTGGAGTTTACTCATTAAGAATCAATTGTCATATAAGGCGCCCGGTATGAAATATTTGACGAGTAAATTTAATGATCGAATGACCTCGTTATGTTTTTTTAGTTCTAAATTTAATTTATAAATAATGGTTCAATTATTTACTTTTAAGTGGTTGTAATTATATTTTTTTGTTCTCTAATTGCAATTTTTTTCAGTTTAGTGAGTAGTCAACTACAAAATTTAAATTGTTTGAAAACGGCATAAACCCCAAAATAAATGGCACTTAATACGAGACTTCTAATTATTTTACTAACATTTAAATACATGGCGCTGATCAGTAAATTTGTACGTACACAGGGTATGCGTTCTTAAGGAGTAAACTCCAGTAGGAGCTGACACAAACACTTTTCTTAGTAATTTTACTCAGTAAATAAATCCAAAATAACATATTAAGAACGAGAACTTCTTCCCTACTGACCAGATACTGTGTTAGGATTAGACATGGGACAAAATCACAGTGAAAGGTGATTTAACATTCGATTTTTGCGTAAGTAGGTTAGGGTTGCTAGGTAGCTTAAACACTATTTAACAGTAAATCTAGTATTTTCTAATCATTATGCAGGGAATGGTAGCTATATATTAAAAAAAAATAACTAGACTAAAAAAAAAATACTCTTAATTAGGCGAAATAGGGTGTTTATGCCTCGTCTGAAAACAGCTTATTGGCAACAACGCGTAAGTAGTAACCCTAACCTACGTACGTAAAAATAGAATGATAAATCACCATTCATTCACAGTTCACTGCGATATAGTCCCATCTATAGTTAGGATGAAAAGCCATGCCGAATGAATTAATATTTAAATTTTCGCCAAAATGATCATTGCAAGATGCAGTCGGCAAATGGATCTGCCGTCTTTCTTTGCAAATGTCAGATCGGCAATAGCTACAGCGAAACCTGAACTAAACTATAAAATTATTAGGACAGAAGCTTCTTACATATTTTTTATCAAATGCCTCAAAAGCTTGCGACATTGCTGTACTAACGAACTGAGCTAGGTCGTGGTTAGGTTTCTTCTTTAATATCCTTAGCCGAATACCGCTAAAGTTCTCAACCGTGTAACTATCTTCGGGGAAAACATTCTTCATATATGTTATCGTGCTAACAGCTACTACAGTCAGTTGCTTCATAAAAGTGACTGAACTCGTGTAAGTCTCTGTTACTTGACGAGGGAAGATTTTTACCCACTCGGCTACTGCCTGATGAGAAAAACATTTTATACAATACCATAAGTTAATAATTCTATTAATTATTAGAAATGGAGACCAATTGAATGTAAACAAAATTTTAAACATTATTTTTTAATTTTATTGAAAACTGCCTGCCCTTCTTCCATGAAAAATCTTAATAGCCGAAGCGATGGGCCGCTTGGTCTAGTGGTTATTAAAACCCAGGTCAAATAATGGTTTGATAAGCACGATCATTTGTTTGTGTCTAGGTGTAATTTACAGATTTTGCGTAGTCTGGGATTAGACAGCCGTATGTGAGAAGTATTATTATAAGTATAATTTTTTAGCGTCCGAGATTTTCAGTTATCTTTTATGTAACTCGGTTTCATCTATGTGTCTCGGATTCAATGCTCTCAAGCGGAAATAGTAGAGATACAGATAAGTGAGGCTTGTAGTGGTCATTAATATTAATGGTCATAGAATCTGATTTACAATAGAATGGTTATGGTTGCTGTAATTCAAATTAAATGGTGCACTCAAACTTTTTTTTTGCAATTATCACTGTCATGGCGTCCCATTAAATAACCTGTTAAAGACTATTCTCTAAAATATTTTATAATGTTAACTGCTTAATATTAAATACCAATAATAGAGAATAAAAATATCAGGTTTAGAGCTAAACGAGAATTATACTATGTATTCTTTATTAAAACAAACATCTACTCTTTATGCGTGATATTAACACTATATTTAATTAAAGTACATAAAATTTTCTAACGGGGCAGTCGTGTAAAACCATTTTTGTTATTGTTCCATTCTCATTTCCGATAAATTCTTAACTTTTACTTTACACCTATTGGTTTTTACTTAAGCCATTAGCAGACGTCGATTATTTTCAACGTTCATATTCATATTCAATATACCTACCTATTATTTTTCTAAAACAGAACCTAAGTGTGTGGCGTTTTACTCGTCAAAACAAGGTAATTAATTGTTTGCTCACCTGCGAAGTAAAGGTTGCTGTCGCTGACATATCTGTGTTATTTATATCAATAAGTTTTGAGCTCCTAAAATAGGTAGTTATATAATTAGAACTTAAGCTAAAACTTTGGTTTCCCGCCCGCTTTTGTTTTAGCGCATGCGCACTTGTTAGCTTCCGGGCATAGACGAAAATATATATGACAGATGGATAACTGATGTTCGATTAGGTGGGTTACTTTATTTCAAAGTATTGATATGTATCACAATATTTATTTACATTTTTTGCATTATTATTATCCACACAGTGTGTAAAGTACTGAATATTTCTGCATTAGATTTTATTCCTTCATTTTAAACCGTTCAGGAAGCGCATTCCATATTATAGATTTTTTGTCGACTTCAATTACATTTATTGTAGGTAATTGATTTTGAGAATTTATAATTTCCAAAAATAAAGTACTCTATATAAAGTACTCACTCTAATATACCTTTCTAACATTGAATGAATTTTCAGAATCGGATCAGTAGTACCGGAGATTACCCCGAATATTCAAACTCACAAACTTTCCCCTGAATAATTTTAGTATGGATATTAAAATATTAAGTCGGTTTATGTAACGAACGGACGAACTTCGGAAAATTAAAAAAGTTCTTCACCCTTTGAACTCAAATGACACGATATACAAACCGCTTCAAAGCTTGTTTTTATCTATTTGTATCTATTTCTCATTAAGGCAACCACAATCTGCTACAGTGCAGTTAGTATTACATAATAATCAATAGAATATGTTTGAAGAATGTGCAATTTGAAAACTTTTTCGCTAACAATCAAAATCAAACTCAAATTATCTTTATTGCATAAAACTTTTGAACGTATTTGAAATCGTCTCTTGTGTAGATTATTAAGTCATAGATCAACACACACAATAGCAACAATCTTTGATTTATCAAATATTAAGCAAAAAGTCTCTTATATGTCTGTGCCGATCTATCTATCTATCTAAGCAGCCGATTGCACCTACTGCTGGGTAAAGGCCTCTTCTATATCACGCAACTCGTGGCGGTTTTATGCTAGCCGGATCCATTGCTCTCCTGCCGCCTCTCACAATGTCGTCTGACCGTCGCCGGTCGGGCAGGTGATCTGCCTCGATCTACAACCGCCCATTTCCAAGGGGTTTCTATTTGATGAATCGATGTTTATTGCGCTTTTTAAAATTATTTTAGTCCATATTTACCTACCTACACGTAAATTAGAACTTTTCTGCTTAGATTTTAACAGTAACAGTGCTTCTTTATAAAACTTAAACGATAAACAACAGTCATATTATACGAGGTACTTCCCAATGCTTGAATAATATTGTTTTATTAACGCCAGTTAGTCTTATGTTTGGATATGTGGGTGTAAATATCACAAAAAAATAAAATTATTTATTTCATGTAAAATGCCTATTCTATAATTCAAATTACTTAATTTTAGAAATGTTATGAGTAGCATTTAGCGAAAAACTGATACAAAAGCCTTGTCAGAACGAACACGTTGGAACAAGGAGGTTCTAAGATTTTCTGTAAATTACGAAAAAAAAACTAATTCTTTATTTAAACTGTTGACATAGTTTAAAACAAGTGATGAAATGAGAAAATCTAAAATAATTTTGAATGGTTTATTGTAAAAAGTTCAAAGGGTTTTTTTGATATTATAAATCACAATGCTGTGCCCAGAAGCTTGTCAGATTCAAAATGGAAATCCACCTAAAGAAGATGAAGATTCATGGAAAAATAAAAGTAAGAAAATGCCAATTGAAGGTACAGGGAGTCTAGAATTAAACTCGTACAAAAATCCAAAAACTTGGAAGAAATCTATATCGAACTTCTTTCGCAATCAAATTCGCCCAACTAAATCTAATGATGTAAGTTTCCTATGATTATTTAACTATAATTTTAACTTTATTGCTTTTACAACAGTTCGAAATTTTATTATTATTGTACCTGTCAAAACTATTGCTGACTTATTCGTACATTTAATTACTTAATTTTAATTTCTAGGGCGATCGACCTTCAGGAAGCAAAGAACAGTTTGAGGATAAAGAAATAAGCCCAGAGCAAAAATGGCAGTCTCTAGGGAAAATATTTAAACGTCAAAGTTTGGAATATTGGAGTAAGTCGCCAAGCTCACAAGGAGAGTGTTCATCTTCGAGCAAACGTATGCCCGTGAAAAAAGTTTTGTCAAGCTACTTCGGAAAAAGAAATTCGTCTGTTGCTAACAAACAAAATGGAGTAATTGATTGAATCTATAAAGATTATTTCAAATTACAGACAGCGAGTCGTATGGAATCCCAGTTATATCTATTGCTGATACGACAGACCACAGACCCGGTGTCTATAATTTGTGAATTATGCAAGTTACTGAAAATTAAATATAATACTTTTTCTTAATGTTTTTATTAATCCACAACTTATTTAAGGGATAAAGAGTACGTTACCGTAATATTTCAGTGAATCTAGCAATCTAGTATATTGAGCCATGAGAACCAACGTTAAATACCAGATTTCTTATAGCTACTTACTATTTTTGTTCAAACCCGTACTCCCATACTTTTATTATAAGTGTGAGTGTTTCTGAATAGGTCTGCTTTAATCTGGTTGGATTCTGAGTAGGTCAGTTTTTGCAAGTGTCAACTGGATCGATTTGATCACAATTGAGGTGCCAGCGTGTGGACCACGATGGCGCCCATCACATAAGAGTGCCTCGGTCACCTCGCCGCTTCCTCGCTCGCTTGAGTGTTGTTCGTTAGATCTCCCCATGGTTGGGTGGGTGTTCTGTGTCCGTTTCAAATAAGTCCCCCGCGACATCGAAAATATTCCTAGGGCGGGAGTTCTTCACCTCTCGGGCTGTAACCCGTACCCTTACCCTCGGCCGGGCTGTAATCGGCATAACAAATTACGCTCAGCCCAAGGGGTGGGGGAGTCTCCTCTAAGGCCCAAGTCGTACCCTATGTTCCACAGGAGGGTTCCAAGAACAGACCCTTGTGGAATACTGCACGTCAAGACGGCTCCTCAGATATAAATCTTAGTTCTCATACATGACGGTACGTTCCTCTAAGTAGTCTGCCACTAGCCACCTAAGGTACTCTAACACACCTGGCCTGGCCTCGTTGATGTAGCTGAATGGCAAGCTATTGAATGCGTTGGCGATGTCCTACGATACCGCCAAGCACGCCGCTATAGCTTGTGGAGAAACGTGTGTCGTGTCCTTCCAACACAAGGGGAGAATCATCCGACCAGGCGAGGTGATCATGTGTGGCGGGCCGCGGCCCAACTGTTAATGTTGGGCAGTTGTATATTTGCTAATCGCCGAGAGAATTCTTCATATCGCGATACAGGTTTAGCCATTCTCATTCAGTAGTTACTCCGTAGTTCGGTGTGTCTTCGTTCGATGGCGCTGTAGTATGTTAGTTTCTTCGTATGTGGGAGCTGCCACAAGCTCACTACCTCTTCTATCACGATACTGAAGCGTAACAAAACGCCGATCGTCGAACGCCCCGCTCGAAAACCGAATTGGACGGTCGACAGATAGGGGCCCACTTCGCAGAGGTGCCGGACAATGAGGGCAAAGAGAATCCTCTCAATTAATTTACCCGCTTTGTCCAGCAACATAATGGGCTTGCAGGCTTCGACCGAATTGGCAGACTGTCCCGGCTTCGTTATCAAGACCAGCTTCCCGCTCTTCAAGCACTCAGGGAAACGTTCAGACGCCAAGCTAGCGACGAACACCTCCCTAGGGGGGTCCGACATGGGTTAGAGTGCTAAAACCAGCACTCGGGCAGGTATCGCGGCTGTTCCGGGGTACTGTGTTCTTGGAATGAATCCGTAAAACAGCGCCCCTACCTTCGCATCCGTAAGGAGTGGAACATCATCCATGTTATTCCCGTTGTTTTTGGCAAAGGAGGCCATCCACGGGGGTGCCACCACTTCCTGCTTCCTGCTGGGCTGGAAAGTCCCCGAACGCGGAACTTTTGTCTCACCGCGCGATAAGGGCGGCCGACTCACGATCGAGATCCTCATGCATCTCCATTAGGTTTGGACAACCCTGAACTTGGGTAATGAATTGAGAGTCCGAATGTCTTAATAACCGTAAAAATGTTCCCGGATGCCTCCTATTTCAGGCATAGAGTAGTACATCGTAAGGTTTTAGTCGATTCAATTCCGACACACTGCCCCGCCGCGTTTCTAGTAAAAAAAGATTATTGAATTGCAGAGGTTAGTAGGGACGGCAACAATTTAATAGCCTACAGGCAGCAAGTACGTAGATCCGCAACTGACCAGACCTGAGAAAGCTATAGTGAATAACACCATGAAGAGACCACCAAACAGTCACCATTACCTTATTGGTAAGCTTGGGCACTGTTGCGGCGTTTGAACTGGGGTCAGCCATTGCATTTTTCGATTACCGTTATCGTAAACAACCCGCTTTTTGTCACACGTCACAATTTGATCCAATATTCCTTCATTTCTGTACCGATTAAACAAGGCAACACAAGTTTCGACACGCATTTCTTTCTGCAGATCAGTCAAATCATGAGGCACCCATTTTTTTATTTATTTTTTTATGTTATCGATTTGATACAAATGAGTCAATATTGTAGATAGGGTAACGTTAAACCATGTCGCTAATTCCTGGGTAGTTTGATTTGGATCGGCTTCCACCATCTCCTTCAATTCAGCGTAATTCACGTGTTTGAGTCAGTCTAACTAAGCTGAATAAAAAAAGAATTGAAAGCACATTTTTTAAAAGAAGAATTTCATAGCTATCATATGAAAATAGTTTTACACGTTAATCTCATACCATGAAGGTTTGGAGAGAAGTATAATAAAACACCTCGGCTTTTTTCTTTTGTGTGATGTATGGTTGTTGGCCTCAGATGGCCTCGACAACCTTGCACGGGCTTTTGGTGAGCGCGGAGGGCTCTCAACCGGTCTTAATTATTTAACATCGCCCAAGGGCAACCTAGGCAAACTAACAAACTAGGGCGACTAAGATCCACATTTAAAAGTTAACGCAGGGACGGAATCGCTGACGATTTGTGGTTTTTTAGAAGATAGAAATCAAATAACACAAATAAATTCAGTAATCTTCAAATCTAAAACTGAGGAAGCATATTCATCGAGTGCTAGAAAAATTAAATACGGCGTGCCACAGGGAAGTGTTTTGGGCCCATAACTTTTTCTCTGTTACATAAACGATTTTCCTAAAACTACGAAACATAAAATGTCTTTATTTGCCAATGATAGTATTTAAACACTAGTATTGTAGACTTTATAAACTTCCTAAATGCTATTAACCTAAAAATCAAACAAAATTTATGAATGACAAAAATGGAAATCAAAAGTACACATCTCATATAAAGAAGAAATCGTAGAAGAAAGTATAGTAACAAAATTTTTAGGGCTTTATATTGATAATGACATGTCATGGAAAACTCAAATTAATTTTGTGCGTAATAAATTAAATAAATTTTCTTATGCTTTATAATATATGCTATCAAAAGTAACCAATGAAAATGCACTTCTTGCCGCTTATCACGGCTAAGTGTCATCGACCTAAAGGTTCGGTATAATGTTTTGGGGTAATGCCACAAATACGCAAGACGTGTTTACAGCTCTGCGTTTACAGCTCTCAGCTCTCTACTGATACATGTAAGCCAAACTTACGTAAACTAAGACTTTTGACATTTCCATATACTCGTATGTATATTTATGAAGTCTGCATGTTTGTGAAAAATAATATTTCTCTATTTTCTTTTAAAGAAAGTCAACGTCGCTCTGACCAATTGCACTTATTAAAGGCCAGAACAGCACCTCTACATAAAAGTGTTCACTCAATGTTGCTGCCATTGCGTAAACACTTTTGTACAATCATTTACCTAAACAAATCAGATCCCGTAAAAATATCAATGAACTTAAAAACAATCTCTTAAAATGACTTTTTAACAAAGCACACTAAGTACTCCACGATAGATTTTCTGAATAATAAATTTTGATTTAAATTAGTTATGTATAAAATTTGGTATTTACAATTAAGTATTTGTATTTTGACATTTTAATTATTTTCAATTTTTATTTTTTTATTTTTTTTTTACATTTTCGATTATTCAATATGTTGACATTTTTTATTGTTAATTATTTGACATATTGAGTTGGACATTTTTAATTATTTTAACATTTTTTTCCAATTAATCGTCATTTATCAATCATCATCATCATCAGCCTATCGCAGTCCACCGCTGGACATAGGCCTCTCCCATTGCACGCCTCTTAGATCGACTTTTTGTTTCTCGCATCCAGGTCCTGCCAGCCATCTTGCGCAAATCGTCACTCCACCTGGCCTGGCGTCCTACACTACGTTTGCCGAGACGCGGTCTCCACTCAAGAACTCGTTTTCCCCATCGGTTGTCGGTTCTGCTGCTAATATGGCCATCACACTGCCACTTCAGCTTGCTGATCCGATAGGCTATGTCTATATATTATTTAATTAAGAAATCAAATCAACGTCTATTTTTGTTGAATTCAATAAGTATGTGATTACAGGAATTTAAACAGTTGTAACAGGAACAATGAATTACTTTTATTGTTTTGTATGCCTGTTGGCGAAATATGGCGATCTTTTAAATATGGTTTGGAACATCTGAATTTACCTGTGTTTTACTAAATAAATGATTGATTGATTGATTGAATTGTCGGTTGCCTCAGAGCGCTGAACGAGGTCGGTGTCGCTGTCGCGTCGCTAACAGCTGTGAAGCCTAAATTGTACTCAAATAAATTAGATGTAGAAATAGATTTCTGAAAAAACCATTTAGTAGAAAAATGGTGAAGACATTCTTTTCTTCACATTAGTAATGATAATTTTTCTATTTCGCTTACTGCTGTTTTTATGCAAATAAAAGTTTACCTAATTTTGTTATCGAAAAACAGTGCTGTCAGTAGACTCAGCAGTCTTGCAAATTTCTATAATTTTGTATTGTATGTGTTCGTGGTTGTACATTTAGATAAGCATTTAGTCAAGTTACTAGTGATTAGCTAGAGGGCATAATTTTTATTTTGATTAATTGTTATTATTCACGACTTTGACCACATCTACAGATTTTTAATCCAAGGCGATTCCTTAAAGAAAATGTCTTTGACATTTTGAGAAATGATCAATGATGCCATCTTACTGTTTTACCCTTATTCGGGGATTTCATTTCTGATTATTCCTATAAGTGTCACAACTAAAGGACCTTTATTTATTTAAAATTTATATGTAGATATTCCAGTATATTCATATATATAACAAAAATTATAATAGCTTTGAAGTGACATCAATCTGAACTTAAATAACCTAAAACGAAAACCGGGCGTCGTATATGGTATGGTATATGGGAGAACGAGATTGGGTAACACCAATACCTACAGTTTCATTCGGCTGTTCTGTTCAGTACGGAGTTCATTTTCTGCTTATTTTTAAGTGACACATTTTTCCTACAATTGGTTTCATTTACATATTCAACATTGCATTAATTTTTAAGTTTGAAATTATCTTAAGTTGTCAGTTTCCATATATAATGTTGTATGTGTGTACGCCCTTGAAAATAGAGTTTAAAAACTACTAAGGATCAGCATAGCAACAGCACTTCGATACATATAATTCTTCATTAGAAGAATATTGGAAGTATATAGTCCCTTTTTGCGGTAAGTCTAATGTTTTATTATTAATTATAGTTCGGATATACCTAATATTCATTGAAGACAGTTCTTTCTCTGTTTTCTTTGTGCTTTGGTCCAGTGTGTAGTGAATGTACACAGTGTAGTAGTACTAGGGTTAGCACGCGGCGATTCCCGCAAGTAAATAAAAATTGGCAATGGTTACTCATTAATTGGCAAAAAATATGAATTCACATAAAATATAATACTCTGCAATCAAGTTTGTTGTAAATGTGAGAGTCAAGATATGTTTGGTATTTCTAAAGAATGTGTGTCCAAATAAAATTCTATCAGAAACATCATCTGAGGTTGGAACTTATTATTTGTCTCAGAAGTTGGATAAACTTCTCTATACCTTGAATAAATCAATACTTCTATAGTTCATTGAGACAAAGGAAACACTTAGAAACAGACAACTTAGCCTCATAAAAAAAGAAAAAAAACTGTTATTAATATTGAAATGATATAATTATTGTAATCACATCCCCTGTAAATGTAAAAACTATTTACTAACTGTAAATCATCTTTATTGAAAATATATTTAGTATTATTCAACAAATATTGCTAGAAATAATATTGTTTTATCATCATCATCAGCCTATAGCAGTCCACTGCTGGACATAGGCCTCTCCCATTGTTAATATTGTTTACATTAGTTGAATTCATTAATGTACATAGGAAATAACAGTGAAGATTTTTCAATTTCTTTTAAAGAGTATTATACTTGGAGAAGAGAAATATAAGTTTTATTAGTATCTAACTTAACACAGCTTAATACATTCATAATTTAATTTTTTTAAGTGAATACCAGTTCAACATAATATGTATATACCCAGTTCATACATCAAAATATTTTTAAAGTCCAACCGAGACCTAACAGATAATGTTACTCAGAGTAAAGTTAATATGGGACATCATAAGACTGTAGGTTTCTTTCTATCTTTGATTCAAGTAATTTGTAAAATTAATTCACTTTCTCTCTAATGAGTTAACACTTGTTAACTTAGTTTAGTTTACGTAGTTGATTCCTGTAATTTCAGGTCAAAGTACATATTTTGTGTCAGTGTGATTGAAAGCGAGCTACCTTAATTTTATTATCATTATTAATCAGTACATGGGTCTCTACCTCTGCCTCCATGCCATGCATGTTGGCCATGTTGCCATCCATAGCACCTATATCAGAAACTTTGTTTTGCATGACTGTAACACACAAGATATTTTAGATTGATATTCTGTCAGTGATTTCCTTTGCACTGTGATGGATTGTGCTATTTCTAAACTGAGTTGAGTCAACAAGTTGAATGCATTGATTCACAGCCTAGTATTTTACCCTGCATTTTACCTTCATGCTACTTTACCCTTCAGCATTAGAGACAATGGTTTAGTTTTCTATGCACAAAATGTATTATTTCTATAGCAGTTTATACAATATAAATAAGAGTATTAAAATAAAGCCTGATGAAAGTTTTGAAGAAAAATTCTCAGATTTAATTATGAAGTAGAGATACCTGGAGGTTGAATTTCAACCGTTATGAGTCTTGTGTTATTTTAATGGTTGGTATTTATTTTAATACTCAGTATAACTTGAACTGTCATTATATAGACTATTTTACCATGACAAATGTAAATATGTACTATAGTGCTATGTTGCCATTCTTACTGTGTTATGGTGTTAATTTTATAGCACATATTGTTGAAAAAATTTTGCTTTGTACACATCTACATAAACATGAAAGATTTCAAATATGAAATGCTTCTATGTACGATATAGTGTTCTACAAGCAATTCTTGTAAATATATATATATATATAAACTGAATCTCGGAAACGGCTCCAACGATTTTCATGAAATTTAGTATGCAGGGTGTTTCGAGGGTGATTAATCTAAAAATATACAGAGACAAGCATGGTCATCAAGGTACTTATCACATTTGTCATCTTTTACAACTTTTGTATAACACAATAATAAACATAAACCAATGTTTCCTTCAGTTAGAACAAACAAGGATACATTGTGAAAATTTGTTGAATAAAACTTCTATTCTAATGGCATGGAGTAAATTATAACAATCAATGTATTGATTGTTCCTATATTGTTTATTATATATTTAAATAATTCCTACGTAATATTGTTATGGCTATACAATTAAACTCTAGGGCTCTCATGGACCTCCATGAGAGCTCTAGAGTTAAATTAAATAAAAAATAAAGACTCCTTATTTTATCCCAATACATGTGGGTGTCATAAGAGTCTATTAAGAAAGCAAACTATGCAGGACAATAGCACTGCAAAGAGAAGGAAAACTTAACTAGTAGGCCAAAACCTCCTTTAAGGAGAGGCCTATGTCCAGCAGTGGACTATTAAAGGCTGTTGATGTGATGTGAACCAAAATAGATATAATGCCCTTTAGCTAATTACTAGTAAATTGACTATATGCTTATTTAAATCTATGACCAAATACAAAAATTATACAAATTTACAAGACTACTGATGGTACTGTTTTTCGATGACAAATTTAGGTAATCTTTAATTTGCATAAAAACAGCAGTGTATTAAACACTAATGTCTAAAGAAATTAAAGACCAAGAACTATTCTGCCTACCTGACTCCCTGCACTGCTTAGAAAAATTAAAGTTTATTGTAATTTATGAATTTAAATGTATCTTCAACATTTTGTGTACATTCTTTGTGGGAAATCCTTAAATAAATTTAAAAAAAGTGATATTAAACAAACTAAGAATTGGACATCATGCATGATGTCATCTTCTAAGTTTAAAACTCTAGTTTTAACAATAATAGCAAATGATCACAAACTAAGCAGAGCCTATACCGGTACCAGATATTGATGCATATTATAGATAAGTTATATAGAGACACCAAACAAATTATTATCCTTTTTATACAATGGTTTATCCAGTGTTGAACTCACGAACTCTAGCTCAGCAGTCAGAATTACTATCCAGTAGATCAATGATTCCCAAAGTGGTTGATATTCACCCCCTTTGGAGTCGAAATTGGTTTTCCAGGGGTCTACATAAAAGAAAACTAATTTTGGGGGTCAACAGGGTCTAAAATCCCCCCCCCCCCTCATTAATTAAGACAGGTTCTTATTTGAAACTTTCAAGAAGCTGTATTAGTTGTACTATGTGTTAGTTGTACCAACTTGTCATAAGGATGACTAATATTTTAGTAGGAAATATTATTGTTGTATTTCTTTAAAGCTGAGTTTAAAAAAAATACAGTTTAAAAAATATAATAATAAGGCAATAAGCATGCAGTAATTTGACTAAGGGAGTCTGAGGTAGCAGTTCATTTTAGAAAAGGGTCTCTTGCCCAAAATAGTTTGAGAATCCCTGCACCAGACTAACAGACTTGTCAAAACTTTTTTATGGTTTTGTTACATTCTGAATACTTTAACTGGAAGTCCTGTATAATCCAATAAATCTCCTTAAATGTAAACTTTTTTTTCAGATGATTAATGAGGACATTTATCGGGGAAGTTGGAGGCCAAACAAACATCCAGTGATTTAGTGTAGTACAAATTTGTAAGTATCGAAGTGGTGTTTTTGTTTAATATAAGATGATCACACGAAGATGGTTTCACCCAGCACTATCAGGAGTGGAAGCGGAAAGAATACTCATGGAAAAAGGTCACGACGGCTGCTTCTTAGCACGGCCAAGCATGAGTAAAAGAGGGGACTTTACTCTTTCCGTGCGTCGAGGTACTGATATAACTCACATCAAAATACAGAATAATGGCGAGTTCCTCGACCTCTATGGCGGTGAAAAGTTTGCCACGTTGTCTGAACTCGTTCAGCACTACATGGACAATCAGTGTCAACTCCGGGAAAAGAATGGTAACATTATCAAGTTGAAAACTCCACTTAACTGTGCCGACCCTACGACCGAGCGCTGGTACCATGGACAACTTACTGCCAAGGAAGCCGAGAGGATCATGTTAGAAAACGGGAAAAACGGTTCATTCCTTGTTCGAGAGTCACAGCGGCAGCCTGGCGATTATGTGCTATCGGTGCGGACGCGTGATAGGGTAACACATGTTATCCTCCGTAAGCAGGACGATAAGTACGACGTCGGTGGTGGCCAGCAGTTCAACGATTTGGTTAGTCTCATAGATCATTATCGTAACTTTCCCATGGTTGAGACCACAGGCGAGGTTTTACGGTTAATACAGCCATTCAATGCCACACGTATCCAAGTTAGACATTTCCACACTCGGGTAAAACAACTTCAAAAAGAAAACGAAGGACCTATTGAGAGTATGGCGTATAAAGCAGGATTTTGGGAAGAATTTGAAACATTACAAATGATGGAAAACTTACAATTATTTGATAGAATGGAGGGATCTAAACCCGAGAACATAAGAAAAAATAGATACAAGAATATAATTCCGTTTGATCGAACTCGAGTAATCTTGAGGGACATACCTCCAGACGCCCCACCCGGTTCTGACTACATAAACGCTAATTATATTCGCTGCGACTGTTACGATCTGAGCCCCGATCACGACACTGATAGTGGTAATTTTGAAAACGGATCTTTAAGTAGGGACGGCACGCCTTCTAAAAATAAAGAAAAGTCTTCTCCACAACACACCCTCGTAGTCACGGAAGAAGACGAAAATTCAGGTGCAAATAATAAAGGACAAGTTTACGGATCAAATTCGCCACCAGCCTTTGAACCGAGCGTACTCATTCGCAGCAATCCGAATTACGTAAACACAACTATACCAAAATCTGCAGAAGAAACTGAAAATGGTGTTGTAGATCACGTTTATAACAAAATTTACATCGCCACTCAAGGTTGCTTGTCCTCCACAATTTATCCCTTCTGGTCTATGATATGGCAAGAGGACGTTCGCATCATTATAATGACCACAAAGGAGATCGAACGCGGCAAAGTGAAATGCGAGCGATACTGGCCCGAACTCCATAAAACTGAAGTTTTTAAAAAGTACACTATTTACAACGAATTCGAATCATCTACTCCAGATTACACATTACGACGCTTTGTAGTTACGAAAAAGGATGAAGCAGCTAAAAGAACCATTTATCATTTTCATTTTACGGCGTGGCCCGATCATGGGGTCCCGTCGGAACCGGGGAGAGTTTTGAATATATTATTAGATGTAAACTATAGGTTACAACAAATTATGACCGGGCCTGATCCTCCCGTGCAAGTTGTAGTGTGCGTACATTGTTCCGCGGGTATCGGTAGGACGGGCACTTTTATAGTAATCGACATGATCCTAGATCAAATAAGAAAAGAAGGTTTCGACTGTGAAATCGATATACATCGTACTGTTCAAATGGTCCGAGACCAACGGTCTGGTATGGTACAAAACGAAGCGCAATATAAGTTTATTTACATGGCGGCTTTAGAATTTATTGAAACGGAAAAGCAGAGAGGTCTAAGTCGGCAAGTAGAGTCGAAGAAAGACTCGCCACGCGTTCGAACACATCCGGTTCCTTTTTTATGAATCGCGTTAAACAGGCGAAAAAGCTTATATCGAAAGCTTTTTCCCGCGAAAATACCTAAAGCAAGGGTATAATTCTAAATTACTATTAATGATTTACCTAACCATGCTCTGCTTAAAATTGGTTTGTTATACGATGTTGAACTTTTACAAAATTTTATCTATTGATTAGTAGATATGTTTAGAACGGAAACGAAATATTTATGCAACAGCTTTGTGTAACCTCCAGATTCTTACACACGCACCTACACATACACAAACACGTGCCAGTGCATAAACACACACACACCCAAACACACTGCTTTTCTTCGGACCCACAACACATGCAACTATGTATGTTTATAGATATTAATCTTTATCCGAATGTTAAATACAAGTGGAGAACATGTGTGCTCCAGTTTGTTAGGTAGATATAAGTAGGTAGGTATATATTCGTAAATGCCACCTAGCTACGCTTTTGTCTTACTACGTACACTGTAAATTCTTCTAAGAGGTAACTTCTCAAAATCAAATATAGTCAATGAAATATAGCTAAAACTAATCTAAATGAATACTTTCATATCTATTGTTTAATATTATTTGAGTAAAAAATAATAACATAACATTGTACCTATTAAAGTAAAAATCCCATATCTATTTGTTTGTGCGGATAAAATTTATATAAGTATAGCTTATAACTTTAAACGAAAATAATAAGTACATAATATAGCAATATTATTTATTAAAAAACTATTAGTATTATATTGTAATGCACAGGCGTCATAACGTTCTGTAACAACTAGATAAAGATATTGAAAATGTTATGAAAAACTGAATTAATGTTATAATTAACGAAAACAAAGCCTTATTTTAGACACTTGGATGGCAATTGGTCGCAGGAGGCGCTTTTTTAACTATAAATATATTTTTATTTAAGTAATTTCACGTAAGAACAAAAACATGATGAAATAATTAATATTATGAACTGATTTTAACCATAGTTTTTTGGTAAATTTTAATGAAGTTGAATACCTTCCCATAATTGTTTTGTTTCAGGTTCTTATAATTGTTTTGTATCGATTTATATATCTGTTAGATGACCATTTTACCAGTGTGTTGACATAACATTTTTTTTTTTTTAATTTACGCAAAGAACTTTCAACAATAATTGCTAAGTATTGCGAATTAGATGAGTTAAAGTCATTATATTCGTACTGCTAGCAAAATAACGGATCCACAAATTTTGCATAACCACCGATATAAGACCTACTTCTAGTAGACATCAATCGTTAAAAGTGACGGTGTTCAAACTGTATGGCATTGGGCTTGTAGGTATTAGAGGCCTTCTTTTTTTTTTTCTTTTTTTTTTTCTTGCGGAAATCTCCTCGGATACCACCTATCGGTGGCATGTCGGACTCGAACCGACTAAAACCGCACGCCGTCTCGGGTACTAATAGCCGGGGAACCAGGTATACCCTAGAAAGGAAGTCCCTGGTACCCCGACATACCTCGGGTAGGTATTAGAGGCCTCATGAACATGTACTACAAATCACTTTCATTTTTGATCCGTAAGGGCAAAAAGTTTTACCCATTCCGTTACCATTACCATTTACCGACTAGTAAAATGATTTCGATACCAAAATAACCGTCCCTGACGTGTTCAGGTGGTTTGTCTCTCAAATAATTATGATGAGTGTTGCACACGTAACTTTTGCAATGAATTTTGTCCTGAGCTACCTAGGCCCTGCAACACACCCTCCTAGTTCTAGACGTAAAGCCATTGAATTCCCCAAGTGGATTATAGCTTAGACTAGTGTTGGAGTGGACGAATGAACATGTTTTCCGCAGTCAATGTGCTCAGACAATAATTAGCACGAAAAACAAAGAACCCTTGTTTTACCACTGACATACATAGCCATCGTTGCTACGGAACAACGCACGGATACGATTGAGAAAATTCGTTAATAGCCCCTTTGTAACTCGATCTTCTTGAATGGTCTCCCATTCCCTAGTCTAAATTTGTGATTCGAATATGTCATTCAAATTATGTCATTTGTTACTTGTATACCCGACCATCAAAACGCCTATTTTTTTTATGTTAATACGAAATGTTAGGGCTATCGCGACATTCAGCTGACACCAAATCATAATATGCCGTTTTTATGTTTTATAATCGTGTTATAATTAATTTTCTGCAAAACTGTTTGATGGAAATTTTTCCGCACATTTGCATATTTGTGTCAACAACTTTCCTTGGTGGGTAAATCTAGTGTAATAGAAAAACTAAAAACGTCTAATGTTCTGTCTGTAAAATCTGTATAAACTATCCAGGTAACATTAGATTTACTGGTTCTAAAAAAGCTACTCTCGATTTATTTTTATTTATACTTATAGTTGAAGGTAGATTAGTCAGTGTACTTTTTGGTCTACTGACCCAAGTCTATTGTATATTTACAAATATTACTACAGCTTGTAAGAGGGTAGTACTAAAAATGGTTGTTATTTTGGAAGTAACATTAATGGCGACCAGACTATTTTATCACACTGTTGCTTTAATTTTGCACTACACGGAAGTCAGGAGATTGACTTCAACGTGATCTCGAATTGGAGTTTGAATTAAAATGTATATTATTTTTTATATTCAACAGTTTTACGGTACGTTTTTGTAAAATTTTGACTCGTCACGTTTGTGTGACATCTAAATGTTATGAATACAGTAATATATGTATTGTTATTTGTAGGTATAACCTGTAAAATTAAATGTGTTTGTAATTGAAGAAAGCTATTCAGGGTCATGTTTTGAAAGACCTTTACTTTTTTGCTAATGTGATGAATTCAGGTTCGCAAATCAGGTTGAATAATCCAGATCAGCTTGATCGTGCTTCATCTTTTACCACAAATTACAGTAAATACCTGGTGATTTACCTGCGGTAATGTGTAAACTTGAGATTACATTTATATTTACTTGAATGATTTATATTATTTTCTAAGAATTTTGGTCCCGTTTAAACCGTTACACTTTGCCGAACTGAGACAACTTTTTCGGACATTTCTTGTGGTAAGAAAAAAAATTGAAGCCAGACATTATATATGAGGGTTATTATAGAAAGTTGATTTATACTGACTGATAAGTGATGACACTGGAAATATAATTAAAGTATAAGTTAAATCCCGGGGATTTTAAATATTTAATCCATTAGTAGCGTAGGAAGAGTTGGTCCTAATAGTTTTCATGTTCTTAAATATTTTGTGATATACAATAACATATATAAATTTAGTATTTATTATAGATCAGATGTAGGGGAACTATTTCTGAAATTTTGTTTAAGCCGTCATTAGCAGTAATCATTATTCATATTTTTTATATCAAGCTCACTTAGTTCCGATCTATTATTTTAAATACCACGGGAGCAGAGTCCATTACTGTTCTACGGGCAATAGCAAGACCCGTGTAAACAAACATTAGGTGGCGGTCCTGGGGTCCTAATATCTTTTTGAGGTTTTTGATCACAATAGTCCCGTATGGTTCTTTTGATGGAACAAAATTGTACCAATAAGGTACAATTTTCCTTGAGTTCATTGGCGGTTAACGGCGAATTATATAGGTCTAAAACACGTGTGATCAAACAATTACCTCGATTTAGATATAGCGCTTATTGTCACTATCGCCATAATTAGATTAATTAATTTATAGTAACTTGATTCTAAATAAATACGCTTATTAACACTCTGACAGAAGCATTGCCTCAGAATATATTTCAAAAAGTTATGTATAAAGCATTTTTAAGTGTGCATATCTGTGGAGATAATTATTTCTCGTCGTTTGTAGAATTGTTTGTTGTTTAAATAGTATTTCCAGGGCCATTTTTTAGTTTGCTCAGAGGCAATCTGTTCGAGAATGTTCGATTTCGTATACAGGAACAAATTAATTTACATCTACCGTCTATTTTCAAGATATTGATTTCGATTACTCCCTGTTATGCGCACTTAAATCAGTAACACGATACAAATAGGTGCCTTAGTTTTCCTTATGTAAGGAATACATTTGCGACATATAAGTTTGTTTAATAATTTTAATAATAATGATGCAATATTAAAACTTTAGGCGTCGCAATAAGCGAAAAGCAGCTAAATTATAAATCCTTGAAAAAAGGATTATAGGGCATCGAGAGTCACGTGCATTGTAACTTAGATTTAGGTATCTACTTATAAAAATATTTCATAAATTATACAGACATCCAATTTGATTAAGATATATTGTTATTTAAAATAAATGATCTGTGCAATCCTTTTATTATTCTAAATAAGATTTTTAAAGAGTCAGTTTCCATTGGATATTGTTAACATGTGCTTAAAATACTTTGTATATTTATGGGAATAAATAGTTGATAAGGTACCCTGTGATTGCATTGTGGTACACGAGATTCAACAACAAGATACCCACTGTTGGTGCTGTACAAAATGTTTTACAACATAGTATCATACGCTCCTTTCTAAGTATAACAAAGGTTATTTCTTTTTTATATTTAAAAATGTTGTTAATATACTATTGTTTGGCAAAACAGTAAAGCGTTTATTGGTTTTCTAAAATATATCTTACGATTTTTTATCCACTGCGGAGTTATTATATTAGAATATCTGCGATGCGACTCATATCTAAGGGACCCTAAAAATAAAGCAATAAGTTATAATGACATTTTTGGGCGACTAGAAATATACGTATATTTGTTTTTGCGTATTGAAGAATAATGTAATTATTTTAAAACATCATACTTTATATGAGATGAAAGTATAATTATTAAGAATCAAGGAGCAAATTCTCTGCCACTATCGAACAAAACTACGCAATTTTATATTAAACCATTTATCGGCGGATATTTGTAAGTTTTAGTCGTGCTGCATCACTAGGTTTAACTCTCATTTCTCTATGGGACTACTGTTTATTTTGTTAACAGGAACTTTGTAAATAGAGAAGTGTTAAGACTATAAACATTACAACAGAACCGCCATCTTAAGCAACTTAG